TGCGGGGTGATAACCGGTGGCCGAACCCCAGTTAATTATGTAAGTGCCTAATGCATTTGAACTGTTGATTATGAGGATCAAGGGTAGCTGATACAAAGGGAAGATTAAAAAAGCGTTTCCCCATACAGCTGTCATGGTTTTTAGTATTGCCTCTTATTATGGGCTGTTACAAACTTTGAAAATTTGAATAATGCTTCCGTAAAGTGCAGAAAGATTATACTGGTTAAAAATCATACTCTTCAGTGTGACTTTAGCCTACTGAATTTTAATGTCCCCATGTGATCTTCAGTTATCTTTTCATGTGTTAATTTATTTTTAATGATAAATGACTTTATTTTTCCAAAGGCTTATGGCCTTTATCAACAGCAACAGCTACCAGACTTTTTGCTCCCTGTCCTGCTGCTTCAGATTTCATACCTCCCTTTTCCCCCTCTCCTAGTTTTGTTTTTCAGGCTTTTGAAAATCTAGATGATGTATCTCAGTTTTCATGACTGAGCTGAAATTGTAGATATGTTGCCAACACTTCTACTCAGTTTAAAAAAAAATAAAATAGAAAAAATCTCGTTGTCACCTGCATATGAAAAATGGAGAAAGTCTGTATTCTGTCTCTTCAGATTCTGGTTCAAGTGCACCCTAGTGTAATATAGAGTAATTATTTGTTGGAAACATTCTTGGTTATTCATTTTTTGTTGGATTTCAGAGCTGTGAAGATGTTTTGTTTGTTTGTTTTTTACCATACTGCCTTTGTAATTTTCCAAATATTCCTGACTTATGCATCTTGGCTACGGTCTCTTCTGTATTCCTAGAGTAAAACTGATGAGAAGCATTTCCTTCATTTAAATTGAGGTTGGGTCCAGCCTGTAAATAGACTGATGTGGAAACTATGCACTTCCAGTTTTCCATGTAAGCATTGGGTTTAAACTGTCCTTGGCAAATAGTAACTTTAGTTGTCACATTTCTAGCTTTCGCTTTTTGGGTGTACGCCTAATTAAGATTAGGATGGTTATCACTGGCTGTGGGGGAGAAAACCTGCCGTTCTTGGTAGCAAATGAGAAATTAGCTTTGATTAATGTTTCCCAACTCCGGTTGCAATGATAGCTAGGAACCAACAATTCTGTGTAATAACCAGTACTATAATCTGATTTAGGGTTGCCAGCAGAGCCTTTTATAGGTTTGCAGATTTAATTAGTCTTTGGTTATGTTGTGGCTGAGATACACTCTTTGCACACAAACCCTAAACTGAGCGTGCTGAATTTTTAAACTTGAGTTGCAACCTCTGCCTTCCTCCCTCTAAGCAGACCAGCCAGCTCTGTTTAGATCATCTCATCAGCTACTAATAAGAGTGTTTGTGTAGAGCATGATTGCTGTTTGGTGATGGGACTTCTACTGTTGGATGTTTTGTGATAAACCTGCTATGTTCTTTAACGAATTAAAGAACAGTTTACTAAATGACCCAGAAAAAAAATCTGAATGTTAAGTCAGTCATATTGAATCCCACTCTATAGGTATGTATGTTATGCAGGTGTGACATTGGAGGTGTGTTTTGAATACGTTTGGACTTCATGCTCTCATCAGGTGTAGCAAGAAACAAACAAGGTAGTGACTGTTGAGGGAAGAACCAGTTTATGGTCTTAAGATCAATTCAGTCAGCTTGGTGTAGAGGATTGATCATTATACTCTTAGAAGAGAATACTCAAAATCAAAAGGAAAACACTGTGTTCACTGGTCTTTTGTAAGGAGATAACTTTTCCTAGTTTAAAGCTGCCTTGAAACCGAGACTTAATGTGAGTGCTGAGGATCTGCTCTGCCAGGCCCTGCAAGAGCATCAGCACCCCACCCTGCGCCTTGCCAGGCCAGTGAGATCACTGAAAAAATAAATAGCTCCACAAGCACTGGAACTAATGACTTCTTGTTTCATGTGGTTTAGTCTCCTGTGGTTGATTTGTCTTTGGCAAAATCAGAAGGGCGTGCTCTGCCCAAAGTTTTTTCTGCAGTAGGGTTGTTTGAAGTAGTTCTCAGGAATAAAATGTATCTGCTGTCCAAAAAGATGCATGCTTGTGTTCTTCCTCCGCAGTTCAGCGTTTACAAGATCCTTTTCTGTTACTTATCCACCTGTTTTCACACAGTCTGTAGGAAAAAAATTAAGACTTTTTTGTTATATTTGGCGCATAGTGGTTAATTGAATCAGATTCTTAGAAGACGCACAAACAGCATGATTTCCCAAGGCAAGCAAGCTAGGCTAAAAGTATTGGTAATTCTGTGTGGTTGTCATTGTGGCCAAATTCTCTGTAGGGCTCTCCTTAGACTACAGGTGGTGCTACGGTACCACCTGAGTTGTTTTTCTTAGGTAACTTCTAAAGTTTATCTGTGATGGTGAACTTGCCTGCTGCCTTCTCAAAGCTGTAATGTGAGAAGAGTAATTTCACACACTAAATGTTTCCATGACTTTGCAGAGAACGAAACTGTTCTGCATGTTAAGGTGTTTATTTCTGTTTATAGCTAAAGGCAAAGAAAAAGCACGGTATCTGATTTTTAATTTTTTTATGTGTGTGTGTTAGCCTTACTGCTCTTCTACTGCCTGGGAGTATTTTGGCATATTTCTTTTTGCAAACACTCAGACTCGCTCCACCAGAGCATGAGTAACATTCCTCGTCTGCCTCAAAAATAGTAGCAAGTAAAATGTCATTTGTGATTCAATTGAAATTGAAATGGAAGTTATCAGGTACCGATGCTAATCTTTCACTGTCTGATGTAGGTTGAATGTTTCTTTGCTTCTATGTCTTTTACTGGAGTCAAGAAGGTGTTACTTGCAGGCCTGCTTCAGAAATAAAATACGTGAGAAGGTGGAGGCAAACTGCGTTTTTGTTCCCCTCTTCCAAGCTAGAGTGATGCATGTTCTTTTCCCAAATGTATGTTAAAGCCACACACGTATGGCACGAGTGGGGGTGATGAGAGGACTCTGCTGGGGCAATGGGCCCTATGTTCTTGGCGATGGCAGAGGTCTTGGTGTCACTTTGAGCTCCAGCCTATCCATAGGCTTCAATCAGTTAGGGACTTGTTTTGGCCTTGGAGTTCTCTCCTCCCCCTTCCTTTTTTCTGCCTTTTCTATATTTACCCTGGGTAAATAAACATCAGATGGGTATAGAGGGATAGTGAGTGAAGTTAAAACCCTGTCTGGCTGCCACTACTTTCCCCTGAAGCCTGAATTGAGCAGAGGATTTAATTATTTTGTGGAGCTTCTTTAACATTGTGAAGAATTCAAATGATATGTTATTGGTGGGGCAGTGATACAGTTCACAGATTGTCTTAAAATATTTCATTTCCATGTATGGATTTGGAATTTCCTAATATGTCAGTGAGCAGCATAAAACGTGCTGAAGTTTGGTTGTTCACAGTCTGAGAGTAATTTTGTTGTTGTGTGTCACTTAATCATGCAGAGGAGATCCAGGTATTAGTGGTATCATGCCCAACTGCCACTCTACTGAAGTAATCTTATTTGGTGGGACAGAGCAAGTGCCCAGGATGAAAGAAAGGGTACCTGACATGATTACTCATTTACTTACTGTATTTGTTATTTTATTTTTAAACCAAGTCCTTAATATAAGAGTGCATGCATGCCCCCCGTTGTGGTTGTTCTATATCTGACGTCTTCTTATGAGAGGAAGCTGGCACTGGAAGTTGTCTTTGAGCTTGCCCAGAGTTTACATGAAAAAAAAACTGTAGCTTTTCCTCTCTTTTTTTGCCATGTGAGTTTACAAATAGATCAGCTCCTGGAGTTGCTTATTGGGCAATTGCATGAGTGGCAGAACTGACTCAAAGGAAAGGCTATATAGGAGATTATGGCTGTGAACAAGTGGGAGGACTGAAATCACAGCAGCCTGGACTTTGTCTTGTTCTTCAATGGAATTGTGCCCTTGCTAAGGTTAACTGGGTGATAGCATGCAGCTATTGTTTTGGGTTTATTTGAAAAGGCCTATACTTCACTGAAGGAAAAAACTGTTGCTGTCTAGTTTTATCTTTGAACAATTTAAATCAAAATAGTTTAATGTTTTTGAAAATTAGGAAGACAAGTCAGCATTTTTTAAATAATGAAATGTTTTGTAATACGGTATGCAATGCTCGTCTGCAGTGCTTGATGATACTGCTAGATGTAATAGCAATGAAGGGTGGTACTTGGGGTTGGAAACCTGTCGTGCTGGACTCTGCTGACACAGGTACTAATCCTGCAGAGAAACATGCTTTCTGTTGAATTCGGTGATAGAATATCTAGCGGGTAAGCTGACCATCTGGATTTGAAGAACATACATACATTATCTTAATTTTGTGTTTGCATGAGCTCTTTGAGAATTACCAGTGTTTTTTCCAAAGCATCAAAGTAATCAGGGCTAATTAAAAGTTACTATGGAAACTCTGTTATTTTTTTGCTATCAAAAAAAAAAAGTTCTGAGGTTATATATACTTAATATTAAAATCAGTGGAAAATATGTGAAATACATTCAGGTCTTCTATGCTAGATAAAAGTTTTGTGAAGGGTGGAGAGCCTTTTTTGTGAACTTAGAAGTTGCTGTCATGGTATGCACAAGTTAGGGGGTGAAGGATGAAAGGGAAGACCTCTGTTGTTGTCCCTGCTGCTGATTAGATTGACTGTCTTGCATTATGTTTGTATTTTTGAGCCTTTGTTTCAACTACCTCTTAGTTCAGGCTTGTCACAAGTTTTCTCGCAAACGAATATATTATGTATACTGTATGTCTACGCGGTGTTCTCCTGGTGACACTCTGGCTGTATATCCTCTTTGTTGTATGTTGCTTTTACTTTGATTGATTCAAAAGTTGCCCCTATGGGAGTGAAAAAGCTTGGGATAAATCATAGAATCAATAAATATATGGCTTGAAATTATAGAAGGCTGGCTGGGGTTGGGATTTGTTGATGAATCCATCAACAGATACTGCGAGTAAAAATTCTTTATCTTGAACATCATGGTTTAATTTGTTCTCTACAGGAAAGAGTGCAAATCAGAAGATGCTACTTGCAAGATCTCTGAATCTGACCCTGAGGAATTATCAGATGAAGCAAGTACTGACACTTTCTATGGAACTTCTCCTCCTAGTACACCCCGCCAGATGAAGCGTATGTCAACAAAGCATCAGAAAAATAACATTGGGAGACCTGCTAGCCGCTCCACTTTGAAAGGTAGGTGTGGTGTGTTGTTTTTTTCATAAAATGATCATAAAGTCATAATAGTAGCCTTTTATTACCTGACAGAGGATATATGCAGAAGATGGAGCCGGATGCTGAGGGGGCAGTGAAGGGACAGGAGGCGGCTGTTGTAAGTTGCAACGAAGAAAAAAATCTTTTGGGTATTAGAAAAAAAAATTTACCACGAGAGTGGTCAAATAGCGAATGGTTTGCCGGAGAGGTTGTTGGGTTGTTGAATATCCATCTTTGGAGATTTCCAAAACACAAGTGTATAAGATCGTGAGCAAGCTAAACTAGTTTTGAAATAATAAACCCTGCATTGAGCAGGAGGTTGGAAAAAATTACCTTCAGAGATATTTTCCAATTAATTTTTTTCTACGATTCTATGGTCTCTACTAATGGAGTAGTCTCTTCTGTGCTGCAAATTCAAACTATGAAGTGCTTCAGAACATATTTTATAGAAAAACAGAGTTTTCAGTGATTATTCTTTACTCTTTCATGTCACTGAAGCAATTAAATTGTAGTTAGCACTGTTTACTTCAGTTGATGCGTTAGTCATAAAGTCATAACTGGGAAAAACAAAAGATCTTTGATATGTGTTGAAAAGATAATTTTAAAAAACGTGCAGTAGCTACATCTTTTCAAGCTGTCCTTTCAAAATAAAAGGCAAAAATATGCAATTGTAGTGGTTTTGCTGAGCTTGAATTTTCTAAGATTAAATGAGCAGTATTTTCATATAGAATATACTGAGGTTTGGGGTTTTTTTGGGATGTGTGTTTTTTGTTTGTTTCTTTCTGGGTTTTTTCCTGTTTGTTTTGGGTTTTTTTTTGGTTTTGTTTTGTTTTTTTAAAGCTATATCAGGCAAGGTTATTTGCCAGAGTTATTATGGCAGCTTCACTATTGCCAGTTAGTATTTTGGAAGCAATTTTTTAAATTGCTTCACAGAAAATGTTATCACAGAGTGCGTTTACTTGTAAGGATTGCATTTTCAAGGTAAAGCATAGCGGAGAAGAAGGTGTATGGTTTAGCATGAATAAGGGAATACAGTCTATTCTTCAGCTGCATAGAGTTGTGGAGTGCAAGTTCATAATAAAAGATGCAAACATCTTCCAAAGCTTTTGGTTCCCTTCCATTTCATACAGCCTCTGAATACTGTCACTGTGAAGAGAGCATTCACCAAAAGACACCTTCCTTAAACTGAATTGAAAAGAAATCTTGTTATACTTGCCAGTTAGTTATGTAGGCATTGGAATTATTAAAGCTTCTTTTACTGCTTTACTTTAACTTTGCCTGTATGTACGGTCTCAGAAAATGTATTCTGTATTGGAAAAAAAAACAACCCAAACCCAAAAAACAGCACCCTAAGCCCAAGAACTCAACAACTTTGAAGTGGACTAGTTGATTGACCTTCAATGTATATATGCATATGCTGTTATTCAGATTGAATTGGTTGTATTTCAGTAAGATAATTCATTCAGAGGTCGGTTTGATGTAGCTTATAAGTTTAAAAAATAAATTTGAAATAACTTTTCAGACATTTAAAAAGAGCACAAATTTAATGTATCTTTATTTAAACAACTGAAAGAATCCTGGGGACAAGGGGCTTTCTTACTTGCATTCCAGTGTTTGTTTAATTTCTGTCATACCAAGTTTCCTATAACTTGTATATAGTATCAGAAAATAAACTGATGCAACAATCTGTTTAAACTAGTTCCTGAATCGTTTCTAGTTTCTGAATCGTTTCTTGTGTAGACCAAGACCCGTGGGATTCATATTTCTTTGCTAAATGCATTTCAGAGTATTTTTTAGGTATGGGGATTGGAAGGAGGAATGTGGGAGGTCACACCCTTATTAAATTGCTTATTGCTCATTAACAGTTGAAAACAGAGTTTGTAATTGAAACAGAGGAAGGTGTTCTGACCACATACCTCTTCAATTTTGTTTTAGATGTCTCTGCAGCCTTAACACAGTGCCTTTGTGTGCCTACGTTTGATAGTCTTTAAACTATATTACAGCTCTAGTTCTTTTCCAGAGAACTGCTGTCTTACATGAGTAGAGATTGTTTGGAATTTTGTAATGAAGGAAACAGATTTCTGTATGACTGTACCTTCTTTTGTTGCAGATGCTAGAAGATATGTAGTGAATCAAACAAGAGTGAAGGGCCATCTGATAATTAAGTCAGTGAAGTGTATCATGTGATAACAGCATTCAGTCAGGAAAATTTATGTGATGCTAGGCAAATAGCACAAGCAAAAATCTTCTGTCTGTTTCTTGTTTTCCTAGAAGCAAGCAAGAGATTCTGGGATGTGGTTTGCAAATTGTTGAGAATTCAAGGTGCAATTGAAGTCAGGGAGCGTTAAACACGAAGTGCTCAATGTTTTTGAAATGCTGAGCAATAGCTCTTCCCATTGTTGGCAACCAAAAGTATGCTGGCTTGAAGGATTTTTCTGTGTCATGATTTTCCATATATAGAAAGGGAATAATACTGTTCTTCTGCTGAGCAGGCTTGTTTTGCAAATCAGCTTATTAGTATTTCTGCTATTAATGGCTGTTACAGTGAGGAGCACAATAACAAAGACTGTAAGGAAATTACTACATCTGGAGTGGGGAATGAGCCACGTGGAGCAGATAATCCTTAAAGTCACAGTGAAGAGTGAAAAGAAGACAAAGTATTCAGGCATTGTTCTGAAAGTCGCTTCTGTTCTTGAATAATCAGAGAGAGAGAGAAAGAGTGGGAGAGTGGGGAAGTAGGCTCCTGGTGTTAAGGCAGTGCATTAAGAGTATGGAGGGGTTCCCAGAACTAAGATCAAGAACCCCGAGAGCCAGTATCAGATCACTCAAGCTAAATTTCAGAATCTGTACGTGCTGTAGTTTTTTACGAAATTGCATGTGCAATGGAGTCTCTTTAATTCTGTTTGACTTGGGAACCTTAATAATGCTCTATTGCATTTTTAGTTTTTGTTTGGGAGGTTGTATGATTGCTCAGAAAATGTATTCTGTATTGGAAAAAAAAACAACCCAAACCCAAAAAACAGCACCCTAAGCCCAAGAACTCAACAACTTTGAAGTGGACTAGTTGATTGACCTTCAATGTATATATGCATATGCTGTTATTCAGATTGAATTGGTTGTATTTCAGTAAGATAATTCATTCAGAGGTCGGTTTGATGTAGCTTATAAGTTTAAAAAATAAATTTGAAATAACTTTTCAGACATTTAAAAAGAGCACAAATTTAATGTATCTTTATTTAAACAACTGAAAGAATCCTGGGGACAAGGGGCTTTCTTACTTGCATTCCAGTGTTTGTTTAATTTCTGTCATACCAAGTTTCCTATAACTTGTATATAGTATCAGAAAATAAACTGATGCAACAATCTGTTTAAACTAGTTCCTGAATCGTTTCTAGTTTCTGAATCGTTTCTTGTGTAGACCAAGACCCGTGGGATTCATATTTCTTTGCTAAATGCATTTCAGAGTATTTTTTAGGTATGGGGATTGGAAGGAGGAATGTGGGAGGTCACACCCTTATTAAATTGCTTATTGCTCATTAACAGTTGAAAACAGAGTTTGTAATTGAAACAGAGGAAGGTGTTCTGACCACATACCTCTTCAATTTTGTTTTAGATGTCTCTGCAGCCTTAACACAGTGCCTTTGTGTGCCTACGTTTGATAGTCTTTAAACTATATTACAGCTCTAGTTCTTTTCCAGAGAACTGCTGTCTTACATGAGTAGAGATTGTTTGGAATTTTGTAATGAAGGAAACAGATTTCTGTATGACTGTACCTTCTTTTGTTGCAGATGCTAGAAGATATGTAGTGAATCAACCAAGAGTGAAGGGCCATCTGATAATTAAGTCAGTGAAGTGTATCATGTGATAACAGCATTCAGTCAGGAAAATTTATGTGATGCTAGGCAAATAGCACAAGCAAAAATCTTCTGTCTGTTTCTTGTTTTCCTAGAAGCAAGCAAGAGATTCTGGGATGTGGTTTGCAAATTGTTGAGAATTCAAGGTGCAATTGAAGTCAGGGAGCGTTAAACACGAAGTGCTCAATGTTTTTGAAATGCTGAGCAATAGCTCTTCCCATTGTTGGCAACCAAAAGTATGCTGGCTTGAAGGATTTTTCTGTGTCATGATTTTCCATATATAGAAAGGGAATAATACTGTTCTTCTGCTGAGCAGGCTTGTTTTGCAAATCAGCTTATTAGTATTTCTGCTATTAATGGCTGTTACAGTGAGGAGCACAATAACAAAGACTGTAAGGAAATTACTACATCTGGAGTGGGGAATGAGCCACGTGGAGCAGATAATCCTTAAAGTCACAGTGAAGAGTGAAAAGAAGACAAAGTATTCAGGCATTGTTCTGAAAGTCGCTTCTGTTCTTGAATAATCAGAGAGAGAGAGAAAGAGTGGGAGAGTGGGGAAGTAGGCTCCTGGTGTTAAGGCAGTGCATTAAGAGTATGGAGGGGTTCCCAGAACTAAGATCAAGAACCCCGAGAGCCAGTATCAGATCACTCAAGCTAAATTTCAGAATCTGTACGTGCTGTAGTTTTTTACGAAATTGCATGTGCAATGGAGTCTCTTTAATTCTGTTTGACTTGGGAACCTTAATAATGCTCTATTGCATTTTTAGTTTTTGTTTGGGAGGTTGTATGATTGAACGACACTTTTTCTTATTGCTGCAGTCACATTCTTGTTTGTTTGTTTTTTTCTTACAGAAAAAATGAGTGTGCCAACTCAGTCTGTGCATAAAGACAACGGGAAAACCGTTGAGAACGTGGAGGAGCACAGCTATAAGCAAGGAAAAAAGATCCGAGACACCCTAAGGACAACAGAACGAGATCACAAGAAAAATGTGCAGTGTTCATTTATGTTAGACTCAGTTGGTGGGTCTCTGCCAAAAAAACCAATCCCAGATGTTGATCTCAATAAGCCTTACCTCAGCCTTGGCTGTAGCAATGCTAAGCTTCCAGTCTCTGTGCCCATGCCAATACCCAGAACTGCTCGCCAGACTTCTAGGACTGATTGCCCAGCAGACCGCTTAAAATTCTTTGAAACCCTGCGGCTTTTGTTAAAACTTACCTCAGTCTCAAAGAAAAAGGACAGGGAGCAAAGAGGGCAGGAAAACACCTCTTCTGTCTGGCTGAACCGATCCAATGAACTGATCTGGCTGGAGCTACAAGCTTGGCATGCTGGCCGGAGCATTAATGACCAGGACCTCTATCTCTATGCAGCCCGTCAAGCTATCCCTGATATCATCAATGAAATCCTCACCTTCAAAGTGAACTATGGAAGCTTCTCCTGTGTAAAAAATGGAGCCAGTCTCAATGGTACTTCAGAAGGAGTTTGCAAAGCAACACATGGAACTAGTGCTTTGGGTTACTCAAGTTACCATGAACACCTCCAACGCCAGCGGGTCTCATTTGAGCAAGTGAAGCGGATAATGGAGCTGCTAGAGTATATAGAAGCACTTTATCCATCTCTGCAGGCTCTTCAAAAGGACTATGAAAAGTATGCTGCAAAGGACTTCCAAGACAGAGTGCAGGCACTCTGTCTATGGTTAAATATTACAAAAGACTTAAATCAAAAACTAAGGATTATGGGAACTGTATTGGGCATCAAAAATCTTTCTGACATTGGCTGGCCAGTGTTTGAAATTCCTTCTCCTCGACCATCTAAGGACAATGATCCAGAAGATGATGAAGTTGATAGGGAAACAGAAGTAAAGGAATCCTCAGGAACATGCACAGAGGAGAGCGATGGTGATGAACAAATCTCTGAGGAGAATGTTGAGGAACTTAGACAAGCCATCAAGAACAATTTTAGTAATAAGCCAAATTTTGACTTTCAGGACCATTTTTCAAGAAGGCTTGATAGGCTTGAATCTGAGGATGACTCTGCCTCTTGGGCTATTCCAGAATGCAGTGCTGAGGCAAGCTGCAGCCAACACTGTTTGACCTCTATTTACAGGCCGTTTGTAGATAAAGCACTGAAGCAAATGGGGTTAAGGAAACTAATTTTAAGACTGCACAAGCTAATGCATGGTTCATTGCAAAGGGCCCGCATGGCGTTGGTAAGGAGTGACCACCAGCTGGAGGTAGGTTGTGTAGGTTGCTACTAGTGTAAATGGGTAACAGGAGTATCTCCCCTGCTGTGTTGTTTTGAACTGAAACTGGAGGAATTGGGTTCTTACGAAAGTTTTGGTTGCCTTGCTGGTTTTTGAAACAGTGTATGTTATGATTAAGAGCCCGGTTCTGCTTCTGCTGAAGTGAATCTGTCATTTGACCTGAATTAGAATTTATGCGAAGCACAAGCTAGTTCTCTGTCTTGTTTGTAATAGAAACGACAGTTTTATGGTAACATCTTTGCTCCTTACATTTTCTAATGTCTAAAGCCATAAGTCAGAAAAATTACAATGGAAAACAAAGCACAAAAGTTAAATAATGAGAAAAAATTGTGATGGAAGTGGTCATTTTCTTTTTCTTGTCTTCGAGACTGGATATCTCTGCAAGACATCCTTTATGAAAATGTCATTATTGTTTTGGGGTTTTCCTCATCGAAGGGAATGAAGGACTGTGGTGGCACGTTATGCTTGAGGCCAGATTGGATAAATGAGTGGACTCTCTTAACCTGTCTATGAAAGCAAGTCACGTTAGCATGTTGCGTTCTTCAGCTGGCTCTTAGTCTAATTATTTTTTTCCTTGCGTCATTTTATATTCTTAATTAAGAATGATTGTGGGTTAATAAAAACAAAAATGTGAAATAAGCAGCAAACTAAGGACAGTCACTGAAGTTTCATATGGTAAGTTGTGGTCAGTAATTCTTTCAAGGCGGAATATAATTTCTTAATATAAACTGTTACCTAACTTAGACATTTTTATATTAGGCAGAACTAGTAGTAAGGATTACTTTCCCTCCTCGATAAAGTGGCACTGTGTGGGGCCCTAACCATGGATTCGGGACGAAGAAGTTTCTTAGCCGATATGCCCATTCTAATATGGATACTGCATGTGGTCTTTGACACGTTGCCGATCTCTCAGTGTTGACTGTCACATTTGCAAAAAGAGCAAGAGTTGTTTATCTCCCCTGGAAGTTATTTTTTTAGAATGAATAAATATATTTATAAAGTTATTTGATTTTCAAAAAGTTTTTATTTGTACTGTTGCTAATGTAGATACCGCTGTAAAAAATGAAGCTTTTACTTGAATTTTTATTTATTCTCTAATTGGTTTCAACTTGTATTCTAGGAAGTTTTGAGTTAAGAATATTTTTGTGTATTTCTAGAGTCACATGCCTAAGTAAAACTTGCAGGTGTCTGTTACAGTAACCAAAAATACCCCCAAAACGTATATGTAGACAGAAAGTTTAGTTTAATATGCAGGTAGAAATACCTTAAAAAAAAAAAGAAGACTAAAACATAATTTAGGGGTATTGAAAACTACTTTGAATGTATTTTTGAAATTGCTAAATGCCTCAAATGTTTTGACTTCATAAGTGTTCTTAAAATAAGTTAATGAAACGCTAGTAGCTAGAGTCTTTGCTGCAGCTTCACTGAATTAAACTTTTTAATAATTTAGCATTGGATGACTTGTGTAAGATGTAAGGTTAATCTTTTCTCCCTCCTTCTGTACTGTTGCGACTTCTTTGAATGTTCATTTTCAGTAGTTCTTACATTTTCTTTGGAATATTGTCTCTTAAGAAATACTTTTATGACTAAAAGTGAATATTAATAAAACTGTAAACTTCTTTCCTGCCCCAAAATTAAAAGAATGCTGTCAAAAAAAGGAAATAGTTTGTCAGAAGTGTGGTACCTACTGCAGCAGAAGATGACATCAGGCTCAAATAGATGGTTTTGAATTGTTAGGTCTTTGCATCTGACAGTGCTTTGAATGTAGTGTCTTGGGTTCTTTTAGTGCAGCTCAGTTTGATATTTGTAGGCAACCAGAGCTGTTAGTGTTCTGTTAATGTTGGTACTTCTGTTATTTTTGTATCTTGACCCTGTGTTTATGTGTGTACATACATTTTAAAATCTCTGGGCATAATTTAATTTCTATTATTACTTAACCACTCTTTCATCTAAAAAGTGCTTTCTGGATTCTTCCACTGTATCCATTTTAATGCTCATTTCAGCTTAAATATATATGTAAATGTTTTTACAGACAGCTGGTTTTAATGGTTTTTAAAGTACAAGTTCCATTTATCATAGGCTCTGATAGAAGGCTCTAGGCACTATAGAGTCTGTTTTGTATAGAAGTGTATGATTTGATTGTTAAAGAAAATGGCTAATATTTCTCATTTTTAGTTTAGAAAATCAGATATATTATTTAGTAGAACAGTATTTAAGCTGCTTGTTGGTTATTCAACTGGCTGCACTTCTGAGCATGGATTTTACGTATGACCTCAATAAATGTCTTGGACTTTGTTTTTTTGGGGTTTTTTTAAGAAGTATTTGGTAGTCGCTTGAACTATTTCAGACTGGGCCCTCTGAAGATTAAGATTAGTCACACTGAATGATAGAAGTTTAGGTATCTAATACTAAGCCCGAATGTCATGTGCTGTTATCCGTAATGTTAGGAAATGAAATGACACCTTTATTCAATTTCATTGTGTCGTTTTTGCTCATCGACTAGTTCTTTAATATTTTTGTAAGAACTAGATTTTCCAACACTGTGCTTGTGTCACAATGAGGATTGTATTTCTTAAATATTTTGTTGTACTCTAGAAGTGTAGTATTTTCATAATCTGTTACTAATGAAAACTTCTTGTATAAAAGCATTTAGCTCTGGTGCTATACGTTTTTTTTAAAAGAGAGTTAGTAAAAAGAAGACATATCATCTAAGAAGATAAGTTCTTATGCTGTAGATCAACTAGTGATTAACTTCAACTAAACTAGGTGTAAAGGAAATCCCCACTCATGCATGTTTGCTGTCTCTGCATAACAAGCTTGTGGTTTTATAAACCACTTAAGAATATGCAGTGCATAATATATTTTGTGCCAATGTTAGACAGTATTGAATATGCTATCCTGTCCCCCATGACAGCTAAGAAACATAACAATATTAAAAATTAAAAACACTGAAAAAACTGACTTTGTCAGTAGCTGTGATTTTATGTGGCTCTTCTGAGAAAGCAGAGCTTGTATAAAACTGTAGGCACAAATGTCAGAAATGTATGTGTTAAAGAATAAACAATTTCTTTATTGTTTTTAATTTTCTGCTATATAATAAGCTTAAAAGTCGCTTAATTTTTTATTTTTAGCTTTCTGGGTAGCACTTAATCATTTGATCTAGTTTCTGGTAATGTTTTCTGCTCCTTTGAAGGAATGCTTTTTAAATTTGGCATTGAAGAAAAACCTAAAAAATGCTAGTTATGTCTAATATATGAATCAAGAATATTCAGGTGTCATAGCAGCTGTGAAATCAGAATTAGAATAAAGCAAACTTTATTGGAAACAAATCTTGTCCTTAGGCGATGTACAGTGTGTTTTTATCTTTAGGAGCTGCACACTTACTGCAGTCTGGATTTTCTTCCTAAATTACATCTCAGTCCCTCCTTGTACAGCTTTGTCTATTTCAGATAATTTGAATTATTTTCTCTAATTAGAAAGGTATTTTCATTTGTATGTAATGTAATTTAAATGAAAAATATGTTTATTAATTGACAAAACTAGCTTGATCTCTGTATATTTTATCTTCCTTTTTAATTTCAGTTTCAATTTCTTAACATCTACCAAAATTCATAAATTATTTTTTCAGTAGTTTTGTTCAGTTTAGCACTTTCTTGGATGTTGCATTACTTTACAGTACAGAGTTTTATATAATATATGCTCTGTGTATTTGAAAAGGAACGAGGTTACTTACCTGACATAGCCAAGTGTAAACTTGTTTTTCTAGATATAGTGAGTAGTGTAAGACCTTTTTATTTATTTAATTTTCTAATATATGTTGAAATTCTCAAGTATTGTATCTTACAATGACCTGAATATATGTTCCTATATATTATGTTAGGCTTAACTTGTATGTTCATCATAAACAGCAGTGTCTTTCTGTAGTGAACTCCAACTTTATGGATGCTTTACTCATTTTAAAACTGAAACATTAAGTAAGAGATTGTTTTGTTCACTTCCAAGGGTTCCGTAATTGTTTTCCTCAGCCTGCTGATCCTTAAAAGAAAAAAATTTAAAAGTTAGCTTAACAAAAAACAAAAAGAATTTGAAACTTCTGTGGTTGATTTGCCAGTTAATAGGATTTAAATTTAAAAACAGATTTTTGTGCATGCTACTTTGAGCAAATGCTAAATCCTAAAGAATTTTAAGGATCTTTTTCATGATACCTATTTCTTGTTACAGTTTTCCGAATTTCCAGATCCGATGTTGTGTTCAGATTATGTGCAGTTACTAAATTCCCCACCTTGTTGTGAGCAAAAATGCAGCACTGTATCATGGGAGGAGCTGAAATCCATGGATTTACCATCTTTTGAACCTGCATTCTTGGTCCTCTGCCGAGTTCTGCTCAATGTTATCCATGAATGTCTAAAGCTAAGGTTGGAACAAAGACCTGCTGGGGAGCCTTCTCTTTTGAGTATTAAACAGGTTTGCTTCGACTCTATTTTTTTTTTTATTTAATATTTGGTGTTTGACTTTGTAATTTCGTTATGATAAAGTTGTCAATTTAAAGAGGAATAGTTTAAACATGGCAGTGTATAATTATGTAATAACTTTTATAAATAGTCTTGTATTTCATATGGAGATCTGGTTTTTGCATAGTAAACAATTGGTCATAGATACATCTCTAATTCAGACTTCCAGGAATCAAAACTAGTGATTAAAGAATTATCAGCCAGCAAAGGTAAATAGTATTTGTTCCATTTGCATTATAAGCTATATAACCTTCTCCAGCACAGTCTTTCTCCATTTGGGTTTCTTAGTCAGCATAACCAGTTTTCAGGGTCTTCATATTTCTTTTTTCTTTGATTTGATCCTTTATCCTTTGCAAATGTAAGACCTCTGCCAGCATAGGTAGACACCTAGTGAAAGTTGATTAAGAAGAAAAATGAAATAAAAAATATTTATTTCCCAGCATATTCTTTTATATAAATATCTGATATTTCCTGTGGGTAGTGATCCAAGATTGTCAGTCCTGTCACTAGTTAAGAATGTTGTATGAGGATTTCTTTTCTGGTGGTTATCTGATACAATGAAGACTCTTTGCATCAATGCCATTTTTCAAAGTCTGGTCCAGGGCACACCAAAATTATGTGAAGTCATCTCCCTGCTCCCTGGCAAGCTTTACCAGGTCAGAGTTTTATCAGGTGATCTGTAAGGGTAAACATTTAAATAAGGTCTTGGTCTGATTATGATTTCACATTCCAATTATCTGCTGCTCCAAAATAAATTGCTAAGTTGCTTTATGGTCCCAAATAAATTTCAGTCCTCTCTTTTCCCCTCACCTCACTTCCCCCCACTTTTAATTTCTTTGGTACACTAGGATTTTGGATGCCCTTATATCCAAAAGCACAGTACCTACAATTTCAGTCTTAAGAGTGGTAGTTATAGTAAAATATATAATATAGCATACTGTATTGTGAAGCACAATATATCCATTTTTCCCAGAGATTGAGGCTATTTTTTTGCTGTTATATTTTGTGTTGTCCTTGTGGACTTTGAACCAAGTAAAAATGACACTTTTTTCCTGGAAAACAATGTGTTTGTTACAGACTGTTTTAATGGTGTATACTGTCTTGCGAATTACGTTGAAAAAAGTGAATTCAACTCAGCAAATTCTTGCTGTCCCACGCAATATTTCTGAGCAGGCAAAGGAGCTGTGGAGGGTATTTCATAAACAGATGTATTTGTTTCCTGAAGAATTATAATTCCTAAAACCTTGGGCAAGCTCAAAACAGTCTCCAGGGGTTTGTTTTGTTCTGCAAGTTCACAGAATATTACAGAATTACAGTGAAGTCTGTGTTGAAGATACTCTGGTCAAGCCTTCTGTGGTGGAAGCTGGGCCCTGTGTCAGGTTATCCAGGGACTTAGGTCAACACTTCTAGAAGATTTTTAGAGAGAGATTTTAGATAGAGAGGTGCAATTTATGAATAAGTAATTTCTTCTTTGTTGACATGCATCTAAATCTACAGCTAGAAGCACAATAGTGTATTGTATGTTAATGCAGGTGCTGATTTCTTAATTACCAATTCTGTTATCCACACACCTGTTAACCAGGTAGTATTTGAACACATGTTTTAATGGTTAAAGAAGCAGCCAGCTAAAGGCTGGGTGTTTGGATAAGGGAAAAGCATATCTGATGATCAGCACTCTGTCTAGATGATCTTAACAGCATGTCCTACCTCCTGGAATTTTTGGGTCAACAGTCCTCAAGATTTTGTGCAGAATGCTTCTGGTCTGTTACTGCCGTGTGGCACGTGCATTAACTGGAAGGTAGTCTGACCTAGTGGAAAAGTGAAAAGTCACACCTCCTTGGTTTCTGATAAGTGACTGAGACCACTGGGAGCGGGACCGCAATGGACTGACCAGTTACTGTGTTCTGCTTAATCAGGTTTTGTGCATTGGGTATATAGGCCACTTAGAGTAGGTGTGATGTAAATTTTGGAAATTACTGGAACAGAAAAATTTGACTGTTTGATGGCACATTCTTATTTTATAGGTCAAGTAAATGTGGGAGGGTGCAAGGGGAAACAAAAAAAGCAGACCACCAAAACCCAGAAAACTTAATATAAACTTTCTTGCTCTAAACTACAGTACCCTGGAGGCTGTGACCTGCCCCACCTGCTTTGCAGAAACGAATTTATTATAAAACTACCTAAACAAAAAGCAACCCATCAAACAAAACAGGAATAGTGATAACATTATCAGTTTAAGCTGCACTTTCTTTAGAGTGCTCATTATAGACAATATTTTTTGTTTGCCTTACTGCCTTGTGAGTTTCAGTTCCAAAAGCTGACTCTTAAAATAAGCACTACAGTTTATTTGGTAAATCCTCTATTATGTTATTCACTACAAGTCACTGTATAGCGGTATTATTTAAACAAAATATCTGTATTTTTAATGAAGTTTTTAGAGTATTTTATTTTGGAATAGACAAATTAGTCTCTGCAAGTTTTAGAAGTGAACTTTGCTTGTATCTGTAACATATGCCATACTATATAGTAAAAGTATTATGGATAAGTGATATCACCAAGCCCCATCTGTCTCTCTGATGGATAAATACTAATTTTAAATTAATTTTCTCTTTGTGGATCCAAGGGCAAAAAACCCTGATAGGTTAACAAAAGAGTACACTAGATGTGATTGAGAGGAGAGTGAAGAATGCACATTCGTTTTTAAATATATGACATGTTAGGAATATAAATGTGTAACTATTGGATTTCCACATTATAAAAAAAATATTTTTTTTCCTTTTTTCAGAATATTATCCTTGTTCTCCTTCCTGTGGGGGAACACAGCATAACATGTTCTGGCCTGTAAAAGATTCTAAAGACTGTTGTCATATTAATAACGTTGTCTATTTTTTACTTTTGTGCCATTATAATTTCTCATACTTTAAGTCCACTATATTGATATATTATTTTGCCAGGATAGCCATTATAGAAGATTTTTAAAAGCAGATTAACCAACAGTTCCATTCCCTGGCCCTCCAAATGAACCCCTCTCTTCCTCTCAGACTCTTGATGTAGTGAAGTTGTTGCTCAGAAAAGGTCAGAGGTTGTCAGACTTTTCAGGTTGGAGACTGAAAATACCAGAAGAATATGCACTTAGCACTGGAAAGACTTCTGAAAGAAAGAGATTTGTTAGTGTTGGTCTTGCTGCTTGTGTACTCCTATGTCTGTGGTTGTGCACGTTTCTCCAAATGAATAAAAGCTGGAAGCTTTCGGGGCGGGGTGACAGCTGTTTGGCCAAAAGTGACCACTTCTGCAGTTGAAAACATACCTTTTCTCATGTTTGCCTTGTCCAGGGGAGCAACAAAAGAAACACTAACTATTTTCCGGTCTGATACTGGTTTTAGAGTTGTGGACACCTGCCCCATAGATTGACAGTGAATTCCCTGCAGTAAAACATTTCTCATAGGTCTCTAAGCATCTGTCTAACACATTGCATATTATTCCTGACTTGATTCCATTTAAAGTGGTGAGTTGATAATTGTGAGCCTTCTTGCCCGCTTTTAAACTTTTTAACTCTCCTGTAAGTTCCTAGCTGTGGCCCTGAGCAGGGACTGAAGTCTGAAACATCTTTATTTGCAGTTATGTGGCAAATGGGGGCAATTAAATAATCCTGGAAAACTGGTCACATCTTTCCTGCAGACATGTAGAGCGACTGTATTTATTTCTAAAAACTGTTGAATGTAATGATAAACTGAGTTATTTATACAAACAACTGACAAATTGAGTTGGGGAATTTAGGAGGAATGCTTTGACTGATGGCAGTTTTGGGTTTTTTCTCTTGCAGCTAGTGAGAGAGTGTAAAGAGGTTCTGAAGGGTGGCCTGTTAATGAAGCAATATTACCAGTTTATGTTGCGGGAGGTGTTAGATGACTTACAAAAGATTGATTGCAACATCGATTCTTTTGAAGAGGACCTGCATAAAATGTTAATGGTAAGCCTCCAAAGGAGAAACTATTTGGAGTTCTAGTAAGTGTATTAATCTGAATACTGCTAATAGAAATCTGTTGTTCCTGTTGGGTATAGGTCTTGCTAATTTTTTTGTTGTTTTGCTACTTTAAGTAATTTTATTGTTTTAATGGACTTGTAAAGGTAACACGGTAGCCATTGCCATTTTAGCAGTGATTTTAGCAAGACTGATTTTTGTTTACTGGACTGTGGTACAGTATACTGGTAAATTGCCTGTATTTACAATTAAATGGTTCGTAAATAGAACTGTAAATTCCAGACATTTAAAATAAACATTGAATAACCTTTTCATGTCTTAATCTTTTGATATTGCATGCATCCATTAATGGTACCTTATTTTTAATGTGTATTCACTATTGCAAAAAGTTAAACCCAAAGAAGTATTTTCAAGACACACACTTGACCTCTGAAAGATATTAAATGAAGTATTCTTCAGTAAATTTAGTTTAAATTACTGTTCCCTTGGATGTGAATGGTTTTTATTCTTTGAGTTGTTTGAGTTTTGTCTTCACTATTCTGGGGGAAAAAAAAAACCCAAGATACACCTCAATAGCTTATTATTAGTGTTTTGTCAGCAGAGCTGTTGGTGCCATCTCTTGTTGAGTATGCATGGATTTTCCTATTACATGCTTTTCATTGCCTATAGTGGTGAAAATACAATGTTTTATCTTAAGTTTCTTATGCCTGAAAACAAGAGGAAGTGTCTTAACATTTCTAAGGAGGGACATTAGTTGATGTTTTGGATTACTGAACTAAAACATTGTAAAATTGCAGCTAATTTTTTGCACTCAGTATGATCCTGAAGGGCAGATCCTTGAAGAAGAATTGTACTTACCTGGATTTTTATGCTGTTTTAAAACAATAATAATTAAATAAAGGTGAGATATAAGATGATATAAAGGAAAACAAAGGTAGAATCTGATGAGGCTGTTCACTGCATTTATCCATAGCCAGGAGGGTATGTTCAGATAAAACCTTTTGGAGTAATTCACCTAATAAAAGATTTAGAAACCATTCAATAGTTCAGCTTTAAAAACTCTGGCCACTGCGGGTATTCACTGATGCAATGGTGAATGGCAGCACAGCAAGCAAGGTGGTGATACTGTCAATATTTTCAGAGAAGGATCATGAGGACATAGTATTTGACACTTGAGTAGCACTTTCTACTTCCAAAGCCACCTTTCTACTTACCAGTGCACCTTTTGGGTGGAAATGTGTAGCTTATTTTCAATCATAGCAAACAAAAAATATTGTAGAAATATTTTCTACTAATTGTATAATATTGAGATTGTTTGTTGATTTGAGAAGTTATAGTTATGTGTTGTATAAAAATTTGTATTTAATTAATCTTTTTCCATGTACAGGTTTACTTTGATTATATGCGAAGCTGGATCCAAATGCTACAGCAGTTACCTCAAGCGTCTCATAGTTTAAAAAATCTGTTGGAGGAAGAATGGAATTTCACCAAAGAAATAACTCCTTACATAAGAGGAGGTGAAGCTCAAGCTGGAAAACTATTCTGGTAGGTTTTTTTTTTAATTACTCTGCTTATGGTGTTGACTTGTACCAGATCTGTCATTCGTCTCAGTGGCCAGTCTGGTCCGAACCACGACAGTACTCAAGTCAGCACTTGTTCAGGGTTCCCAGATTGTGCTTCTTGAGGCCTCAGTAAGCAGCTGATAGGCTTTGTGAGTTTTCGGTTATTACAGTGACTGTTGCTATAGGATGCAGTACGTGCAGGTTGCTCTCACTCTAGCTGTAACAGGAATGACTGCTTCCATGGAAAGTCCCCGTTCCTGCGAGCCCGGTGCGTGTAGAGTAACTGAGGGCCCCCAAGATGCTGCTTGTTTCTGCAGGCGGACTTGGCAACACGGCTCTCTTGCGTTGGACAGAGTAGGAAGAAGTTTAAGGTGCCGTGCTACCCGAATAAGACTCTGAAGTTCCACCATTTCTGTTGCTACAGTGATATTGCAGGAATGCTGCTGAAATCTACAGGAATATTTTTAGATTCTGGACTACAAGACAGTTGTGATGAATTTTGGGCCAGTGCCGATGACAGTACTGCATCAGATGAAATCAGGTATTAAGCTCTTCAGCTTAATAATTAACACACTCATCTTTCTGTACCCCTGACAGGCTGGCAGGTGCATACCGCTTCCTATGTCTTAGAATGAAAACTTCGTAAATGCAAGACTCCATAGGCTTTATTGTGATATTTCTGTATGCAGTAGTAATGAAACATCATTTTGTTTGTTTGAAGACTAGTAACCTTCTTTTTAATTCAGGGTATGAGAGATTGTTTATGTAACATTCTTTAAATTAAATTTTTATATCCTTATCAAAACGGTGTCTGTGTAAGTTCAAATTACTTCACTCAACTGCTTGTAAATATTTATATTTTCTATGATCTTTCTGTTGACATACATGTAAATAATTCTTATTTTCTGATAGCTATAAAAGTGCAATATGATTTATTAAAACATTGTCACTTCATTCTTACCAATGTTTCAGGAGGTCTGTTATAGAGACGAGCCGAGCACTCAAAGAACTGTTTCATGAAGCTAGAGAAAGGGCCTCCAAAGCTCTTGGTTTTGCTAAAATGCTGAGGAAGGTACGTTAATAGTAGAATTTCATCTTATTTATATGTTTTAAAGAAACTTAGTCTGAAAGCATATTCTTTTGTTTTGTCACTGCTTGTAGGATCTTGAAATAGCAGCAGAGTTTGCATTGTCAGCCCCTGTGCGAGATCTTCTGAATGCTCTGAAAACAAAAGAGTATGTGAAGGTAAATTCAGTTTAGAAGCATGGAAGTAGATTGGGGATGCTAAGCAAAATGTCAAAGGATATTTATTGACGTACTTTCAATTTTTTAATGTGGCATCTATATCTCAGCATTTGGGAGTTGGACTAGATGACCTTCAAAGGTCCCTTCCATCCCAAGCCATTATATGATTCTATGATTTAAAATGTCATGCGTTTAATATTGCATTGTGGGAGTCAGATTATCTCCTGTACCTGTGTTTGCGTGAGTGAGAATGCTAGTCTGTGTTTTGGGAAATCAGTGTCAATCAGTGACAATTCCTTGTCTTCCCAAAGATTCTCTTGGTGACTTGGGAAAAGCCATTTTGCTTCAATAATACTTACTCATTTCTGAGAGGGGAGTAATAACACTTAGTAGGGAGTGTTATGAAAAATAAATGTTTTAAAGTTTATGAGGTAAACATATACATCAGTAAATGGACATGTTTAAGCAGCTAATGTCAGACTATGGACCTGTGATTTGTGTGCTTTTATAAAGCAAAAATATTATAGTGGTCTGCTCTAGCAAGCTTCTTTAAGAGTACTGAGGATGTGAGAAATGTAGGAACTGTGTTCGGTTCCAGAGTAACTGTTGCTGGGAAACTGTTGTACAGCAAAAGTAGGGTAAACTCTTGGTGACCAATATTTACTGCGTTATAAATTCCTGCATTTGTGGTTTTGCTATTTATTCCTTAAAAATTCCTAGGTCAACAAGTCTTTATTGTAGTTTGAATTTAAGTTGAGAAATTGTTTCAACAGATTAAATTTATTTGGATCTGCTGATTTTTTCTGAACTTCCATATATTTAATATATATGATTCCCATTTGGGAAATAATCTATAATTTTTGCATGACAAAATTCTTGTTAGATTTATATAAATGATTTCTAAAAGTAAAAATTGGTTCAAGGGGAGATGAACAAATTATTAGGAGAAAAGATCACAAAGGATTGTTAAATACATGGATGAAACATCTGGCTCAGCAGGAACCCTGGTCTGTGAATTGTTTAAGAGTGGGAAAATAGTCAGGGAAATCAGTATATGTTTACTTTTAAAAAATATTATTCCCCGGGTATCCACTCTAGGCTGCTTTAAGACACAATATTAAATTTGGTAGACCTTTTAGTTAAAGATAGTATCATTGTTCTTATGCACATGTTTTGAAGAAAAAACTGAATCTTGAGTTTGAAAAAATTTGTGTAAACACATAGATTATTTTGATCTCAAGATTTATCCTTCTTTATGTATTACCATTCCCCTTTTTTCACCACTCAAAATGACATGTTTGTGACTAATGCTTCATATGTTGGCCCTCTGCCATCATGTAGGGAGTTTAAATTTGTAACAGCCTTTTCAATTGGATGCTCATTGGTTTGGGGAAACTATTTTAGCTTTCAGTAACAACCATCTAGTTTTTCAATTGCCTGTAGATTATAATAGTTTTAACTATAAAATATGTCTGCCTGATAGTGAAAATGTTGAGTGCAGTGTTTTGTCTTCGCTTAATGACATCAAACTCTGAAAAAAGAGAATTAAATTTCACTGTAAGTCAGTTACCTTGTGTCAAATCACAGCTATCAACTATTTTACTGTTTTCACAGTCTGATTCTGATGCCTGATTTTGTTAAAGTACTGTTACCAATGTGACAGATATAATGGAGAAGTAGTTTTAAGTAGTATAAGTTGTATTTTACTAAAAAGAACACTCTTATTGGACTTAATCTCTCTTTCATGAATAGTAAAAAAAAAACTGATTTTTTTTTTTTTTTAGCCATATTTTTCCTTAGTCTTATCTTTTGTAGCCACTGAGAAATGTTACATGGATTCTTAGAGACACTGATGGAATCTTTCTTCTTTTGCTATTCTAGTCTGTGTGCTTCATAAGTCTTGACCACTTTACTTTTTAAAATACATGTGTATATATATTTTATACATACATACACAGACATGTATAGTATATATGTGAAATCGGACCGTTTGTAAGAGGATTCCTTTAAAAGAACATGTTGAAGAATCACTTGAAGGTGCAAGGAAAGACGTCACTGAAAATTAATGATCTAATGGATTTCAAGACAAATAGCTTATTATAATGCCTTTTGACTTTTAGTACAAGATGGCTGAATGTATTGTTTTAATATGTATATTGTACAGATGTTTAAGATGGAAACTCTTCCTGTTGCTTAAATGAGATGAGATGTATCTATTTTATCTTTGTTATGTATCATGGAAAACCATGAGATTCACTCATTCGGTATATCTGTAATTTTTTTCTGCAGGTACAAATCCCTGGACTCGAGAATTTACAAGTATTTGTACCAAATAGTATTGCAGGTGAGAAATCTGTGATTTTGCAGCTCCTCAACGCAGCTGCTGGAAAGGATTGCTCAAAGGATTCGGATGAAGTTGCGTATGAAGCCTACTTACTGATGACCAAACACAGCGATAAAACCCATGAACTGGATGACAGCTGGAGTTCGTGGGAGGGCCAGCCAGTCAAAGTAGTGCCACAAGTAGAAACTGTTGATACACTGAGAACCATGCAGGTTTGTTTTTTTCCCGTTAATGTGTTCTCCACACTTCTATGAATTCTTACCCTTTCAGATTACCCACAGTAATTTCAGTCAGGCATGTGTCCTTTTGTAGGTAATAAAAAGTTAAATTCAAGGATAGGATTGATTCTTACTTACGTTCATGCAAATATTAAATTATATGGATTTGTTAGAAGGATTAATCTCTACAATGTGCATTTTTCAGGGTTGGATTTTTATAATAAAGAGATACTTTCAATATCTAGGGGGTGTTCAGTATCAGAAATGTGGCTAGGACTTGAAAACTGTGCATTTTATTGAGGAGTCACCAGTCTCCAAGAATGTGTGGCAGTTGTGTGCTTTCCACACACTGAGACATGAAACCAGTTACTTTCAATCTTGGACGAATCGTGACATTTTAAAATTGAATTTCTGTGGAAGCTACTGGAAGTTCAGCAGTTCTGCAGGGAGAAATCTTTCCAGTCATACTTTCCTTCATCCCAGGCCAACAGGGGTTCCCTGCCAGCAGTTCTGCTACGCTCTGGCAGCTGAGCCAGCTGCAGCTCCTCCTCTTCTCATATCTTTATGTTAAGCTAAGTGAATTTTCCTTTTGGTATGTCATGCAGTTCCTTGGATCCCAACCATAAATGGGCTCTACTGTCCACAGAGTGACTTTCCATGTCACTGTGCCTGGCCTCTAGCGTTCAGAGGGCTGTAGCAATTACAGGCAGTTGAAAAAGTCACTCCTGTACATATTGCTATTTTTAACATGCAAGCATGTTACTTCTTGTTTGTCTGTTGCCCAGACTGAACAATAAAAAAATAGCCTTTGATTAAGTGCCTAGAATTTCATTGGACTTCTATTGAAGTTAGCATTTCATTCAGAAAATGAGAACAGTAAAAGATGGAATTTGGTTTGCAAATGGTGTTCTATCTGACATATATAAGTACACATAAAACACTGTGTGTTTGAGTATGTGTTTTTATGTGTGTTTGTATAACACCATTTATTAATTTTGTAAAATCCAATATTGAAAGATTAGGAAGTAAAAAGTCCAGCAGAAAGATTGTGTCCTGTGTTTTTTAAAAAGGTATTTTTATTGCAAACTATAGAAAATGTAAGGTGTTATTTAAAAAACAATAATAAAAGAGAAGAATCCCATCAACATTTAAAGAATTTTGAGCATGAGAATAATCTTTGGGGATGAGGTATTGAAAATCTAGATGAGTAACTTGTTGGAGATTCGTTGTCTGTAGTTTGAAATCAACAGAGCTTAAGTATGTGACTCATAGTGCCACAGCAAAGGCAACACCATCTGTCACTCGGTACTTTTATAGACTTCTGCAATATCAGAGCTCTGGTTTCCAAAACATATTCTTACATTTTAATAATTTTCAAAATTTGAGCAAATACTGCGTGGTAAATCTGTGGTTTTCCCTGTTCAATAGTAGGTTTTGTCCTGAGGTCAATTACATTACTTGGATAAAATCTGCTTATTTATGTGATAGTTGTTACCTCCATCTGCTTTGAAAAAATACAATTGTTTTGCTTAGGTTCTGCCTTTCTGTGTTTATACAGAGATAAAATATAGAGATATACAGAGATCTCTATTCTGGAGATAATTTTAATGCAGTGTTTCCCAAGCCTTTTCATAAATGAATTGGAGTATATTTGTTGAAAACTTGCTGTGGCATTTGCCCAACGGAGCTCTGCTCATAACATGAGGGTTTATCAAGTTCAGTTACCAGCATGAAGATTTTCAGTGGGAATTAAAGATTTTAATGAATAACGACAACAGAGGTCTTTAATATTTTAGAATTTAAAAAAGAAAAACAGTTGGAATTTTCTGTTATGGGACATGTTTTAATAGAGAGGGTATTGTTAATAAGAACTATTGGTATTTTGTATTCTTAGGTTGATAACCTTCTCCTTGTAGTCATTCAATCTGCCCACCTTGTGAGTCAGAGGAAAGCTTTCCAGCAGTCTATCGAAGGGCTAATTTCTCTGCACCAGGAACAGACATCCAGCCAACCGATCATCGCCAAAGCTCTACAACAGCTAAAGGTAAGCAGTTCTCAAGATGATCTTGGTCAAAATTGATTATGCTTTGCTTGCTGATAAGTAAAACTGTGGAAGGAGACTTGATTGCAATGAAAACAACATATTATGCAACTGTGGTTTATGGAACCTCTATGGACCTTATTTTCAGTACAGTTTTCGTTTTGTTTTTGCAAAGGATTTGAGAGTGTATTTTTGAGTAATATTGGTGTAATCATTTTTACACTGGCTAAGTGGGAAAGAAGTCCATAATGCAATAGAAATATTAATAGGAACAGAATAAATACATCTTTGTATGAGAGCATGATTGAATTGAAAGAAATTGTTTGATTTCATAAAAATAAATTCTATCAAAATCCATGATCTGCAAGAAACAGCTGTTTTTTTCCCATGTTTGGAGGAGATGGGTACTTTGTGATATAAAAAGGTCTCTCTTTTTTGTGTGTTTAGTGTGTTGTTTGGTGTGGTTTTTTGTTTTGGTGTTCTTTTGTTGGATGAAGGTTTTCTTCGGTGGGTTTTTAGTTTGTTTGTTTTGGAGGACCCAAAAAAGCAAAGATTTGATAGGTTGAAGTAGCAATATCAGGTCCCTACATTTTCCACCTGAGTTGAATAGAAGCTGTGCTTATGTACCAGGGTGAAAGTACAGCTAAATGCTTGGTCACATTACAGATAGTAAAACTCATTTTCTCTTTTCTTGTCTGTCTGATTTTGGTTGGGTGTTTTTGTTCGGGTAGTTTTTTGGTTTGTGTTTTTTGTTTCCCTTTGCTGTCTTTGTTATTAAAGTTAATCTCACTCAAGCAAACAAACTTAATTCTAATATTTCAGTTAATTATAAGTCTTGCTTAGCACAACTACTGCAGAGTGTTTGTTTTTCCAAGACTGAATGAATTGTAATGGCATTAAAATACATTTCCATTTAAAATAATGTAATTTTTAGATTCACTTTTGCCTCAGACTTGTCAGCTTTAGAATATAAATAATAACTTGGTGCCCCCCATCCCTTTTTGTTGTTGTTGCTCAGAGTGATGCATTACAGCTATGCAATAAGATAAGCAGTGCCATTGACAGAGTTGATCACATGTTCACGGCTGAGTTTGATGCTGAAGTGGATGAATCTGAATCTGCCACTTTGCAGCAATACTACCGGGAAGCCATGATTCAGGGTTATAATTTTGGTTTTGAGGTAAGGAAACAAAAACATCATGACACATTTGTTTTGTAATTTTGGTAAGAACCAATTGAAATGTCTGGGTTTGCGTTAATGCAAGTAAGGTAACCGTAACTCCAGAAATGCCACAGAAATCTTACGTGAAAATGATTGAAAAATAACAGATAGATCTATTAAATTCAGACTCCAATTAGCAATGCCTGGAACTCTAAAAAGATTTCAGACCTTGATGAATTCAGGTGTAGTCTCATAGGCTCTGCTACTTGGCAGCATTTTAGATGAGATCTGAAATATCCTTTGGTACTGAATGTCATTGTGTAACTTGGCTTCTCACAGTTTTTCAGCCTAGAATAGTGTAATACTGTAATATGAGCCATTCCTTCAGAGTTTGTGGTGGTTCTTTGATGCAGTGAATGTAGCCTTTGAGTGCCTTCCTTGGAGTACTGATGAAGAAATGTTGTGTTTGGATGCTTTTAGTATACTGTTTCACTACTGGATTTTTGTGAGCCCTGTGAATTTTTTTTAAGATTGTATCATATCCTACCTTACTTCTAAGGATAGTCTTCTAAAAATCAGCTAGTGTTTTCTGTTTAATTTTTTAAATGTGCGTACATACTCCTTTATCCCCTAGTATTATCTGCAATATAACTAAAAGTAAACAATGCTTCGCAATATAATCTCTGATTACAGAACTGAGCATTTATTTATGTAGCATGGTTCTTAAATGTCACAGTGTTACACAGTCTTAAATGTTGCATTGTTAAACACCAGCACATGCCCTATACGTGCAAGAATGCAATGTGTCTCAAGTGCTGCCTCTTGCTAAAACGTATTTTGGATCATATGCTTTTTCATGATATTTTTTTCTATAATTATAAATTTTTTTCCCTATAAATATAAAACTCGCATAAAATAATTTTGTCTAAGAATAGGATGTGATGGTTACCATACTTTAGCCTGCCGATACTCCAGGGGATATTGCAAATGGTATTTTTGTTCTTCTTCCTAATACGTGAAAAGTAATCTTTAGTTTCTTACAGTACCATAAAGAAGTTGTTCGTCTGATGTCTGGAGAATTCAGGCAGAAAATTGGAGACAAGTATATCAGCTTTGCCAGAAAATGGATGAATTATGTGCTAACAAAATGTGAGAGCGGCCGAGGCACTCGACCCAGGTAAAAGCCAACTTGTTACTGCCATAGTAGTTTGTGTTTAAATACCATGCAGGACTTTTCACACTGTGAACAAAGCCTTATTGTTTAGAAGTAGTTCTTCTGAGCTATTGATGTTTCTGACTCTTAAATTTTAAAAGTATTTTGAATAGTAAAGGCATAAAGCCAAATAACACTCCAACTGCTTAGAAGATTTTGTGGAACATTTTGCCTCTTGTTAGCTGACAGAAAAAAATGGGAAGAAAAAGTGGAGATTGTTGGACCCAGACAATTGAAAGACTTTAGATAAGGGTCATTAGGTTGGAACAAAAGTGCTGTGTCATCAGGAGTCAATAAAGATTGCAGAATGTGCAACGCTTTTTCTCTGGGTATTCTACAGAGAAAGCAGTATTCTTTTGTGCTAGTTGCAGAAACGATGTATGTATTGAAGCTTTAGCCTCCTGTAAAAGTCCTTTGATTAGTCCTTTCTGAAGGCATCTAAAGTATGGCCACAGGTAAGAAAGAACTGTTTCCACTCTGGTGAAAATCCTTCAGTTTTACGATCGCTGTAATGGATGTATTTGTGGATGTTTTTTGCTGTAGTCTGAAGTACTTTCTGTCTGTTGACAGAAGTGTTGTGCCCAGTGATTTCTCAAATTCTACGTACAGTCGGTGCTATGAAACGTTACTGCTGAGCACTATTGCAAAAAGCTAACAAGTTACATCACTTTGAGGATGGAAGCAGAGAAACTGGGAAACTGGCCCAAGCAGAACAATACCATTACTTGATTTATTTAGGTGGTTTTGCAGCATTTTGCAGTTGGTATATTAGAAATTATATAGAATTCTTTTGCATTACAATAGGTGCCTAATATTGGTCTGCACTAGCAGATTACACATCTGTGACAGTTCTGTTTCCTTAAAGTATAGGGCTGATCAGTCTGTCCTGGGGGTGGTTTGTTCTGCTTGCTGGAAGAAGAGGAGGAAGGAGTGGGTAGGCTGAACCATGTGTGGATAGGCTGGTTAGCTTGGTGTGCTGGTCTTAAAAAAAACAGGAAACAAAAAAGCTGGAAACAAAAGAAAAACAAAACCCAAAAGAAATTAAAAGGCTTTTTAAAGTAGGTTAGCAGCTAAAGGAGGACTTTAGACGACATTGGTCACCTCACAAATAGGGATGAAAATAAAGCAGAGACATTTAACGCTGCCTTTGCCTCTGTCTTTAACACAAATGATGGGGCTTGGGACCCCTAGAGCCCTGGGTTGGAGGACCACAACTGTGGGAGTGATAAGCTCCTGGTTGACTTTCAACTTGTACAAGATTTGTTGCTGCAATGAAATGCACACAAGTCTTTGGGGCTGATGGAATTCATTCCAAGGTACTGAAGAAGTTACTGCGAGGCCTCTCAGTTATTTATCAACAGTCTTGGGAATCTGTAGAGGTTCCTCTTGACTGGAAGCTGGCAAATGTTATTCCAGTTTTCAAGAAGGGCAAGAAAGAAGACCCTGGTAATTATAGGCCTCTCAGTCTCACTTCAGTTCCTGGAAAAATTATGGAGAAGATTATTCTGGGAGTTATTGAAAAACACTTCAGAGACGATGTAGTCATCAGTCAAAGTCAACATGGGTTCATGGAGGGCAAGCTGTGCCTTACTAACTGAATATCCTTTTAGACAAGGTTACCCACCTAGTGGACAAACAGAAGGCAGTGGATGTGGTTGGTTTTTGTTGTTTTTTTTTTAATTACTATTTTAGCAAAGCTTTAGATACTATCTCTCAGCATATCCTCCTGGACAAATTGTTCAGCATACAGCTAGACTGGCACAATATGATAACTGAAAAATTGGCTGAAGAGTTGGGCTTAAAGAGTTGGAGTAAATGGGGTAATATCTGGGTGGCAGCCAGTCATTAGGGTGTTCCTCAGGGCTCAGTTGTTAAGGCCAGTCCTCTTCAGTGTTTCTGGACACAGGAATTACGTACCTACTAAGTGAGTTTGCCAACAATATTAAATAGGAGGAGCCACTGATTTCCTCAAGGGTAGAGAGGTTTCAGGGATATCTTGATTATAAGTGCTGGGCAATCACTGACCTTATGAAATTTAACAAGGACAAATGCCAGATTTTGCACCTGAGGTTGTGTAATCCTGGATATACATATAGATCGGGGCCCAAGAGATTGGAGAACAGCCCTGCAGAAAGGACTCTCAGGGGTCTGGTTGATGCTAAGCTCTATGTGAGTTAACTTTCAGATTGCCCTGTATAGAGTCAGGAGTTGGACTCCGATGATCCTCACGGGTCCCTTCCAACTCAGGATATGCTATGATTGTGCTTGCATTTTGTAGGTTGCAGCTCCTAATTCTAGTAGGTCTAAAAGAAGGCAGTGGGGGCAGAGCAGGTGGCTGAAGAGAACTCTCTCTACTTTACCAATCTAGGCCCTGAAACCAGCGATGCCCCGTTGCTGCTGATCAGATAGTCATGAAATCATTAGTACTCTTCATCTTGTTTCTGAAAGAAGTATTTAGGCAGGGGACATAGTAGTTTGGTTTGTTGCCAGCATATTATGAGTGAATTGATGATGCTGTTCTTGAGTTGAGATGTACAGCATGGCCTGCTAACTTTATTTTGCAGTGTCCTTGCTAAAATCAGACTTTATCCAAATATAACTGGGGAAATATTAATACAAGCTAAATATATTACCTCTTATGTATTAATCAATTTTCTTACAAAGATTTTGTCATATTTTCCAGAGGTAAAATAAGTAACTAATTTACTGTTCTTGGATGTTGTTGAAATTCTTATGATGACTTCACCTGAAGAGCAATTCATTTTCTGTCTTGTCTTTTTCTTGAGATAGATGGGCAACTCAAGGTTTTGATTTTCTTCAAGCCATTGAGCCGGCATTTATTTCAGCTCTCCCGGAAGATGACTTCTTGGTATGGAATAAGTTACTCTGCTTGTTGTTTATTTCTAAATACATGTGAAGCTATCAGTACATGTTATCAGGGATATTTTTTATACAGTTATGTCTGAATACAGATGCAGTTCTGAAACAGTTGCTGTTGTATATAACTGAGGATGTTGATATCTCTTCAGTTTGTAAGATTCTGAATAGAGTACGCTTGTGACCATTGGCATTAGTGTTTTCAGATTGCTATCAAGTTGCTGGTACTGCCTTGGGAGGCTATCTCCATTTGTCTCTTGGGAAATTTGACAGCAGCTTGTCTGCAGTTACAATTTATAGTTGTCATAATAAATTTCTCAAGATAAGCTTCTGGGGCTTGCTTAGCATCCACAGTTTATTTATGGGTATGAATACAACATCACAGTTGTTTAAAGGCATTTCTTCAAACTGTGCCAATGTGAAACAGGCTTTAAAGCACCTTTCTTTTGTTTTTACTATGTAAAAAAGGGTAGACTAAAACTGGCTTTTTTATGTGCTCTGCCTTCCCTGTTTTCCTATGGAAATAAAACTCTGAGAATTTATTTCTCTGATCTTGGTACAGTACTACAGAGAAGTGAAAGCCCAGTTGCCACAAAATAGCAGAATTGTGAGTGTCAGCACCTCTGATTTTTATTAATTTCAAGATGTGTTATGAAATGCCAACCACATTCATCTTGCGTAATACAGAAACTGTATAGTTTAGTCTTTTTTCACATGTATTTTTGTCAGGAGCTCTCAAGTAAGTTGTGTTTTGGTCCTATGCATGTATTGTTGGGAAAGGCTTGTCTGTCTAAAAGACAGTTAGGCTTGTATTTGAAATACATGAATACTGTAGCTTTAGGAAGTAGCCCCTCAGCTTTATTTATTTGCTTTGACACAGTTTCTAAAACACCTGGTATTTTGAAAAGTAATACTGGTATATTTCAGTGGTACTGTCTTGCTAGAGATCCCTTCAGTATTTAGAGGGAATCTTCTAAGGAGGAAAGAAGCTCAGAAAATCTAATGTGGCCTTTGACTTTATAAACTGGCAATTTCTTCCAAAAGTGGAATTGATAACCTTATTGTGACCTTGAAGGACAGTTAAAAAGCAATCATGCATGAGTTTGTTTCTGTTGATTGATTACTAAGATATCATGATACTTCTTCAAACAGAATGTTTTTATGGCAGAGGTTTCACATGTACAGAGAAGATAATTTGGAGCCAGTGTTATTTAAGATGGAGTGAATGAAATGAGACTCTGAACAAGTGAGAGAGAAAAGGGGGGAAACCAAAACCTTAACTGCATTTCTGAACTTTTGCTTTTCTAAACTGGATTTCAGTTTTGGAGAACATCATATGAAACCACGTTGATGAATCTGACTCCCGTGTAACACAGATCACAGCATTTTATGTAGAAATACATTATGTCAGTCCTAATGTTTTATTTAAATAATACCTGATGTCACAGAATAAGGACAGTCTAGATCTAAAGCGGAAGTTCTAGTTCAGTCTGGGTTGATAAAATATGGCAATCACAGACTAAACACTTTTTTTTTCACCTTTTTTAAAAAAAAAAATTGTTGTTGTTCATGTAGCTTCAATTTCCTGGTTTTTACTAAGTTTTTGAATTTCTGGAGTAAACAGTCATTCAGACTAGTCAAAATTATATAGAAGTGGCCTCCATAGCAACTGTACTGAAGAATGTAATTTTAATTCTTTATTGTGAAGACGTATTTTATCCCTGGTATTCTAACAAGTAAATTGAACCAGAGGAAGATTTTATAACTTGTCCAAGGTTACATACACAGTGAACAGTACACCCAGTAATTAGGCTTAGATTGCCTCAGGCCCTGTTCAGTGCTTTAACTATTAAAGGGTCTTTCGTGATATAAAGTGGATTTATATTTTTTTTAATATGCAGTGCTTCCTATTTTCTGTTTTACAGACTTTAGTCTTGTGATTCAGGCTGTCGTACTCTCACCCATTTTCTTTGGGTGTTTCTTCTTAGGGTGGGAAGAAGGAGGGCAGAGGAGACTGCAAGCTTGATTTTTAATTTTGTTAACAATGAGTATTTTTAAGTTCCTTTAGATTTATATTACAAAACATTCTTTATGATAGATCACTGTTCAATTCTTATGGTTACATAATTTTAACAGGGTGAAAAGGCAAGAGAAGGCTAAGATATCTAGTTTAAAAAAAAAAAAAGAAGTCAAAAGTCTAATGTGGATCCAGAAGTTTTAATATAATTGATAGAGTGTAGGGGTGCTTACTTGACAGATTAAATACTTAACCAGTGTAATTTTATCACTGTGAGCTTTACCATATGACTGTCAACTCTCTTGTAACATAAAACGTTACAACTTAGTTCTGTTTGTCTGTTCTAGAGTTTACAAGCTCTGATGAATGAGTGCATCGGCCATGTTATTGGAAAACCTCACAGTCCTGTTACAGGTTTGTACCTTGGTAAGGCAGAAGTCACTGGCATTTGTTCTGGAGCTTTGCTGCTATTGTTACAGAATTTTGATTGTAAAGTAATTTTAAAATGCTAGAAATACCAATAAAAGTATTTTCAAGCTTTTCATGATTGTGGACATGAAACCATTATTGCCTGACAAAGTTACATGGTGGTTTTACTCAAAAAATACAAAAATCTTTACAGATGCTTTCCTCTGATTTTTGTCCTTGAATCTCTCTGAAGTCTTGCAGATCTTTTGGAAAAGGATTGTGATTTTTCTTTTTAAAGGCTGGGTAAAGAAGTGATTATAACTTTAAGGAAGGAGTTGCAGTTCCTTCTCCCTCTCATTGTGGCACTGCAGATATTTAAACTTCTGCCAGTATCGAGGTACAGAGGAGTTACACCTGGGACCTTGATGTAGACCTGTTGGAAAAAGTTCTCCGATGTCACAAAATATGTGACAGTGTAAAAAATACCTTTGGCATTAAAATGAAATCAACATACTTAATTGCTTAACTTGAGAAAAGGGTATTTTCTCAGCTGTATTTCCCTTTTATGTATCTCTGTTTCGGCCCTCTTTCTCTTTTCCACCTCACAAGTCCATTGAGTGGAGTAACTTTCAAAATACCACGTTGTCTTTCTCCTGATAGCCACTTCTGGGCAGGGTTGATGCAGAAGACGTGAAGGGAAGGTAGTTTGGCTCAGGCAAGAGGAGGTTTTTCAATATTTTAGGAAAGTTTCAGTTTTGATGTAATTTTTATGAGAAAAATCTTATAGCTGAGAAACCTTTCACAATGAAAATCAGTCCAATCCTTTGGAAAGAAGCATAGTCTAAAATAAGTTTTAGCTTAACTCTGTACTGGGATGTAAAACTGGTCCATTCGCTTTTGGTATGTTGGTCAGACAAAGGCCCACTTTAGGTAAATCACTAGCATGATGACCCCAAAGCACTGAATCTCTTCTGAATGCTACTGCAGACACAGCAGGTCACACAAACTAAATTGCGTGACAGCTTTTGGCTCAGGGGTTCAGGGAAGGGGCGAGACAGACTTGGAGCTGTAATAGGGGAGAGGCTGAAACTGTAATATGTGTGAAATAAACATAACTAAACATAAACTATCCTGGCTGCAGGTATTGCAGATACCCCTTTCTGTTTCATGGTTAAGAGAAAAATAAGAACTCCTAGTTGCATTTGAATACCTTGTTGAGGGACTTAAACCTACTGTGATCTTTACTCCTTTTCCCAAAGCTGAGGGTCCAGCTGTGTTCATGCTCCTGCCTGTACGCACGTGGCTGGGGGTCTCCCCATGTTTTATCCTGTCTCTTTGCTTTGTGAAACAGCCTGTGTCCATCCAAGTGGGTTAGGTTCTGCCTTCTGAGTCTTGTGCTAGTGTCCTTGTGAATTATAACAGGAAAACCAACACCTGGCCCTGGCCTCCCTAACTTGTCCTGGTACTGCAAACAACAGAATCTGCCAGTGACCCGAGTGAGTACTGGCTCATGTTTTGATGGACGAGCAGACATCTATCTTGCAGTGTGATTGCCATAATATTTTCCTGGATAGTCAAGGAGGGTTTGAGGGAAAGGAAGGTTGCAGACTACTCTTGTGGGCACTGAATGAGCTAGACATGAGGACGGTGATGACTCATTTAGGTTTGACCCTGTCCCTTTGTACCACTCCTTGAGGCAGACTGTCGGGGCAGGGGGGGTTAGTATGGGTAAAATGGTCAAATGGGATTTTTTTTTTTCCTCATTTTGCTTTTTATTATTGTCTGAGAAAACTAATTCTGATGCAAAAGGAACATTATAAGAGTTTGCTTTTTAATTTTTTTTTGTTAATATTTATTTTGTGATAACAAATCATCTTTAATCCGTGAAGTTCAAATAACGAAGGTGTACTTTTAGTGAAGTAAGTATGCATCTTCTAATTGCCAGTTTTTAATTCTCTGGAGAAGTTTCATTATTTTACAGTTAAGTTACATGATCTAATAATATGAATAATACTGACACGTGCAATTGATTTATTTGAAATTTGAATAATTTGGATTGTTCTTAAAGGACCAGAAAATATGTTCCAGATCACAATTAACTGTAAAATAATTTTCTGTCTTGTAATGGCCCTAACAGAAGTTTTTCTGACATCTGAGTAAATGTGTTTCCTTTTTTATGTTTGCAGCTATTCATCGAAACAGTCCCCGTCCTGTAAAAGTACCTCGGTGCCATAGTGATCCACCAAATCCTCATCTTATCATCCCCACGCCTGAAGGCTTCAGGTATTTATCATTAGTACAGAGTTCTAAACTGCTTTATCCTCTCTTATTATGTTGACTGACAGTAAGTGGAACATCTTTTCTTTCCTGTAGAGGGCAAAGCAGGTAGAAAAAACTATCACATTAGAGATCCAAATTTTATCAACGTGCTTTTAAGAACAATAATGTTTCTTTTTTTCTCCCCTTCTCCCCTTCCCCTTTATTTTACAGTTTTTATTGGGGCATGCTTTCTCACTTTGAAGTCATTCTTATCCCCTTTGCCTTTCCTGAAAACAGTGTTCCAGTGTAACAAGCTTTAATTCAGTGAAAGCTCTTCATTCACAAGACTTTTATTTCCTTCCCCACTTTGAATGTCTGTGTACACCCCCGTGATGCTTTCTGTAGCTTAGCATAGATAGGACTTAAAAATGTAGCATTTTGGAATATGGTGGCATTTCTGCGTCATTACCAACCTGCTGTGAAGAAGCTTAAAGCAAAGGATTATTTTCCCTTTGAAAGTGGTAACGTGAGAATTAATGTAAAAATAGTTTCTTAAAATTAAACTTTGCCATGCATATTTTTACACAGAAGATGTTTTTTCAAGAAGATGGGCACAGTGTCAAACTCTACGCTTGAAATGTTTTTTGAAAGTTGCTTATCTGTTGGCAGAAACTAGTACTGCTCTAAAGATTTGGATATTTTTATTTTGAAGATTATTATGATTATTTTATGTATTGACAACCCCTGAATCTTCAAACACCCAGACTTACCCAACATAAAAATCTTTATCAGGCCTCATTATGCACATTTCAGAATTTTATTTTTAAAATAAACTTTCAAGTCCATACATTTTTATATATTTTTTTTTTTAATAACTGTTTCCTAAGTTTTTCTTCTTGCCACAGCACGCGGAGTGTCCCTTGCGATGCCCGGAGCCATTGCAGCGTTGCTGTCAGTCGCCCCGCTCCCGTCGGTAGCGACTCAGCTCAGCCCAAAGCTGCCAGCAGTGCAAATGACACCAGGTAGCCCCGCTCCATGACGTAGCAGCCTCGTTCTACTTACATCACCCATATAACTGTTCCCACCTACTTACATCCCAGTACATCATTTGCACTGTGCTTCTCCGTCCCATCATGTCTTCCACTGGCTCCTTCATCCATGTTTGACTTGAGCAAAATCTTACATCTTAGAAATAGATAAGGCCACTTTCAGAATTAAAATGTCCGACCATTACCGTAGTAAAAGCATGCAGTTCTGACGTAGATTACAAATCTGCTCAGTCAAAATGTCCATGAAATTAACATACGCCAGTCAGTTCATCAGTGTAACTTTACTAAATAATTAGTGTTGATAACTAACACTTTGCACTAAGATGACTGTAACATGCAAATAAGCCCAATTATATATATATATATGTATGTATATTTCATGTTAACTAACAGTTTTGGTATTGTTATTTTCTGCCATAAATGTTTTGAAATACTACGTAGTGGCAGACACAGCATTAAACACCTAAGATTTCAGGGGTTTTTTTTATTTATTTCTTACTACACCTTTGGCTTCTTAGGGTTCTGCAGAATGAACTTAATACAGAAGAAAGCATTCCTGTACCAGGATACATAACAGAAATGACTTCTGTATTGTCTGCAGAGGTCATGAGTGAATTTTTTGGCGGACCTATGTCAGTATCTTTCTTGCTTTTTGGCCTCTGATTTGGCTGTTGCATTTCAGACTGTTGGTGTTCCTTCTTCCCATACCATCGTCAGACCTTTGACATGTCTCCTAAGTTCTCTAAATTTACTCTTTTTTTTAAATTATTGTTTTCCTCTGCACCTGACTGTTAAAATCCTACTATTCATGCAATGATGTTATCTTAGGGTTTATAAAGAGCTTTTTGGATTCTTATTTATACTGCAGAGTAACAAAAACTCTCTTGTACAACAAAGAGAATGGTATAAATGATCACACATGATCTGACTGTATCACACAGCTGTAGAGAAAAGGAAGAACAGGTGGTGAAGGAATAACAGAATGATAGTGACCAGTGTGAGCTTAGATATGACTTGATTGAGTTATTTATTTTTTAATAAATAATTATCAGTTGCTAGCCAGCAAACCCTCATGGTTTGTAGATTTCTTACCAGATGCACAGCAGAAGCACATGCTAAGGTGTTAAGAGGGAAATGAATTGCCACTGCTTATATGGACTTTTTCCTGCAAGTCTTTTCAGTTTATTTTTATGATAAGATGTGAGCTGCACTCTACATTAGCCTCTAGATGCACAGCTTGAGAGTCTGAGCACTTTTTTTGGTTGAAAATAGGTCCTGAATTTTTGTCATTCAAAATACATGTATTTATTGTGTATTTCTCATGCCTCTGTTTTTAAGCCCCCTGTTGAGAAAGACAAGCTAGGCAGCATTCAGGAGCACTATGCACTTGAAAAGCCCTTTTCAAATAAGGAACATTCTAGCGAATTTTCACTTGGAGGTTCTGGCAGCTGTATAAGCTGATGAGGTGAGGGTTAATTAATAGTTATGATTTTGAAAATGCAGAACTTGTTTATTTGATAATTAGTCTTTATGTGACATACGAAGCAGATTTTTTTTAGAATGCATACAGCATTTTGAGCCAAGGCATGTCTTTGAAGCTAGTTAATTTTTCCAGAGAGAGGTAGGAGGCTAGTTTTTTATTACTTGTAGGCTTTGTTGTGATTTTATACCACTCGATGCAACTGACAGGTTTATAATATGACACACTTGACTACAGTGGTGTATTCTTTTAATGTTTTCTGCATGTGTGTCCTACACAAATATTGATCCAAGTGTGAAGATTGGCACTTTGACAGTTTCTTGTAGTTCAAGAAGATATTCATTAGGAAGAAAAGAAACAAGCATTCTACTTCTTAGTTGCAATCAAATGCATAATACTTTCAACATGAAAGTTGATGTTAATGCAGCATTTTAGTCTAATTACCTAGGCCTGTTTTTCAAAGGTGTGCATTTTTCTTAGAGCTTCCAGTTTTTACATTTTTTTTTTACGTGTGTGTTCATTGCCTGGATTTTTAAGTATCTTTGTTTAACCCCCTGTATTACCTAGGAAGAATTTGAAGAAAAAAAATTATTAAAGCAGAGACAGGAGGCTGCTGTTGGGATTTTTTTAGGGGTGTTTGTTTATTGTGGAAGACAAAATATTACATTAATGTATTTATAGCAAATTTCAGTTTTTAGCATAGTTAAAAGAAAGTTGCAAACTTCAACACATTGCAGTGAGAAGTTGAGATTATGGATTTCATTTATTTGTACTCCAAAAGGGACATGGAATCTGTTGGATCAAGCGAGTGTTTCTAGGTTTTGTATGCCAGAAGTGTGCAGCCCAGCTGCTGGAATAGCACAGATACAGAAACTTTGTAGACTTTTGAGAAAATCTTTAGATATTTATGACATGATTGTAGGCATTGTAGGCATCTATAAAAAGTTGAATGTAGGAACTTGAACATGGAAACTTGATAAATCAATTGTGCTAGGCAGTGCATAGTGCACAAATGCCACCATAGTTCTATTGAAGTTTTTCTTTAAAAAAAAAAAAAAATCATCAGTTTAATGTAACTAGAAAGTACAATCCAAAGCAGCAATACCTGGTTGTTTACATTGAGCTTTCTGATGATTATAAGTTTTCACTATGTTCATACTAATGGCCTTTATAAATGTTTAATTTCTGAGCTAGCTGGGTTATTATTCATCATTTTATATTTATCCAGCACCGGAGCAGAAGTTTAGCAAATCTTCTTCTCTTTTACTCTATTTCTTTCCCTAATAACATGCACACAATCTTTCTCAACACAAACAGTAAAAGATCTGGGTGGCTGAGATAGGCCTAAAAAGGATTTTAGACACCTGTATTCAAAGCTATGATGCTTAAGGTCCTCTGTTCAGCTGCTGCCTCATTTTAGAGGTGCTTTAGCTTTACTTGTTTTTAAGCTCTGTGCACATCTAGAATTTTTGCTCTGTATGTGCTGAGAATATCCTCGGCCGCCTTGCTGATTAAAACCTCAACATCTGGAAGAGTACTGAGAATTTTCACTAGTTTGGTTTCAGTTCCTCCTCAAAAGATCTAGTTGGGAGCTGTAGGGAGTGCAGAGCAGACATCGTATTGAGAACATTCACATGGGAATAGGGTGTCTTGGGTTTTGGCTTCTGTTCTTAAGAATGTGAAGATTGTGTCTTTTTTTTAATCTTTTTTTTTAACTATCATAAGGTAATAATTTTATACAATTCGGAAGCAACTTTAGGGCTGTAGAGAAGTTCTCTCATACGTGCGTGCACTCTGTGATGCCAGGTATCTTTCATCTTTTTGCAGTTGTTCGCTTTCAGTGAAGGACTTTACAATGTTCCCTGCTTTCCAGTGGTGTTTAGCTCTGACCCCTAAACCATTATGTTAAAAGAGACATCAGTCACAGCTCTTGCCCACCATCCTTTAAAAATTGAAAGGGAGCTTTGTCCTAAAGGAGTTATTGTAGAAAGACTTCCATGAGGAATTTATTGCTCTGAAACGTGGGTGGATTGATCAATGTCTTGGGATGGAGAAAGGTGACTGAAGACTTAAGGTTTTAAGGCTCGTTTCTCTCAGTATTGTTTCCCTTTCTGTTCAGCATGTGTATTCATCTGGGTCTTATTCTGAGGTGTCTAATTCCACTCTGTGCTCTCTGGAGGAGCTTGGGCCTCCAAGGGGTCGAGCTGCTGGCATTTAATACTGCCCTTCCTGTCAGCTGGCCTGGGGCTTGTCTCGCTAGGTTTGACTTTGTGAGTATGGACTGTGGCTGTATTTGTGGGGCACTAGGGACGTATGAATTCAGTTACCACCCCTCATCTGATAATGTGGCTCACGTTATCACCCAGCTGAGTCGCTTCTGATCCTATACCCAAACCTGGCACCAGCTGCAGCCTCCAGCAGCTGCCTTAGTAGTGTGTTACAAGCAATTCAAAGAGATTCTGTTGTTACGGGCAAGTAACTGTTTCAAGTAGTTCATGCCTTTGAAGTTTAGGGTTTTTTCATAGAGCGGAATAACTTAAAATTATATAAAAAGCGTTCATTTGGGGGAAAAAAAAGCATAGAAAGGCTTTTCAGTTTACCTCTCAGCATCTGTTTTCCTTTCATGTTACTTTCATGGTTCATGTCCTAGGCTTCAAAGGTTCTTTCTCTTTGGAACTGCAGTTAAACTGTCACTAGTAGTTATTTAGTGCAATGCTAAGTTAATTAGTTCAATGGCTCTTTTTAACAGGGGTTCCAGTGTCCCTGAAAATGATCGACTGGCTTCAATAGCAGCTGAGTTGCAGTTCAGATCCCTTAGTCGCCACTCCAGTCCCACTGAAGAGCGAGAAGGTGATTGTCACAGTAACAGATTGTGGCCTGGATGTACAGATGATTTATGTCATTAATATATTTCTCTCTGTTCCCATTTCTTACTGTTTTCAAAATGTTTTTTCACCTTTTCCCATTCAAAAATCTTAGATTTTTAGCTTTTAGGCTTATATTGTCAGAGTCAGTTCTTCTGTTTTCAGACATATCCACTGTTCTCTTGCCTTTCATATCGTTTCTGAATTGTACCTAAAGGACTTTCCTGGTGTCTTACTAAGTTACAGTGTTCAACATGAAATATGAAAGTGTTCAAAATGAAAGTAACATAATTACTGAATTATATACCCCATTCAGTAGTAAATTTCTGAATGCTGTTAATGAGGTATGAACTGGACCCATCCAGAACAGCGAAGTTTTCTATCCAGTTCTTTAGCTACCACTGATGTATCCATCGTCCAAATACTTGCTGTTATTTGCATCCTGGAAGAAGGGACAAAGTGTGTGACTTGATGTCCTGATCAGGGCTTCCCCTTCAGGTTTCCCCAGCCCCTGTCTATGTGGTATTTATTACAACAAATACCTTGAAACATTGTTTGTTAAGATAGTGTGTTCTTTGCAAATCAAAATGAAGTACAAAATGCCAAGTGAATTAGAGTTGATACCGTGGTCATCCTGCAAAGTGAAGTGGATTTCTAAGAAAGAAATGCCTTAAGAATTTATACTAAGAGGTGTGGGGGGATATTTTTGGTTTGTTTGGTTGGTTGGGTTTTTTTTTCTTTTTAAGCAGATGTTGAAAATACTGTCTGCTTCATGCTTACTTTTTTATGTATCTGTGTGAATGGAAAACTGGCTTAGATTGGAACGAGTATGGGCCTTTTTCTGAGGAACCTTAGAAGCTTGTTTTCCTAGAGATTGCCTACATACTTGATTCTGAGTGCCCTGGCTTGAAGTGCTTCCCTCAGCTGTGGAAGGAGATCTCTGTGCCTGTATACATTGCATCCTATTTCAGAATAGATTTCATAATTTGTTTTTTAAAGAGAAGTAATTTTTGAATTCAAGAGCATACACTGCGATATGCTTGCCTCATATATTTATAGGGTGTATTAGTCCTGATATGTAAGATCTCAGCTTCTGCTGAATATTGTGGCATAATCCTTAATATGAGGTAAAGTCACTTTCATGCTCACAGTATTGTTTCTCTAGAACCAGCGTATCCAAAAGGAGATTCAAGTGGCTCGTCCCGGCGGAGTTGGGAGCTCAGAACTTTAATCAACCAGACCAAAGGTAGGTGTCTTGGAGTCACTATAATGTAACATCTATTAAACTAGTGCTGAACTGAAAGGCTGAATCTTAATGCTGATTGTGAAGAGATTTTCACAGCTTTGTACATAGTAACGGGGGAAAAAACATCCTGATTGCAGATAGAAGGTACTGCTAACAAAATCACAGGGTGTACTCTGAGGTGGGAGTAAGTAAACTTCACAAAAGTTACACCTTTTCAGTTTCTGAAAGATACTGGCAGTGTTGTCCTACAAAGTGAGTACATTTATTGCTATAGGAACTGCAGAGCTTTGCTCTCCCTATTAAATGTTTAATTATGAATTGCACTTCCTCACTTCCATGGGATTTTCTTATTTGGGATGTCCAACAGTGCGTGATCCTAGACCCTTTCCCAAATTCAAGGCTCTTATGGGGTCCCTTCTATCCTGCTGATTATTTTTATGAAATTTAAAGTAACTTGATTGCTTCCAAGACTGCTATACTGTACAGATAGATACATATAGCTTGCTTTACATATATTCTGGCAGGGTAGAACCTCATGAAACATTAGGTAAAAGTTTTCCGTCACATAAAAAGCTCATCTCTCATTGATGTAGCTCAGAGCACAGAAAAAACAGCAACGTTTTTTTCTGAAATCTAGAAGGCCTATTTTTTTTGTTTGGAACATAAACAGTGAAGGAATTGAGTTTGTTTAATCTAGAAAAGAGGGAAAATTGAAAATTTCTAGAAGAGAAGGATTTTGGTTTTATTTAACTTCCTTGAATCAAGGAAGAGATGATTAGGAAAGTACCAGTATTCTCATTTTACGTTAGTTTCAGATGTGATTCATAAGTGATAGTTTCATATGTGATTGCTAAAATGTTTCATTCTTTTCCTACATCTTAAATTAGACTCACAAAATAGTTGTCTTCTAACTGAGGTCACTTCACGTGATATCAAAAGGTAACGAAATATAAACACAGTGAATATTTCTCAATCAAGGACATTGTTCATCGCTCTTTTTAGACACTGCTTCCAAGCAAGCACCCATTGAAGCTGTTCAAAAGTCTGTTCAGTTGTTTGAAGAAAGGAGATACAGAGAGATGAGGAGGAAGAACATCATTGGCCAAGTTTGTGACACACCGAAATCTTATGATAATGTCATGCATGTAGGTTTGAGAAAAGTGACTTTCAAGTGGCAGAGAGGAAACAAAATTGGTATGTTCATTATACCTTCATTTATCGGGCTAAAATACCAAGCTTAGTATTTTTTAAGAAAATCTAAGACTCTCTTCTGAAATATTGGGTGTCTGTGTAGGTAATACCAGCTTTACTGAAATCAGAATACTAAAGGACAAAATACTATTGAAGCTAGGATTTCCTTTACATAGAACTTCAGTGAAGTTTTCACTGGTAAAATAACAAGAAACACAGGAGGAGAATAATTTGGTTAGAACAGTTACTTAGGTATGATCCTGTGATTCCTGGATGTGTTCAACCCTGGAAAATGCTTGAGTTCTGCTTTTGGAATAACTAGAAATATGAATGGAAATGAGCACAAACTTTGGGATTTGTTTAGTTCACCACTATTGTTGTTGTTTCCCCGTATGGTCATTGTTTCCTCTCTGGTTTGGGATTTGTGGGGAAAAGTTTCTTTCAGGTCAGCCTGTTAGTGTGATGTTTTTACTTTTAATCAGCTTGAATTCAGGACTGTAAGTGTAGTATGAGGTGTTACAGGTTAAAAGCTACTTGAAATTTTAAATGAAAATAAAGGTAAATAACATTGGGAAGCACAGTTTTCAGTGATGTTTTGTCGTATTTCAGTTTATGTACATGTTGCTTATTGAATGTAGTGTAATTAATTTTTCTTATTTTTATTTTAATTCTGCAGGTGAAGGCCAGTACGGGAAGGTCTATACCTGCATCAGTGTTGACACTGGAGAGCTGATGGCTATGAAGGAAGTGAGTACTCTGTAGACAAGAATCAGTGCTGCCCTGGTTTTTTCTAAACCAGATGTGTGTGAGTTAGCTGCTCTATTTAGCCAGCAGGGAAAGGATGGGAAGACAAACTGTTGTTTCATGTAGCCACATCTGCTGATATCACTTGTTTCTCCTTAAGTTGCAAAGCTTTTTCTTTTCAGCATACAGCTTTCATTTTAAATGTATGTAAAATGGATCATGTTTTTTACTAGTCTCATAGGGGTGTTCTGAACTTCATGAATGCTTGCTTAATATGTCTGAACTCCCATTAAGACATCTTAAATTATTTTGGAGTATTCTGATCAGTGAGGACACTGCACAAATTTATATTTACTTTGCAGTATTTAATCTCATACTTTATTCCCGTTTTCTATATTCCTTAGAGAAGATAAGAAGCATCACATCAGATGTTTTTCAGCTTCTCCTGTAGTTTAAGCAAGGCTGAGTCACAAAACTGTTGACTAACCAAGTGGTTAGTCAACAAATTTAGTTTTCAGGATAGAAGTAAATAAAGCTACGTAGGCATAAAGATCCTTTTTCCCTACGGACCTTGTTTTTTAAAATATTTGTATTGTTTAGTTTTATTGGATTTCCACATCTTCAGACAACTGTGAGCATCAGCTGTTCACAACAGTTACCAGGCCAGAGCACGGTCCATGTTAGAGCAGTTATATTTTATGAGCCGGTTCTCACACGCACATAATACCTCTGTGATCTCTCAAAGGTGTGGAACAGCAAGATTGGGCTTGTGTTTAACTTCTTGTACCATAGCCATTCACTGACTAACTAATACCAACACTTGACATTTTATTGTTGTGTTTTTTGGTGTGTTTTTTTTTTTTCTCACAATGACATAACATTTCCTCCCCCCTCATCAGTAGCAGACTCTATTTCTGGAATTCAAAGTTGCTTTCCAGATGCAGGTGCTTTTTGACAGAGCATGTGTGTGCTCTTTAGCAGAAGTTCAAATAAGTTAAATGGACGTTGTTTGACAGACACTTCACTACTAGGCTAAACATCCAGCGTGCTGCCTTTGCCTGCAGTATTTTGAACTTCAGAATTATTTCACCAAGAAACATTCCCTGCCCACCCACTGTGGGCTTAAATGCTAACTGCTTGCAACTTCAAAATAAAAGGCTTTTCTGGATTTCCTTAAAGATACCTTGGGAGAAGATTTATTTATTTATTTTTAAACTGGTTAAAAACATTGCATTCCTCCCATAATTTCTTCAGACTTTACTGTCTTAACCAGACTGTTGTTAAAATCTCTACAAGTTATCGTGGACAAGCTTTACTACAAATACATAGTATTGCAATTTCAGAACATTAGGAAATATGGAAAACACTTTAATGTCATTTGTCACCTTTTTGGAATCTCCATGTATTTAATTTTACCACTGAGTACAAAGTGTATCCTGGCATTGTTATACAGAACAAAACAATCGTAACATCATAGCAACCAAAGGTAAAATATGCACATTTATTTCTCTAGCAATTGTCCTGTACTCAATTAATGAAGTTTATGCTTTCTACCAGCATGGTAAAAGCAGCATCTTCCATAACTTGCTATGTATTTTTCTTATCTTTGTTTGAATAGAAGCTTTAAATCAGTTTTGCAGAAGACTTCGTAATTTTTCTCCTCCATGAAAAATCCATCACAATATGTAGGAGAGCTAAAGAAAACCTGTATTTTTTATCAAAACCTTTATGATGGTATTTGTTCCATGCCTCACCTCTGCCTTGCAGCTGCCTCATTCTTAGTGAAGAAACCCCTCAAGGAATCCCTTAGAATCTCTGTTGATGAAGTACCTGGAAACGAGTCTTTCCTTAACAATAGCTCTCACTGATGTTGCTTTCAGATTCTCTTGTACCTGTCTATCTACTATATTTAAGCGGGAGGGCAAGCTCAGAAGAGATATATATGTGCATGTGTGTATTTAGACATTTAAGTAACAGCATTTTGCTGTTAAAAAGTTTATAAATCATCATATTTGTATGTGCTTTTGTAAAAGTAGCTTAGTGTTCTTTTTTTGTTTAAGTTTGGGGATGGAGGAGTGGTATTTTGGGGCTATTTGTATGATGATGATGCTTTAAAAAAAAAAAAAAAGGCATTTTTAGTTGTTTTCTTGATTTGGGTTTGGGTTTAGGGTGGGTTGTTTATTTTCCGGGGATGTTTTTGGTTGTGTTTTTTTTTTTCCCTTAGTGATTTGAATTAGTGGCAAAATAATGGAAAATCTGTCTTGCAGATAAGATTTCAACCTAATGATCACAAAACCATCAAAGAAACAGCCGATGAACTGAAGATCTTTGAAGGCATCAAACACCCTAATCTTGTTCGTTATTTTGGAGTGGAGCTCCATAGGGTAAGAAAACCTAAATTATTGTGGCTTTTTTATAGGGCAGAGAGAAAATTTTAAGGAGCTTTGCATCATTGGAGGTTTTACTTGAGAACATTATAGTTCAGCTTAATTGTCTGGGTATCTCTGTGAAATGCAGTGTGTCCCTTTTTCCTCTGAACGTTGAGGTCTCTGAAAAACAGTTTGGAGAAATTTTTTGGGAACTGGTACATAAACAGAGGAGGTTCACATAAGTGAATGGAGTGAGTAGCGCTGGAGCTAATCTATGCTGCTACTCTGTTTAACTGCTCGAAGAGCCAGCTCTATTAGACACGGTATGGTAACTTCTGTGTGGGGACAAAGACCTAAAAAGGCCTAAAAACCGTCACTGTTAGCAGCAAAGGTTGTACTAGTATCTTGTTGATTCCTGGAAAAATTTTGTGCTGGCATTTAAATCTTGATGCCAGACAAGTATCTTAAGCAAGCAGATCTTCTGGGATCCAGCTAGTGTCTCTTTGGAAGGAAAAAGTTTTCTTGCTTGAGCAGCAGAACTGGTTTTCTATATGGGGTTGGATTTCCCAGCTGTGTGCTGAGATACCCTATGTTTTCTTACTCTCTGCATCCCATGTGCCCTTCCCACCTCCCCCAGTGAGTGTCAGGTCTTGCCTGTATCTCTGCTGAGTGAGAGGAGTAGGGAAGAGGACGCCTGTTGTGTGGTCATGATTGATTTGCTTAATATGAATGGGTTGATTTGCTCACCCATTGCTGGTTTAGAAGGGGTCAAAGGTTGCTTTCTGTCCGCATTCCAGTACTTAAAGGGGGCCCACAGGAGAGATGGGGAGGAGTTCATCAGGGAGTGGAGTGATAGGACGAGGGGTGATGGTTTTAAACTGAAAGAGTGTAGATTTAGATTAGATTTCAGGAAGAAATTATTTGCTGTGAGTGTGGTGAAACACTGAAACAGGTTTCCCAAGGAAGTTGTGGATGCCCCATCCCTGGAAGTGTTCAAGGCCAGGCTGGATGGGGCTTTGAGCAACCTGGTCTAGTGGAGGTGTCCCTGCCCATGGCAGGGGGGTTGGAACTCGATGGTCTTTAAGGTTCCTTCCAACTCAAACCATTCTATGATTCACTTGGGAACAGAACTTTGGGTGTCTGTCTCATTGGGTTGCTGGTTTCTCAGACGAGTTCTAAGACTTCAGTGTCTTTGCCATCATTTTGTATTAATAAGTGTGGCTGAAATTGGCTGGGCTTGGAGACAGAGAAAGGCAACTTTTCCTTGAAGTGAGTTAGAGTTGGCATGCTTGTTCAAGCCACAGACGACAACAACAAACTTGCCCTGCCCAAGACATTAACGCATGATATTGTAGGAACTGGGAGAGAAAAAAAACAACCAAGCCCAAAACATCATTTTACTTTTTTTCTAAAAATGCAAAGGATTTTCTTGTATTTCTGCGTAATATGCCTACCAGATTTCTGAAGTGCTTTTTGGTTGATGCCAAAGCAATGTATTTTGTACCACCAAATAGTATTGGTTACACACAAATGATGCAAATAGACGTGTAGCAGAGATTTTCCATAGGTGTGCAACGGAATATATTAGGTTGAAGCATGCCCAAGAGAACAGAATTCTGAAGAGATGATTTATTAGATATTCCATGGTAAGAGGTACTTCCGTTAAAACATTACATGGTACTTCCATTACTCTTTTCACAAACGATGAAGAATGGAAGGAAAACTTGATCCTAATTCAGTGTTTAAAAAAAATAAAAAATAAAAAAAAAATAAACCCAATCAAATCCGGTTTGGTTCCCACAACAGGAAGAAATGTACATCTTCATGGAGTACTGTGATGAGGGCACTCTGGAGGAGGTATCAAAACTGGGCCTTCAGGAGCATGTCATTAGGCTCTACTCAAAGCAAATCACGGTTGCTATCAATGTACTACATGAACATGGTATTGTTCATCGAGACATTAAAGGTAACGTTAACCAGAAAAAGGTAATGTTGTTGTTTCAGTGTTGTAGATGAGGGTGGGCCGGGGAGGGATGGGGGACATTTTTGCAGATTCAGTGCACGTGATCTATACAGCCATTAAGTGTATAAAACCTTCCATTCAATTTTCAATTTACAAGTTACATACTCCTTTTTAAGTGCATAACATAAAAAACATTCACAGTTGGTGTTGCAAACTCATAAATTCTGCCAATGATTTATGTAGTTTCTGTAGAAGTTGTTAAGATTGTTGGGGATTTATCCAAACTCAGATTTTGGTCCTTGTATTTTTAGTACTAATATACTGAGTTCTGTAATGCTGTTTTTCTTCTCATCTGTGCAAGAAACAACGGTGTTTTCTGGGAGCTGACAGGCAGTGTACAGAGCTAGAGTTGTTCATCAGAACTTTTCCTTGCGATTCCCATTTTCCACAAGAGTTTTAGGGTTTCAGAGGAATGGTTGATTAAACATGGTAACAAAAGCCTTGTTAAAGGAAATAAAAATTACTTACCTAGTGGATTTTTTGCCATACATTTATCTACTCGTGCCTGGGTCTCAGCTTTTGCAGACTGGAACTATAATAACTGCAGGGGGGTTGGTTTTGGCATTTGGTTTAAGGCACCCAGTGTCAGTCCGCATTTCACATTCATTTTTCTTTTCTTGCGCCTTCCGAGAACATCCTCCATGTCTAGTTATCTTGTTTTTGTTAGTCTGGCATATTTTGCTCACCCGTGGCAGAAGCTTAACAGGAGGTAGGGGAAACAATGCACACAATGTGCCCTGCAAATGCTCATTTTATGACAAGGCAGTGCAACCCAACGATGCTGGGTTTCTATGTCCCTCTTGCTCACAGGGTTTTGAATCACCGCAGCAGTGTAGGAGGTTCCCAGTTGCTCTTGGTCCTTTGGCCTCGTGCTTCTCATTTGGGAAAAGAACTATCTACGATCCAGAGGCCTCCCACTCAGGTAGGCCCCTCTTGGGTCAGTTTTGGCTTTTTTTCCTAAAAAACACTTTCCCTCACTCCCATTACCCAACAGTCTTGCCTTTTCTGGTTCTCCTTCCTGACCAAAGGTTTCTCTCCAGTTGTGGATTTCCCTCCCTTTTCACAGTGCCCTCCTTGCCCTTTACTTGATCATTCCATATCCAGGTTCTGCTTAGCTGGGTTACGCTCTCCTGGAAGCTTGTTGTGATCCAAATCCAAGGCTGGCTGACAGGATTTCTTTTGTGCTGCTCTGTGTCATTACTGAACTCTGGATATGTTTCTGAGTAGGTCTTCCTCTCATCAGGGCCATGCAGTGAAGTGAGAAGAGCTGTCTGACAGAACTGCAGTGCTATGTTATCTCAGGGCATTTCTGTTGCAACAGGTTCCTCGTACCAATGTTGGGGTGTTCCTTGAGAGTAACAGCAGCTATAGACAGAGGGGCCCTGCAGGCACGTCTGTGTACAGACCTTCCCGAGACTTAGTGACAGAATATGAAGACAGACCACAGAGGGTGTTTGTATAAAGGGTACCTGATGTGACATGGAAAGCCTCTTGCTTTCTGTCTCCTTTCATGCTAACATTACATCCCCAAGTTTTCAGGCTAATGGCAGTCAAGAAAACTCTGGTTTTACTTTTGGCTCTTATGTAGTCAGGTCCTCTTATTTTTCTGATAGGGAAGAATGATAATACGTCATTCAGTCTGTTAAAACTGCTTTCCTAGGGGAATCTCGCTGTCAGATCACACCCTCGTGGCCAGTTTTGCTGAACATAACTGTGGATCTGTTTCTTTCAGCAGCAGATAACCAGTTCTTAGACTGTTTATCCATGCCCTGCAGTTGGTGTCTTCAAGTGCCTTGTGCTCAAAAATTGAGTCTTTTGATTAGTATTGCCCACCAGTGCCACCATTGTCCTTCAGATGCCATTTTGGCATCCAGTTCTATGAGTGTAAAAGCTGAAGCAAGACACAGCTGCCTTGAATCCTTTTCAGCCCATGGTTGTGAGAGCAAACTGAGGGCAGTGTTGGCTGGTTGTTATGCTCAGCTGCACTGGTTTGGATTAGTCTGAATCAAGGTGTGAAGTAGTTGGTCTGGTGTGTAGCAGGTGATTAAGTCTTTTGGGATAGTTTTTCTTTGTCTCTGTCCTGGGTATTGGATTGTAACCCCTGTGGCTGAGCCCAGATTCCTCAGTTATAATTACTGCACTTTCTGCTCAGTGATTAAGAATGGAGTATTTCATGCTGAAGGGAGTCTCTGGACTTCTCTGGTTGAGCCCTCTGAGGGGAACCTCAATATCAGATCAAACCAATCAGACTGCTCAAGACCTTGTTCAGTTGTTATGAGTACCTCCAGAGATGGAGATTCCCTTTTCTCTGGGCTCTCGTCCCAATGACTGACCTATCCCCATTATGAAGAACATTATGAAGAACTTTTTCCTGATGCCTCCCTGGAATTTGCAGAGGTTACTATTTGTGTCCATTGCCCCAGATCCTTTTACAGTGTGCCTTTGAGGAAACAGTCTATTTCCATCTTCTTGATATCCTCACGTTACTGCTGAAAACAGCAATAAATTCCACACACACTCCTCCAGTCTTGCCTTCATCAAGCTAAACAAACCCATCTCTCAGCTTCTCCTTATACATTGTGTGTATCAGCCTTCTGACCATCTTGATGTCCTTCTGCTGGGTTTGCTCCAGTCTTGTACTGGGCAGCCCAAAAACAAAGACACAGCAGCATGGTCTTGCAAGTGCTGAATTGGCAAGAATTAATCACTGAGGTCATGTTTGGTGCTTTCTTTCTGGGAGAGAAGGGCATATTCCTGAACAGGGCTCAGATTGCATTTTCAGAATGGATTGAGAAAACCAGGGGTTATATCTGAAACTTCAGTAAATCAAACCTGTGAATGAGATGCTCAGGGCCAGGAAGACTTCATCAAAGTGTTACTGTGCTGTTGTTAACTTCATTGTTAGCTTTCTTAAAATTTCTGCTATTCCTGCCTTCGTGCCTTCATGGTGAGCACAGGGGAAGGAAGGCCATTCAACAAGAGACAGGAGGCTGTTCAATGGGCATGTGTCACACTTTCTAAATTAAAAGAGGATCGTAAAGCTGATTTCTCTCATCAAGGGGTAGTGTTTGGCCTGCTTGCTCCTTGAACAAATTTGGCTGCTGCACTGCTTAGGTACAGGCTGAGGAATGTCTCTGAGCTGCCCCTCTTTGTGGAATTATGTCACAGTCTTTGGTGCTGCTCCTCGGACTCACAGTTTTTACACCAGCAGCTCTGGAATATCACACCAGTGCGGTTGTCACTGCGCTGCCTGTGGGGCTGACTTGGTATCCAGGGGGTGAAACTTCAGTTTAAATGCTTTGGGTCATAGCTATTGTTTTCTCTAGCAGGGCTACGGGTTTTGACATTTGCTCTTTGTTTGCCATCTGCCCAGAACACCTTGTGATACAAACGGCAGTAGGGCTGTGCAGAACTGGGCTGCTTCTTCCCTCTGCCAAGTACATCCAACAAAATGCTTTTGACAGTGCATGTGTAGGAGGAGAGAAGGAACAGATGGGTGTGTTGTGTCTTTTTGCTGTTTTAGCTGTGGTCTCTGGTTTTATTATGCTTATTAACCATACAGATGTGGTAGGAATTTTGTTGCATTCCCAGTAGCATAACTGTGAGAGGTGAAAAGCATCAAGCACTCTAAAAGTACTACCCTTGGGTATCCTGTTCTCTTACCCAGGTCCTGCAGGACCTGCGCAGGTCTCATCTAACGAGGAGACCCTTTTTAAAGACTCCTCCTAGAGTTTGGTCTTGGTCTGGGAAGCAGAGACCAAGCGGCTTACAAAGGAGAGGCTCCAGCAATAAAGCATCAGTGGAAGCCTCGTTCAGCCGACAGCAAATGTCAGCAACAGGAGTCTTCAAGTGGTGTCTCTGCCTTTACGGTGAAACTTCGGTTCATTGCTTTGTTCTGTTTGACAGTTCCAGGTGCTTTCAGGACAAAGGAGCTTTCACAGTAATATTCATGCTAAACTGTCATTTCTCTTTTTTAAAGGGACGAACTTTAGTTTGAAAGGCCTTGTAAGTAGTTTCTGAACTGTATTAAACCATCACAATAGCTTTAGGTTTAGTCAGAAAAGAAATGGCTGCACTTCAGCTCTGCCGGTTCCACCCCCTGCAGTGGTCAGAAACCAATTTGTAGCCTCCCATGAAACTTGCATCTTGCTTTCTTGAGGAACGGGAACACAGGTTTCCAAAACAGCCTTGTAAAAGTGTTGGTTAGTGATGGCCGTTTCTCCTAAGCTCTTTGGGTGGGCTCAGTGCACCTATTTCTATATGACAACTAATTGCTTGAAAATTATTAGAAAAAGCAAAGCTGTGGGCAGTAGTTCAAAGGAAAAAGCTGCTGATGGAGTAACTTGCTCTTTTGATGCATTGCCCATATTTAGTGTCCTGTCGAGCTGCCTTGTATGGCTTTCTGGAGTCTCTTTCATTCAAGGAGCCGAGGAAAGGTCTACCCAGCTCCATTACATGGGCCTGTGGTTGCAGGGTGACTCAGGACACGTGTGTCCCTCTGATGGCAGACTGCTGAACCCAGCCAAGGAATTCTCATCTTGAGTACGTGCAGGCACCTGAGTGCCAGGAGCAGAAGACTTACAGACACAAAATGCAGAAGAGTTGTATTCACTGAAAGTTAATTCTTTCAGAATTTGTAAGGGGCTTACAGTAATTAAAGGTTGGAATTTATTTCTGTTAATGATTTTTCTCCCCATTTTATAGTGCAGTTCGGTGCAACACCTCTTGGACTAAATAAATCTTGCTGTAGTTATCAAGCATCCTCTTGTTAGTTAGGGAAGCCCTTTGAGAAGCGGGCAGGGTTTTGGCATCATTGACCTGCACTGCATTCTTTTTCAAACTTGAGCTTTTTGAGGATTCTTTTTATTTTCCATTAATATCTTGGGGATGCCCAGCCACGCTAACTGGAAAAAGTCATTAACTAAGAGCACATAACACAAAGGAGGAGCAGACAGGATTTCCTGCACTGACCTATGCTCAAGGTGGAACAAAAGTGAAAAACGGTTGAAGGCTGTATTCAGATGAGCCATTTCAGAAAGAATCTTCTGTGGCATGGGAAAAGGCTCTGTGTAACAAAGCCCCCAGCATTCACCTATTCCTAGAGAAGGTGGGCAGTTTTGTTCTGTGCAAACCATTCATCTTTCCTCCTGAGAGATCACAGCTCAAGCTGTGTTTCTGCCAGGTGACTCTTGTGGCCTACCTGTGGCTTCACTCTGATACTTGGCAGAATCCAGGATTTGGCCTGACATGTAGAGTGAGCTCCGCCTGTTTTCTGTTGGCTGTCAACGTGTCTTTTGGCAGGATGTTGAATGAAAGAAAACCACTTGTTATCAAAACCACTTGACTTCTGTTGTGGTGTTGTGTAGAGCAAGTGACTTGAAGCCAACTGCAGATTCCCCTTGGAGATTTCCAACTACACTTGGGAAATTTTTCCTAGTGTAAGCTGGCTAGTATTTTTTCAAGTGTAGCCACCAATTACAACAGTAGCCCTCCTCCAGAAATTCTTCTGGAAGTAGAGCACAATAGGAGTGGGCATTGGGAAGTGCACGTAATAAAATGCTAAAAGGTATAAGCAAGCCTGCCTTCATGACACAGCTGTGTCTCTGTTGACTCAGCAGAAGTGAAAAGGTGGCCAGTGCCAGGTACACAGCAATGGCCTCCGCCAGGAAGCTCCTTAAGGACAGGTGGTTTTTTGCAGTGCAGCTCTCACAAGGAGAAGCACTGGAATTCATAAATTCCTGGAGCAGTATTTTCTCTTAATGAGCATGTGTGAAAGCCGATGAGTTTGCCTGCAGTACTGCTTTGTGTTTTGAACACTTCTCGTTGTCAACTTCCAGTACACTTAGTGTTAACACAAACCCACCAAAAATCCCATCAGCTAATGGCAACGTACCCTTTGGGGGACATCTCTAATGCTATTGTATTCCATGCTTAATCTACAGGTAAAGATCTAAGTGTGAATTCAGCTATTATCTACTGTGTAACTTCCAGGAGTATATTGAGAAGCCCTTGTTCCTTGATTCAGCACTAGTTTAACAAGTGTTACTGGTTTTTGTTGTGTTTCCTAGGAGCCAACATCTTTCTTACCTCATCTGGACTGATTAAACTAGGAGACTTTGGCTGCTCAGTGAAACTGAAGAACAACACCCAGACAATGCCTGGAGAAGTGAACAGTACTTTGGGGACTGCAGGTAAGGCAGCACGTGCTGGGCAGATGCTTGTCTAGTTTCCATAAAAGAAGATACCTCTGCCAAAAGTCTGGGCTGGAGTAAAATTATGTGTTTTAGAGAAAACTGATTTTACTGTAGCTAGTTAGATGTGCTTTACATCCAGAAGCCAAAACAGTCAGTAACCAATGTAACTGGAAATTGTGTTTGGTAACTATAAAGGTGCTGGAGCTTGTGTTTTCTGAGGTTGTATCGTTCTCCAGCAGTACTGGTCTTACTGAACAGCTGTGTAGAGGAGCAGAAAAGGAAAGAGGAGACGAGAGGAAATGGCCTCAAGTTATGCCAGGGGAGGTTCAGGCTGGATATTAGGAAAAATTTTTTCACTGAAAGGGTTATCAGACATTGGAATGGGCTGCCCAGGAGGTGGTTGAGACACCATCCCTGGAGGTGTTCAAAAGACGGGTTGATGTAGTGCTGGGAGGTATGGTTTAGTGATGGTGATGCTTCTTGTTTGTTGTGTGGGTGTCTGTTTTTGTCAGTCAGGTTGATGGTTGGACAAGATGATCTTTAAGGTCCCTTCCAACCTAGAAGATTCTGTGATTCTGTAATCTAGTCTTAAAAAATTAAAATAACTGCTGGTACAGTACATGCTTGCAGTTTCGCTATCACTTTTCAAACTGGAAGACAGCTATGCTGCAAATGTGTCAAAGAACAAGAAGCCAGCAAATGATAAAACTTACCAAGAAAAGATGAGTGGTAATTCATTCATTACAGATGTATTGAAAAGCTGGTTTGCCCAGTTAATCACTTAATGTATATTGTTCCTTCTGCTGTATGAACTGATGACATCGTATGTGTTGTTTCATAGCGTACATGGCTCCAGAAGTAATTACCAGAGCTAAAGGAGAAGGGCACGGACGCGCAGCGGACATCTGGAGCCTGGGCTGTGTTGTTATAGAGATGGTCACGGGCAAGGTAGGGATGTTTCATGTGCTGAATGAGTGAAAACTGTTCTTAGCAGTTTCTCTGCAAATCCTGGTCCCCCTCCCAGCAATTTGTCACACTTAAGTCTGCAAGTACTGGGGTGGTTTTTAATTTCCTGGGGTGCGGAAACGTGTGCTCTATTGGATAGCAAGTTACACGCTAACCCTTGCGCTGATCAACGCTGTTACCTGTTGCAGAGGCCTTGGCACGAATACGAGCACAACTTCCAGATCATGTATAAAGTGGGGATGGGTCATAAACCTCCAATTCCTGACAAAGTGAGCCCAGAAGGGAAGGACTTCCTTTGCCACTGCCTGGAAAGTGACCCAAAGATGAGGTGGACTGCCAGCCAGCTCCTCGATCATCCTTTTGTCAAGGTTTGTCTCCTGACTTTGGCTACAAAGATTGTAGATGGGAACTGCAAACGGTTTGCTTTTAGTTGGCTTCATCAGTTGTAGCTGTGCCACAGGGCTCTGTCTCGTGGCAGGAGGCTGTCCAGAGACCACCTTGATGCTCTTCAGAGAACAAGGGTGGGCAACTTTTCAGAAGCACGTGGGATGTTGCCAACAAACATTTGGTGAAAAGAACCTGGTGTGCACTATACAATAAATTATGGCATAGAGATACCATTTCACTGTTTTGAGATGCAGTATCTTTACTTTAAAAAGACTTGTCAGGCTTCAGTTCAGTGATAACTAATTGATCTGAAGGGCTCTGTGCCTAAAACTTCAGTGAGTACATACACACAAACTCTGTAATGTAGAGATAAGGGTCCCCTCCAAAAAAGTGAAACAAGCACGTGCTTGAGAACTCTACCATCCTCCCGTGCAAGGGTCTGCTTTTCTTTGAAGTTCATATTTGAAGTTAAGTTTATATTGAATGTTTATCTAGCAGTTAGCAGAACAATCTGCAGTTCTTGCATGAACTTTGGTTTAATGCTTCGGTTAAGAATAGACAAATACTCACAGCTACAGATTTAGGTCCGTTCATAACTTCTCCTTTGAAGAAGTAGGTTTGAAGTGGGTTATTGAGTTCTGTCCCGTTTTCCAGCATAAAGTTGTTTGCTTTGGTATTCTGATTCAAGAGCAGTGTGTTTGGGGTCATCACAGCCACCCCGCTCATCAGTGCAGCTGTAAGCCACATCCCTTCCATCACAGGGGCAGAATGCTTTTTTAGGCACATAAGAGTTGCACGGTGACAGATAGTGGAAACACCAGTGTTCACATATAAGCATTGGTAATTCATTATCTGTGTAACATGGGAGAAAGAAGAAACCTTCAAAGAAGTCCTGTTACCTTTCTGTTCCATGGAGATGCTAAAGAAATTGATGTCGTCATCTTGCTGCAACAGGGAGACAAGTGAATTAATTGCCTTTTGTCCTCTCCACAGGTTTGCACAGATGAAGAATGAAGTTATTCAATCTCTGGCCTTTTTTATTCTGGCAAGATATCTTTTAATCACTACTGTATGTAATATTTACATAAAGACTGTGCTGAGAAACAGTATCAAAGTTGACCTTACGAAGACTGCACAAGTGACGCGCGTCACTTCCTCTGCTGCTCCTGTATGTTTTATTGGCACATGTTGCTCATGTGACGGTGTCCGCGAGTTGGAAGAAGCTGCATGTTTCAGTGAAAGTGCCATTACTACTGTATATGGACCATACCTTTTTATTTGTTCTTTCTCCTGTTTCTCATTTGATTGAGAACTGTAATGTTAATATGTAGTATTTTTGAACTCTTTAGGTTCGGAAAAATGCTGTAGTGTTATCAGGCGTTATGGACCGTGTTTTTTAATCTGTTTGTTGAGTGCACTGACTGTGAACTTTTACTGGTTTTTTTGTTTATTTGTTTTTGGCAAGCTTCAGATTTGTTATGCACAAGGCTGATTAATGAAATTTAAAAAAAAAAAAAAGTTTTTTCTCAATAAATGGTTTATTTTAGGAGTTACTGGTGAAGGGTTTTTTTTCTGAAAGTAAGTATGTATGTATGTGGGGTCATGTCACATCTTAAACTTAATTTTCAATACTTGTTTAAGACTGCTAAGCTCACCTAACTGGAATAACCCTTGCCTATATCACAACAGTCAATGTTTTGTCAAGTTCAAGATATGCAAGAAGTATCTTACATGGCACAAGTGATAATAGAATTAAGGTTCCCCCCCATCATCCTCTCCTGAGGAAGTAAGGTGATGTGCAATTCCTGGCCCTACCCATTACTTAAGGGGTAGAGGCACGGTCTGAAATAACTTTTTCTTCTGGACTGCAGGGAATGGTCTGCCTGGTAGTTCTGTGGCCAAGAGGAGAATCAGTTGAGATTGTTCTTGTGTTCTGTTTGTAAAACTGAGTACTTACTGTTAGCTTTTTAAAACTGATTTCTGATCCTGGACTTTGATTTCCCCACCCCCAATCATCATCAGCCTTAGAAAATGAAGAGAATTTAAAAGTGGTCAGCAATTAGAAGAAAAAGTCTGCAACACTTGATTTATATTATTTTGTTTGGTTTGCTATTACAGATGACTGACTTAAAACTGTAACTTGTAAGCATTAGTGCAGCTTTAGACTATAAAATGGGGAACGTGAAGGAGAGACCTTGCTTTATTCTAACACCCTGTTTCTCTTCTTAATCCTCAGGCCCTTGGTTTGTTATGGGTCTGGGGTGGCTTTAGCAGGTGAGCTGTTGGAAGGTATCATGGAAGCTGACACTTAAGTCAAGAAAAGCACAAGCTTCACTGTGCTGGTCACCAGAGCACTGTATCTTGGCTCTCAAAAATACAGTGCTGAATTTAAACAAAGACTTTCCCTTCTTTTCAGGTCTCTATTTTCAGATATGACAAGAGGGGAAGTACAATGTCATCCTTAGCAACTGACTATGAAAGTACCTGAGGTGAAAGTCCTCCCTGCCAGCCTGCTGTGCGCTTCCTGGTGCGGTGTATCAGAAACATCCCTGCAATCTGTGTCCTTAGTTGCCTTGTTTCAGGTGCCCTTGTACACAGCAGGAACCGAGGACAGCTTCTAGAAGCCAGGATAAAGGTAAAAAGTAAACTGTTAATAGTTCCTTGTTGCCAATCAAAAGAAAACTCACTGCACATCAGCTTTTTATAATTTTATTTTTGTATAAACAAACGTTAAAACTACTTTTGTTAAGGCAGTTGTAGAACATACAGTTGCTTGTGGGGAGGAGGGGCAAACACTGCTTCCCTATGACAGATGTCATTCTTTTAATACAGTGAACTGGACTGGTTTCACTTTGGCAAGTACCAATAAACTGTCTCTGTTTGCCAGTGAACGCTGGAAGGGCCTGGTGGTGCAGTCCTTGTGTGCTGGGACTTCTACAAGGGCTTCAGAGGATGGATCCAGGAGTGGCGTGGTTGGCCTTCAGCCTGTTCTAAGGGTTGATCCCAGGGAAACAGGTATGAAATTGTCTAAATACTCTTTCTTCTTACCTTCCTTCCTTCTTTCATGTTGTACGTTTTACTGCCTCCACTCTCAAAAAACTTTTCTTGCTGCCCCATGCTCAAAGCACAGCTCCACCTGCTCTTTAGGTGCTGTAGATTTAAAAAGACTAGTTTCTAGATGAACTGATGGACTGAACAGCAAATGCATATTTCATGGAATGATTCACATGCTGCTGTATTAGCCCCGCTTTCTTCTGGCCTCAGTTTTATTATAGGGAAAGAGAAATGGTTTTTATTCCAGCTGCTAGAACAAAGACTGCTCACTTTCTTCTCTAGAGCCATGCAGGCTTTTCATTACTAGACTATCACGGTTTATACATATGTGCTGTGAAAATGTAGCATCAATGAAAGTGCCAATCATAATCCCCACTGCTCAGCATCAGTATCTTTGGAAAAAAAACAAACCACCGGTCTTTTAAAATCTAATCGTAATTGCTGGTAGTTGGAAGTCCCCGCTTTTCCTTGTTCTTTTTCTAAACAAGCTCTTTCTAGTAACTTGCATATCCTTAACTCTTGAAGTTTAGAAACAAGAGGAGGCTGTCCTGGAATCAGTACCAGGGATGTCAGCACAACACAGTTTTCCCAAGGGGCTTGATTCTAGTTTTATTTAATTCATAAGGGTGTCAAAGCAAGTCCAGCCAGCCATAAAAAACTAAGCCACACCACTGTCCTAGGTCTCTCCTACTTCCCCTCTTCTCCCCAAAAGAAAAGCAAAAGATAATTTAAATATTGCCTCGGGCTGACTGCTATGAGGCACCACATAAACTAATTTATCAGAAAAGACAGACAAGCAGATTAATTGGGATCACAACAGTATGGGTGTGGGGCAGAACGTTTAATGCACACTTTGCATTACTCACAGCATACCCAGTTGTTTTGTTTCCACCTTTGTTAGGGAGGCCTAGAATTCTAATCAGTGTTTAAAGCTGAAAGGAATTTTATTACCTCAGTTTTTCCAAACGATAAATGGCGTTTACTCTCAAAAGAATTACAGGTTTCAGCTTATCCCTCTGATGTACTGCCTGGGGCAAGATGTGGCAGTGGGACACGTAGCTCTGTTCAGGCCACAAGGGCAAACTCCACTCCAGGTTCTGCCCCTGCAAGGCTGGGATGTAACGCAGCGGGCCCTCAGCTGGGGTCTGTGCCCCACGCGGGGCACGCTGCGGGAGTAAGTTCTAGATGTAGAGAAACTCTCCTGCAGTTCTGCTGGTTCAGGAGAGCTGCTTCAGTCCAACACTGGTATAACCAAGCAGAGCATCTTACCGTATTTAAACATTGACAGATTATGGTTGTTAAACTGTTAATGTGTAATCTACACAACTATCGATTTTAATCATCTTGTAACAATCTTTCGACATCCATTCCTTAGAGCAAGTTAAGAAAGATAAAGCCTGCACCTCTGGTTAGTTTCCAGGTAGAGTCTCATCATACAAGCACATTGGATATTTATTTTTTTCTTCAAAACTTAGGACACTTTATAGGAAAACAAACCAACCAAACGAATGCAAACCTGTTGTAGAGAGTATACGACAGAGTGCATCTTTCAAGCAGGTCATCCAGCCCAAACCCCCAGAGAAAAGTAACAGGAGCACAAAATCAGATATGCATGGCAGTTGCTCATCCTACCCTTCCTCTGATCTCACCTGAAGGACCATGATACGCACTTAAGAGTTTTCAGAAGTTGCATTTATTCCCTTTGGATTGAAGCAGTCTCTGAAGGTACTACTTTTGTTTCTGCTTGTTGTCATTGTTACCGTAGGTGGAGCCCTTGTTAATTTCTGTAACGGCTATCATCCATCTGACACCAACAGAAGCTGCAAGACAAATAAAAATAAAGTTAAAAGCTGCTTGTAGACAGAGACTGAAGGTCTGTAGAGGTTAATATATTGAGAGACAAACAGCATTCTCAGCCTTACAGCAGCAGAGCATTAAAGGCAACTACCCGTACTACCTGTACTTTACTTTTGATGAAGGGTATGAATTAAGTTGCCCGCAGTATTTTATTAAGGTTGGTCTTCAGTTGGTGGCCTCGGGCCAGGCATGTCCCCTCCCACCAGCAGGGAAGGGGCTACGTGACCCAAACAGGGGGTGAGTGGCACAGGGACGATGTGCCCAGCCCTGTTAAACCTTAGATGAAGCTGGCTGTGACACGGGGGTGCTTTGGGGCCACAGGCTCCCCGGCACAGAGTGACACACAGTACTAAAGTACCTGCACACGAGGTAAGGGAAGGGCATTCTGCCTGCCTGCAAAAGCCCCCCTGCCTGGAAGAGCAAGCGTAAGGGTGCTTCAGATCTTCATATGCAAACAAACAAACAAAAAGTAAGGTAAGTTTTGGCATTTTTTAACATGAAATAGTCCATTACAAGAGGCCAGGTAAACTTAAAAGACTTCTATAGTTGATTTAGTGGTAATAATTCACCACATAACAGGGATATATGTTTGGAGGGGTTTTTTTATATAGTTTAGCTGTAGCGCCCCTGTTTAACTCAACCACAGCTTGGCCTACGCCCTTCCCTCGCAGTTTGTGTTGGTTTAGTTTTCTGTTTGGTTTGGGGTTTTTTTTGGCAAAGGGGCTCAGCTGCCCAAAATCTCTTATTCCCCAAACTTCTGCTCAGCTACTCTACGTATAGAGAACTGCCAAGCTTCTTTCAGGCCTAAACCTACCTACAATTCACAAACACCTTCCCTCTGCTCAGAACACTTTATCCAAAAACAACCCAAGAAAGCCACAAACCTCCACTAAGCCTCCGAATCTCAGTTTGTTGCTGAGTGATGGTGAAAAGGCCCAGCCCTTTAGCACCTGTGAGGTGCTATAATTGTTTCATTCCCCTCTTTACCTCTCTAAGATGTCCCTGAACAATTCCTCACCACCAAATGACTCTTCATGGTCAACTCGGAGCCTGAGATCACCAACAGAACGCCAAGGCTTCATCCCACTACCAGGCATCAGCTGCCCAGATCCCATCATGCTCCAACCCTTCGCTCCACATTCCACATCGGACACCATCAAGTCACCACGGTCTCACTCAGGGTTTGGACTACGGCGCTGGAAAGAAGTCTAAGAGCACTGTGCACACACCGTGTGCCAGACACACAACAGCTCCCACGGGATCAAACCTGGCTCATTGCTACTCATGCAATCAAATGCAATACTGATACCTCACTGCTGGCCCCACGCCAGCAGCCCAGATGCCATTAAGGCTTTTACCATTAGAGACGGAAGAGCTACTTCTTCATTTAAAAGCCAAGAGAAGCCCTCCCATCTTTCACATACAGAACCAACCATGACCTTTTAATCTACAACAGAAGACGTGTAGAGCATGAAGGTTGTGCTCTTCAACATAAGGTACCAAAAGATGAAAGGCAACCTAACAGTGGGTTTTTTGGAGCCAAACGAGATATGGGAAGCACAAAGAGGGAAAAAACAGAAGCTGCTGTCAAATACAAATACTGACATTTGACAGACTTACTCACTGCTTTAACACTAAAATATCAAAATCTCTTGCCATGTGTCCTGTAAAACTAAAGCCAGTTTTCAAGAGACTTTTGTGCCTCAAACTGCTTCAGCATTTATCCTCTGGAGCAGAGACTGCCTTGTGTTGGTTCAAGTAGTATCACAAAGGGCTCCTGCTCCCAGACGGGTAGTTAGATATTAGCACAATGCAATGATTATGAGTATAAATAGCCAAAGTGCTGCACAGCAAAGAAAAGGGGATGGCTCAGCATTCTCCATATAAAGAGGAGAGATCATTTATTTAGGGCTGAAAGTGTTTGAGCTGAACCAGCAAAGCTATATATACATTGGTTATTTATCCCTTGGATCTGGGAGTTAGGGGCTGGGGCATTACAGCGCTTTCACTCCAGCTTGACCACCGTGGTTCTTACGGCTCTTTCCACCCCAACAGCCTGTTACTTACAAGCCAGTAAGTGTTTTACTGGAGAGTACAATTAGCAGAGACTGTCTAAAAGACAGACGACACACTGAAAACAACACAGGGAGTACCAGGTAAAAGGACCTCCTAGTTCCTCCACTCTTTCCTATCACAGAAGGTTTAGGAATATCTTCTGCCCATGCTAATAAAGGTAATGCTATCAGGTACTGAAATCTGCCTGTAGAAACAGCAATCTGCTTATAATGGGCTGTTAGGGACTGCAATAAACTTCTTGATACTGGAGTATTAGGCGAGCTGTCACATTGCCATGTAAAAAAATAATGTCCCAAAGCTACCTATGCTGCTTCAGCTATCGAACAGAGGGAGAAGGTGCATGAGGAGCAATGTGAAAAGGCGATTTTATCACCTGATTACAATGGTAAATAAATCTCTCTGATTTCCAGAAAAGCTCCCTTCTTACATTGTTAATTGAGCAGGTACCAATCACTGCTCATACTGGAAAAGACAGTATATACTCCTCATTTATTCCTGAATTAGGCAGTGAGTCCTCTCTGCTTTGCTACAGACTGGATCTGCCAGGCAGACAGCTCCAGCTGGCATCAAAAGCCACAACCTCCAAGGTGCATCTGTGTTCATCTACCCCTACCTCCCAGAGGTTGCAGAAGTCACTTCTGAGACCTTGCCTAAAGCTGGAGGCTGACTGCAAAATAAAATACTGGTTGTTCCTCTGTCAGAAGATGGCTGCATCACTCCTGGGACATTCATGACAGAGATAACCCTTAGGATATAAATCACAGTTTGGGGACAATGGCCTTGCTATAGAAATTCAGCTATTGGCTACAAAAGTCAATGTGACAGCTTGGGCTGAAGTTTTTAGATGCTGCCACAGAAACAGACAAATGATTATCAACGAGCAACAATCACTGCTCCATTAAATTCTTACACATTTTACATAAAACATTCCCAGGGTAAAAAGCACCAAGAATTTCTCCAGGTGAAGACAAAAACCCTTTCCCTCTACTTTGTCACCTTAATGTACCAACTAATACATTGGACCTTAATCCTTCCTTTTGCTTCATGATGCTTTGGTCCAGAGGAAGGAAAACAAATTGCCTACACGCATACACACAAATTCTTCCTTCTCCAATTATCTAAGAAGCTTCCACAGTAGCTTATTGAAAGTTCAATTTGGTGGGCACTTTCTGGAAAAGAATACTGTGTGCCTACCCTATCAAGCTCTTCACAGATGGGGAAAGGGACATTAGTGAATTCATCTTGATCAGGCTAGCGTGGGACCTGCTCAAGATTCAGATGTTTTGAGAGTACAAACAATTATTATATGTTAGGAATAGTTTCCTAGGTAGAGAGCAAAGTTGCACTTCTGAGACACGAAAACACTCCATGCCTTCCTATTTCCTCTGTGTTGCTATTTTGAACATGGCTTTCCAAGCTAACTCTAATAAGTCCATGTCCTAATTCACTCAAAGCCAGAAGGACTGTGACGCTCAAAGAATGTTTGTAATATGCATGGCATTAAGGTAATGAAACCATAAATACATGTGATGGCCAGTGCAGCCATAGAAAATCTTTGCTTTATAAACGCATGGCTTATTCTGGAAGGGAACTTACTCTTCAGGCACTCAACATGCCATAAAGCACAGACATCCAGATATGATGTTACTTGCCAAACTGACTTGGTTCCTACTTCCATGAAGGACACCAAATGAGGTCTCCCTCCCTTTCTGTGCATCACCTCCTTGTTTTGTTTTCCTTCCTCTTAAATAACATACTAGTTTAAACACAAATGAAGGCAGTTCAGAACTACCAAAGGAACTGTAGAAATCACCTGTGATCGTCTATGACCTGTGCTACATAAGTCAGACTAGATGGTCAAAACAGGCTGTTCTTAAAATTGCAAGTTCATGGATTTCTAGTAATGATGTACCAGACTATGAATAGATGAAAGAATTCTCAACAGAATAAATTAGCCTTGAGCACCTCTTCTAGGCATTCAAAGTGCAACCCAGAAACACAGTAGACAAAAAAGAAAGCCTCTTGTAGCAACCCACTGGAAAGTTACTATTTTGTACACAGTTGTTATAAAAAAAATAACACAAGTACACAAAAATAAACAACAAAAAAAGAATCTATTTAACGTGGTCCAGGCTAAAGTGGATATAGCATCAGATGGTCTGTTGATTTCACAAGTCATGTTTGTATTTAGTAAACCTCAATAAATCATGTCTGCCAGTTACCCTGCAAGTAATCTTTCTGTTTTAGAAAACTTACCTATTACAATGACAAACGCAAAACTAGCCAGTGTCAGCGATGATCCACTGTTGATCATGTTGATGAGCAGCTTGAATAAAGGATAGAGCAGCAATAAGGCCCAGAAAAGCCAGTTCAAAAGCGTCCATGGTCGCCGGGGTGGTACTACAGGGACGGCTGGGTAGGTTCCTGTTCGGTAGTACTCTTCCTGGAACGCATCCTAGTAGAACAAAGGAAGGCAACAATTAGATCCCCATCTGCCAACAAAACTAGCCATTCCTAACTTTGATGTTCCTCTTTCTGCATGCTTGTAACTGCGGGGGAAGATCAAAGACCAAGTCATGGCTGGAAAGCTTGTACTTTGAAGTCAGTGAACACACAGTCCAAAGTCAAAAAGAGCTTATGTTGATGGGCACATCCTTTCTTTCTCCTACACACAGAAGCCTGAAAAACGGCATGCCTGAAGAGTATAACAAGCCCAGTAAAGTCAGAAGGGTGAGGGGATGTACACTCCCACAGGAATGTAGGCATCACTGTTGAATCTCCTACAAGGGCCGCAGCCGCTGGACAAATACTGCTGGTAAGCCAGAGAAGTGCTTGGGCTACCTGTTCAGCAGCAGAACTCTCTAATGTCTTCTCCAACCACTGGTCTCAAACAGCTTCCACAGCCCGGTCAGAAAAGGTGAGCAGACAACATCTTGTCCCTTACTCCAAAGAACACCACCTCCTCCTGTCTGCTCTGTCCCATAGATGCAGCCTTGTTCACCCTGTTCCCATGAAGCTTACAGAAGGAAGTTTGGCTGCTGAGCCTCTCTACAGACAGTGGAGCATGCCAACAATTTAGAATCTCTTACTGGTTTTGACCAGAGGACTCTCTCTTTTAGTATAACATGAGGAAGATAATGAGGTGGGGTTTGGGTGTTTTTGTTTTGTGGGGTGTGTTTTTTCAAAGCACAGAAGACTCAGAATTAAATACCTTCCTCTAGAGCCCATAGGGGTGAATGGCATTGCCTTCAGCTATGTCATCAACCCAAGATATCAAAGCATGTGGGGGAAAAAAAAAAAACCTTCCTTCTGGTTCGAAAGCAAAGATTATTAATCTGGGTTATCACATGAAACTAGTTAATTAATGAAGTCAGAATTAGACTGACATGAAAAAGAACCTCAATTTAGTCAGAACAAGGTGCTAAAATTCTTCAAAGAAAGGAATGCTTCATGACTGTTTCCAAAAATTCTGGCAAAGCCAAGATTTTCCTAATCAACCACAAGAAGAATATTTCTACTATGCTATGATTTTACATTTACTTACACTCCAGCTGACACAGACAATGTTTTAATTATTTAATGGCAACTTGAGCAATTACAGGCTGCTACCATTTTATCTATTTCAAAGGGAACATTTAGCTTTTAAGAGATTACACAGTAATTAAAGCATCGCGCTCTCTTTACTGAGATTAGAAAAATTGTGACTGTTTTGCGCATGCGAGCTAGATTGTACTGGGATCATTATGGCCAATTAATTATCCGTCTTCAACAAATTACACAGGGTATGAAGTTTTCTTTACAGTGCCTTGAGGATTTTGGTTTGTGACTGGTTTAACGCAGAGCTACTAATCATCAGTAAATTGAATTCTACTATATATAATTAGGTTTCTAAATACTGGTATTACACAGGAAAGTCAAGAATTTCTGACTATTATTGGTATCGCCATTAGGGGGCCTGTTACGACAAACAGCAAGACAGACTCACTTACAACAAGCGCAGCAGCTTTCTCTTTGCTGGCCCTGCAGGACCTTAGGGGCAGCTACGCCGTTGACCACATACAACAGGCAAAACAATGTCAATTCCATCACCTCCACTACACATTTTACATCTTTGTGGAGAACAGCTCTTCAATTCAGGTGTGATACCTTACCTGTACAAACATTCACATTCCTTGCAGAAGGGATCTGTGGGTTGATCCGTCTTCTAAGCTTTTACAAGGGTGCCTGTGGTACCCACCAACAGCTCAAGTCAGCATTTAAATCCATGATGTACCTCCAAATTTCCCTCGGTCACCTCCTCCAAATTATGTCCCTTTCATTCCCCTGCATACAGAGCTTGTTTTCAGTTTGTAATAAATCCCACCCACCCAAGTTATCATATTTGGACATAAATAACCCCACTAAATTTGGGTTACTTTAGACAGTGTGGTGGGTAATGCAGGAGGGGGAATCAGGGAACATCCACCATCTCCTGAGAGACTAACTGGATTTTTCTTCCCTGCCCCCACCAGGGAGGTCTGACAGCAGTGGTATGCCACTGCCCTTTCACAAGGAAGCCCACAAAGAATAAGTATCCAAAAATATATCCTTTGTTACCAAACACTGGAGTTCTGTACACTTCCCCTCTTCAGTTATGCTTTGCTAATTCCCTGGGGCATTTCGGCATGTATTTTCATGCCCTGTTTTCCATGCCTCTCTTACAAGTGAGAAGAGTTAGAAGCTCGCTTTCTTTTTAATGGAAATTAAGATTCTCAAGCAGAACTTCTATTTCAGGCGCTGCGGCTGTAACAATGTGAAAAAAGAAATCAAATATGCAAGGACTAGCAGAGCTGTGACTATTAAACAGTGCCTGGTCAGACCAGGCAGTAAGATGCTCAACCCGGTCCTTGTTAAAGTCAAAGGGAGTGTTTACAGCAACGGGAGAAGAGAGAGAGAGGGAGAAGGCGAGGGGGAAAGGGAGAGCAAGGGGAAGGGAGGGAGGAAAGAGGGGGGTACGAGTGGGGAGTCCACAGAGAGAGAAAAGAGGAGTGCAACCCACATTGCACCTGTCAGAATTTGGCATTAACTGATGCAGTGCTGGCCAAGGACAAAATTCACCCCAGGTGAGGAAGCAGCACATGGACATGGTAAGCCTGGAAAAGGGCAGTACAGCGTTTGGTTTAGAACAACACAGTGTTAACTGTTTATCTGGCAAGGCTCTGTTCGTAGCTTTTGCAGCAGTGACTGAACCAGAAAATGAAGTGATAAGTAGCTAGAACATAAATTGCTAGAGAGCTGTATCTCAGATTGAGGTACATGCAATTGACATCAGGCAACGCAGTAAAAAACCAATGGAACAAGCTTTTCTCAAAGACTCTCAACTCCTTTACTAACAGCAATGAAAAAAAATATAAAAAATTATGTCCACTAACAGCTGTTTTCACTACTCATCACAAGTGCATGACACTCCAGCCTTGACCTCAGTACTTGTGGCATGCCCCACCTATTAAATCATGCTATCAGAGCATAATTCAGTGCACAGCATGTAAGTCTTGCAAAATTATGAAAATCAGTGAGAACAAGCAATGGCACATACAACCATAACGAAAGATAAAACAGGGGCTCTGTTTCTCAGTGTCATGCGTACCTTGTCTTACTTTGAAACAGAAAGTGAAGTCCTATAGCCAAAATATACAAAGCAGGGCATGAGTGCATGTCTTGTGATGAATTACTGCCCTTTGAATACAGATTTGTTACATTTCATCATAAATATTTGCTGGCTCTGAAGACATTAACCTGAAACAGAATTCATTTTTGGAAACAACACCTAGGTGGTGATGCTGCTTCTTATCTGACTTCAGAGCCACTTATCTTTTTAAAGATGCATAGCAGAAAGGTGAAACCCTGAGTTTTTACCCTGCAGGTGGGCTTTCACTGTCTCAGAACTTTGGAAGAAGTTGTCCCTGCTCTGTATTCTTCCAGTCTGACTTCAGAGAGACACAGGCTTGTGTAAACCAGGAATGACCTCAGTGAGGTAAGTTTCACTGATGTAAAACAGCTGATGGAAGAGGAACCTTCAGCAAAAATCCAACGCCAGCACCAAACCAAAAAAACCAAACACCAACCAACCAAAAAAATGCCACATAACCAGAAGGGTTTTAATTGAAAGGAAATCTGAACATACATTCCTCCCTCCTATACTCAAAATGGGAAACTATGGATTTAACCAACCAGCAAACCAAGTTGTTATGAAGAAAGCAGGATAGATGTACGCTCTGTTTGCACTAGAAATAACTGAGTGTTTGCCAAAGAGGGAATAACAGAAAAAACGTGAAATGATTTACTGCAACCCACATAATAAGGGATTCAGGAAAACAATCACGTTCTCGTCTGATTTATGTTTTTGTCTTGCAAATGTCTAAACAGTTCTTAGGAACATGAAACAGGCCTCGAGATAAAGTCACAGTAGCAGAAAGCGGACTTTTGCAATGTTCAGCAAAAGGACCATTTGCATTTATATGCCTGTAGAGAGGGCACGGGCCCAGCGTAAAATAATGCCTTTCTGCAGAAAGGTGTTAGAGGTTGTGTCTGAATTCGGTGTTCGTGGTACAACTTATAAGAAGGGAGATGAGAGGCAAAGCACAGTTATAGCACATCTATAACTGAACTCTCAACACATTTACTTTACACATCCCTGTAAGGAAGCTGCTTAGACAGGCAATGAATTAAACCAGAAGCAGTCACGGTTTGAAGCCGAGAAAGACTCGAACACAGTCAAACCAGAAATGCTAACATGATATTCTGGCTGGAGTACAGCAAATGGCACAGCAGAATTTTGCGCCCCAGTGAGAAGAAAACAGAGCGTAGCTATATTCTATCACTTCTAAATCCAAAACACTGCATTATTCCAGTCTGAATACATAACTTGGATCAATTTATTGAAGCAAACTGAGCTGCCAGGTGCTCGTGCCTTGCATACCTATGACTCCCACTGACTGAAACGGGAGTGCTATGTGTATTCAAAGAGCGCATCCCTCAGCCCTTACCTCCTATGGTCATAAAAACAAAACTCATGAGAAACAGCTTCTGAAAGTCTGAAGGACACATATGAGTACTTGGAAAGAAACAAAAAAAAAATCAGTGGGCATCAACAAACATACAGCCATTATTATTCTGCCTCCATCCTATGTAATTAGGAATCTTAAATGCACGCCTTCTATGCACACAGTGCGAAAGCAATTTATCAGCCTGCCCTATTAATGTTGGATCTTTGCCTTGGTAAAAAAGACAGGGTAAAACAAGGGACAAAAATTTTAATACACTGAAGCGAAACATATCTTATTTAGCCCACGAATTACTTCCTGATTTAGGAAGTGCCTTTAAGGGCAACTTCTACCAACCAGGAGGCAGTTGTGGTTTTTCTATCCTTATGCAACTTTCTAAAGAAGATTTTTAAAACTGCTGTATCAAGGCTTGCTTAAGTTTTCTTCCTGTTGCTCTTGAAGTTCAACATAAAGGCAATCATGACTGACAGCTCAAGACCAGTTTGTGTCCAGAGAAACGGAACACTTACTCTGAAAAATGAACAAACCAACCTTTTCTTGATACAATTTGTGGAGCCAGTTAGAACATTCCTGCTCATCTTCTGGGACTTCCTCTAGTGGAATCCGCCTGCCAATGGTAAACAAGAGAAATTGAAGAATATTAAATACTTCGGTTTGCATGAACAGCACTTTCATTATACACAGATTATCCGCTTGACAGGAGACTCACTACATTTTCCATCTTTTTTTAATTTGTGGTAACAGCTCCCAGATCAGCAAAGTATAGTTTGCTTCTAGAGCCACCTTCAGTTTTTAGCTGTATCAGAAATTCAGATTTCTGAAATAGTAATGCATTACATTTGAGCTCACTAGAGCCATTTTCTAGATAAAGGTTTGCAATTTTCGGTTTCCAACAAAGGTTTTGAGTGAATTAATTTCTTACCCCACCTAGAGAGTTCAAGGGTGTATTTAACCAGCTAGGCATTAGAGAGAAAAAACCAAACTATTCTCCTTGTACCTAGGGTAAAGCACTCTAGTACTTATTACTCAGGTAACATTTCCAATTCCTATAATGCTTGTTACGTGCAGCTTGGATAGATAATTTAACCAGCTAGGCATTAGAGAGAAAAAAAACAAACTATTCTCCTTATACCTAGGGTAAAGCACTCTAGTATTTCTCAGGTAACATTTCCAATTCCTACAATGCTTGTTACGTGCAACTTGGATGGATCATTTCCAGCAAAACGGCTCCTCTCACTGAAAAACCCTCTCTCGACAAAACAAAGGTTTCATCTTGTTACGTGCAACTTGGATGGATCATTTCCAGCAAAACGGCTCCTCTCACTGAAAAACCCTCTCTTGACAAAACAAAGTTTTCATCACATTTTGGTCAATAATCCTGTGACAGGAAAAAAATAATCCCCTTGTAAGCTTCCTTTATGCTAGCATCACATTTTGGTCAATAATCCTGTGACAGAAAAAAATAATCCCCTTGTAATCTTCCTTTACGCTAATAGCAATATTTAATAATTTTACATTTTTCAATATAGCACATATTTTAATTAATTTCTACTAAGAGCACCATCAAATTAAACTCATTCAGCACAGGAGAGAGCACTTTTCGCAGTCAGGACACTCCTGTTTGCAGTTAATACATTAAGAGGTGAGACACTAATGCTTTGTTCCTTTATTTAAGGAAGATCGTAGGATGACAAACGTTAGAAGTCAACACAATTTCAGCAGAGACAACCAAGGCCATCCAAATTTTACAAACTACTGAAGACATAGCAAGATGTACACCTCTACACTGCTGGAGGAACAGCCCACACAGGTAGGGCTAGCTGCTCCTCTATGAACACTAGCCAGCCAGGCCACCTACACCAAACACAAGGCCACCAGGCTGAGCTACCCATGAGAGCCAAGTGGGAATGCAAACGCATGTTGCATCCATAAGGAATGAAGAGAAAGTTTTTGATTCTTGGGCAAAATCAGTTCTGAAGAAAATATTTTTTCAAACAGGCAAAAAAAGGGCCATAGGAAGAAAAAAGTCACCCTACTCCACTTCATGTCGGGACCCAAGATAAACCAATTGGACCGGCCAATTATAGCTATAAAGGGGTTATGATGAATTCATGATCACTTGTGGGATCACTTCTAGGCTCCTGTGCTCCAACCCTAAACCATCACATATGCTGAGTGCCTGCAAGTGCAGGTGCTGCTGGTGGAACCTGGCCTAGCAATAAGGGCCTTGGAATTGGCCCATTCTCATTAAGATTATGAGAAATCATTGGGGTATTCATCACTTATAGAAACATTAAAGATACAGAATCCAGATAACTCTTTTTTCCCTTCTTGGTAGGAAAGGAGCAGCAGTTAAATACATCAACTACACCAGAGATGGGAACAGTCCTGGGCCTGCCCTCCACCTGAGTGGGGGTGACTGTGCCAGAGACAGGTGTAAAAATCACTCCATCTGAACGCTTGGTAGTAGTTTGATATTCTGGCGAAGTGGATGAAAAGAGGTCCCACTGTTGTTGCTGGACTGACACACAAATGAATAAAAAAATAAAAATAAAAAAATCCTGTAGACCTTTATAGAGTCCTCACATACTTACAGTCAGAGAACTTTACAAAAAACCCTTCCCATCCCATAAAAGTTCTTATCTGCAGTTCTGTGAAGCCAGGTTGGTAGAGATTTGCTATCCGTCATCTCCTTGAAAATATATCCTTACTTTTGCAATTGTGACTGCATGTACACATTTCTGTATGCCAAAAAATAATTAAAATATGGATTACTTGCCTTACATATAAATCTGCATGGTATTTCTTTCCATTTAGAACTCCCAGCAATGTTGGATTCTCATTATTTCTAAAATTGAGGGTAGAATCATAGACTGCAGAAACTACAAGAAGAGAAACAGGTTATGTGATTACTGTAGTAACAGAATGGAAGCAATTCTCTCAGACAAGGACCATATTTAAATATGAAGTCATCAGCAATAGCACCATAGTTTGAGCTGTCACCAAGGTAAAGATGACAATGGAATATTAAATATGTCCGTTTTAAGAAGCCAAATAACCAGCCACCCATTCAGGAACAGCACCAGTAGAAGGGAAGGGTTTGCTCTCCACCCTTCTCCCCTTCCCCATCAGGTGCAGGATGTTGAGCACAGGGAACACAGTTACAGTTTCTGACAGTTAATATACCTAGGACGTGGTAGGAGTCAAATGATTGAAAAACTTTTAGCTTTCTCATCTCACTGCGAATGACACAGCTCTCCCCCTCTTCTGGGTAAATAACCAGGCAGATACACACTTTATGAACAATGAACAATATACACAGTTTGACTAAGAATGGGAAAAGTGTGTGGGAGACACATTCTATACCAAGAGGGCTTAATGCAACTATGAGTCACTGAGGTTCAAAACAACCTCCCCATCATTTCCATTATTTGATAACTGAGGCACTTGGTAAGTGAGGGCAGAGACAGAATAACAGACCATGTCCTGTGCGAGCTGCACTGCTGCACTGTGAAGATGTGCAGCTGTGAGGGATATAAATCCAAGTTCTACAGAGCAGAACCACAACCAAACTTTCAGCCTCAAGAAAACACTGTGTCTGCAGTTCAGGATTGCACGGTAACAGTAAAAGTATTTGTGAAGGTCATTCGCAGCTAAACTAAGGCAGCATTAACAAGCAGTTTCCACAGAAAAAAGTATTTACTGATTAAACCACATAAAATGTTTCAAAAGAGTTTCTTGGAACACATCCTTAGGGACACTATTTTCCTGATGTCAGAAAATTAACCAGACAGCAATGAATTTTCCTGACACTGAAACCAAGGGTGCATTGTGGTACAAATTCTTAGATCAATGTCAGCAACAAAACTCTTTTTTTGTCACGTAAGTTGGTAACATGCACTTCGTGTGTAGCTTGCTGTATTTTAGGTTTCTGCTCTGGATTTCTGCAATAACGAACTCTGTGATGAGTCTTCATCGTGAGAGCTCTCGATCCACCTAAGGAAGCCTTTTACTACACAGAACAGATTTGCTTTTATTTTTGAAGCCTGTGTAGCTACAAGAGATAAATATGGCTTGGCCACAACATTCAGCCCCCAGAAACTCACCACAACATTTGTTATGGCAAAGCAGAATTCATAGCAGTGAACAGAACAGCCTGGCTTCAGTGCTGCAAGGAAATCCTGAAAACAGAGGCCAAAACCCTGTCGCTGCCTGCAGACTGCATCCCTCATTAACAACTCTATTCCTTCTGCAGCTGCTTTTTGAGTCCAAACTCAAAGCTACAACACATAAGCCAAAATCTATTCCAAGCACACTATTCTCCCTATACAACATAAGTAGGAAATAACTCTTTTTTTTTTTTTTAAATAAATTATCTACCTCCATTTTTAAGCTTCTTAGTGTAGAAGGATTTTACTAATCTACTCTAATTTACTAATCCAATGTAATTGAGGGAAGACAAGCTCAATTTGGTTTACACAGGGTAAGCTTCTTAGTTTATTCTTTAATAGCATTATATTATTCTAATGATACCAGGTACGCAATAAAGAAAAGTATGATGTTCTTGTTCTTTCATCTTTTGGAAGATGGCTACATTTGAGTTTTGATACGAACTGAGTCCTTGCTCAGACACACTGGAAGATGCTTCCCCTGTTGCAAAAAAAGTTCTGCAGAGTTGGTCAGAACATCTTTATGTGCTGACAGCCATACACAGCATCCTCCTCCTCTCCAGGGAAAAACCACCCCATTTCAGTTTTTAACAGCTCTGTCGTTTGATATTCAGTCCAGCCCTTTTTAGTACCACACTGAAACCTTTTGGTGCAAAGCAGGGCCAAATCCAAGCCAATGATAGCATATGCAGGAGTAAACAGACCTCTGTTACATCCAGATATAAAATAACTGAAGGCTTAAGCTTTTCTATTTTGAAAGTTCAGGAAAAGAGCAACAGTAGAAGTGTTGAACAAAAAGACTGCTCAGAACTAAAATTTGCCAGAAAGCTCCCACAGCCAAAGCGGTACTAGAATTCTGCGTGACACACTGAAATTGTTTTCCATTAAATGTGTATTTCGTAATTACATAATTAGAACTGGACATCTCATGATTTTCTCATACAAAAGCTGAAGGGTCCAGAAATTTCACATGCTAAACCGAGTAAAAAAATAACTCCACAGTATCTTGAAAACATTGCAACTGGCTCACTCTCAGCCTAATTTATTCAGCATTTGAGAAGTTTTGCTTCATTTGTGAAATTAAGTATTTTCTCAAAGAAGTTATCTTAAAACATCTTTTTCATTAAAAAACAACTACAATATTTGGAAGCCTTTTCAAAGGTTCAGAACAGATCATAACTGAAACCACATTTTTTTTCAGCTTAATTGCTATTTTCTGACAAAAAAAGGCTAGTTTTTCTGTTTTGTTTTCTCATCTCTGCCCAGCAGAGGTTATTTTGTATCTTGAACTTTTGGTTTCTTGTACAGTATTCTGACAGAGAGCTATGTACTTCAGAATTTAAGATTTAATTTCTTAATTTTGACCTAAGAAATCTTCAGATTACATATCTAGTGAGGATTTTTCTTACTTCAACTGTCCTCCTGAATTTCATGCATTATTTTGTGGACAGGGAGGATTATGCTGGAATGATCATCTGACAAATCAACCTATAGGCAATGAATATGCCTACACAGAGCTTCATACTAGCACACAATGATCTGAAGCGAAGACTGACAAAGGGAGGGAAGAGACAGTGGAATTCACTGAACTGTTGGTATGGCAGCCACCTTGACACAATCCTTTAATTTAATATCTCATTGTTCATCTTGGTGAAAAATCACTCATCCTCTCAAACTTGTTTGCTTGCTCAGAAGGATGACCAGGAGCCTCACTAAACACTTAAAAAACTTCAGGACTGAAGTGCAGCTTATGGGCAAAAAAAGTCATTGCAAAACCCCCAAACACTGTCATACTGAACTCCATGAGAACATCACCCTGGAATTTATTCTTATGCGTTCCCTGTAGGACAGTAGTTCCCAGCATGCACAATCAGGGGAAAAGGTTGATAACTTGAAGTAATCTACAATCCATCATGAGGTACATTTTTAAATGAAAGGCTGAACTAAATAAAAACAGCTGAAAGAAACTGCCTGATATATACCCAGGTAATAAAAGTGACAGTTAAATATAACTTTTGAAATATCTATGACTTTTTTTTTTTTTTACTGTAAGTAATGGAAAAGTGTTTTAGAAACAGACCTGTATTTTCATTTCCTTCCATGAACAGTACAGGTAGCAACCCCTACAATCTAACAGCAATTTATTAAGACAGCAAACAGCCTGTCGAAAATGAAGTTCCTGGGGACTGCATATGTACTACCAAACTGGCAGAGATGGCCGCTGATTAAAAATATCAGAACAAGTTCAAAAAATATTAAAAGCACTCATTTAATAATCAAACTGTGTGCAGAGATCTCAATTTGTGAAAGTAAGTCGCTGGAAAGAAAATAATTCTATTATCACTTATGAAGGATATGAGTTAGGAGGCAAGACTCTTTGTTATTTTGTGTGAGAGATATTTTTACCCAAATATATCTGCTTATGCTGACAGATATGGCACCTACTGGCATGAAGGCAGTTTCCCACGTATGCACATGAAAAACTTAGCTTCATAAGGAGTTTTAAAAACAGATGGACTTGCCAGACTGATGTCACCAATGCCTGCTTCCAACAGACACAGAACTGCTGCACCAGGTAGCATTAAGAGTTAATACAAAATTTCAAAAAGGTCCAACTGTGACCACTGCTATTGTGGGTAAATTACCTCTCCAGTCACAGCAACCAGCATCCATCCATCCTACAGCCTCAGAGAGGTTGAATCACACCCTTGTCAGAAAGGAGGAACAACGAATACAGGAAAATGACACGCTGACCTCTGTCACATCTAGCTTGGAACTGGATCCAAACATTTAGCTTGCCTTCGCTGCTGCTATCTCCCTTAGCAGGGCACTCCAGAAAGTGCATTAACCTAAGTGGCAGGCCCCAAAATGGGCTCAGCACCACTTTCAGAGACGTGCAGGGATACCCCCGCTGCAGACACGGCCACTGAAATGGCTGTGAAACGTACCCCAAGAGAGACAGGTCAGTCTGCAAGAGTCACTCCTGTAGACCATTAGAGATTTCACTGAACTGAAGTTATGAACATCTGCATGTTGCCATTGCTGCTTCTGCAGACTGAGCAGCAATTCAGCAGTCACAGTGGTGGTGTCTGGAACAAGTGATCTGAGGCTGTAATAGAGGGATACAGTCACTTGCTGGGCTACATTATAGGGCAGAGTGTAACAGTGAGACTTGGGCAGTTCACAGTGAACAATGTAAATATTCAAAAGAAAAAAGTGCCAAATGACTACAGCATATAGCCTCTGCATATATCGACACCTACAACATGTTACTGCTTGTAACATGGGTACCAAATGTCAGTGAAGGTTAACACAGATAAGTGGCCAAATCCTACTGGTATTCATGCAAGAATAGTTTCTAGATAGAACTTAAATTTCTCGATTATGGACTGACAAAACAGACTTCCATCATGTTCTCTATTCAAAAAACATGTATGGACTTCCTTGTTACCTGTACATATTGATGTTACAAGGAGCTCTACAATTTTTAAAGATGTTGTTTACAAAAGCCTTTCCAATGCTCTTCACACATACCCCTTGTCTCTATAGGAGAGAAACATACCGTAACCCAGACAGGAACTCTTACTATCTCCCTCTCATTGCAAAAAGCAACAAGGCAAGTAAAGCAACATAACCAGACGAATTTGCAACACCAGTCTGGGGCCATCAGCTGTTTCCCTCAGAGGTTTGTTAGTTATGTTTTTAATCTATAGAGTTTAAAAAAAAACACCTATAACAATTTATGGCTGTCTGTGCTTCTCCTTGGAGCCTCCCAGGAAAACATTACCTTCTTAGTAGCCTTACCCTGTTTGATCTAGCAAGTCACAGCTTCTGGATTGAGGTAGTAACATACATTTCCCTAAATATATAAATAATCCAGCAATCTCAGTCTTCTTTTTCTGAAAGTATTTCAAGTGTTTAAGATGCTAAGAAGTGTTACTGTAACGTATCGCGTCAATGCCCAAAACGTTTTATAAATGTCACTGGATTCCCTAAAATTGTTTCCTTTTGAAACCTTCTCCCACAAATCAGCTACTTGTCCATAATCATACCATGTTTTGCTTGCTTTACACAAAGTAGTAAAAAGAACAAAATCACCACCAAAATAACCTGTCCCTGATTGCCAGCTCAGGGCATTAGAGGTCACACAGTTTTGACTCAGCTCTTTTTCAACACCTCAAGCCTGTTTCCCCCCTGCCCTCAGCAAAGCAGTTGCCCTTATTCAGAAGGGCAGGTTAAACTGTGTCTTTAAGGGCACATAAATTATCTCTTCGCATATCAGAAAAGATCCAAGCTCTGCTATCCGTTTTGGGAGCGGGAAGTCGTGGATGCCTGACAAGCTACAACAGTGATATCATCTACCTGACTTGTAAGAGGATATGTAGAAGAAACATGACAGAGAGCAAGACAGCTGACTGCAAAGCTTTTTTTACAGCAGCTATCCCAGATATGCCACATGAAAACACGTCTTCAAAGACAAAAGAAGCTTTGACATTAATTTCAGCCAAGCTAGAACATTTTCTTCTAAGCCACTAACCACTTTGTCTTTCTTATTTATCAGCCCTCTAACAGCACACAAACCTACCAAACCTTGAAGATACTGTAGAGCTACGTCTACTTAGCACTGTCTTTCCTTGGCCCATGAAGTACACAGCAGAAGACTTGGATGGATTGTTTTAGTCAAAGAAAATCACTTCAAAGGCATGTACCAATAGCATTTTAAAGTCGGCAAATGCAAGTAACCAGAAATAACTTGGGGGTGGGGAGTTCAGAACAACATTAACAAAGAAAAACTTACTCATGTTCTGTAATGTAGAAATAATTTTTTTATAAATTTCTCCTACATGTATCTTCAGTCAAGGTATACTCCCATTCCTCAGCTCCACAAAGGTAACTATGAAACTCTAAAGAGTACATCTACACAGAAGATTAAAGCAGAATATTTTTTTAATTGAAAAATGGTGTTGAGGCAGAAATTTACCACAAGAATATAATTAAGACACACTGCCTCAGATTCTATAGTGATGTATTTGCTTCATTTGGAATAGTATTGCTCAGTAAATACTAAGAAACATTATCCCTTGGCAATAGGTACACAACATGAAACTTGAGATCCTCCCGATACAGACTCAGTAACAGAAAAAAATAGCAAAACAACAACAACAAAAAAATTACCAAGCTGCCCCAAGACTTTGTTTGTAAAACCTAATCTTTAATTTTCACAGGCTAGTGGAAGAAAGGTCAGAAAGGATCCCAGGGCTTTTCTGTGAGGACACATGCTACAGGGAAAAGAAGAGCATGGCAAAGTGACAGCAGTTACACGAAATAACCATTTAGAATTGTTCCTTGTGACTTTCCTTACCTACATTTCTCAAACATTGCACAGTGACAGCAAATCCTTTCGTTCGTGGCAGTAGGTGGTACTTGAGCTTGGGGAGGCCTTTGGCTTCAGCCACCTGCATGCTAATCTGGTGCTTCTGTTCTGTGAACCTTGTGCCCTCACAATGAATCAGAAACTAAAACCAAGAAAAAGAAAAAAAAACTACAGTTAGAAAGCAGCTCAGGTCTTCTGCATCTGTCTGACCAGAGGCACCTCTGATTCCCAGCCACACAGCCCAAATGAACACTGCTAGCAAGGACAGGAGTAGCAACATGCATATTTAGACAATTTAATTGCCCTGGAGTTAAAAAGCAAACAAACAAAACCAACCAAATCAAAACTCTCTCAATTTCCCCCACCCATCCAATTTGCCATCCTCTGGTTTGAGCTCTGGTCTTTGGGCTTGAACATCTGCTCTGCTGCTTGGTGTCTGAATTACTTGCTTTCTCTAAACCAGTCACTCCACTTCTACAGAGATATCAGAAAACACTCAAAACACAACTCCTGTTGCACATCTCTCACCGATGGTGAGGTGCTTGAGTGTCTTGGTATCTAAAACTTGTTAAATGTCTCAACCAAACACAGTTCTAAGAAACGCCTCAGTGCCCGGATTGCTTCCCCTCGGTCTGACCCACTTGCTTTCACTATGGCACGAGGACCACCAAACTGCAGACAGTAACTTTGATGCCAATGACTGAGCTGGTAACAGACAGGGCAGTAAATGCAGGACAACTGAAAGCATCACCTCTTTATGAACTATACAATGGAAGTGCTCAGACACAGACAATTTACAATTTTGCCACTGGCAGACAGGGGAGAGCAGACAGATCTTTGGAGACTTAACCACTTGCCCATCTGCTTTCTGCCAAGCCTCAATGCAAACTAACACATCAGAGAGCACTGCCAAATTGCACAAGCTAAGACTCCATAATGCACAGCAAAGATTTAGCCAACAGAGAGACTGAAGAAAACCAGCCAAGAAGCCAGCTTCAATTCCAGCTCATCTAAGAGCACTTTTACTCACGTCTCACATGCATACTGTTAAGCAGCTAGATGAAACATACAGAAATTGATAAGAAAATCCACCTAGCCCACTTAGCATGCTCTGTCTTTCCATATTCCAAGGTGCTATTCCTGTGCCTTTTGACATTATGTCCCCACACAAGGGCAAATTAAAACTGCACACTGCAATAACCCCAGGTGTACACCAACAACTGTAACTCTCAGTACAGGCAGTACTCTACAGCACTATATAAAGGATGGTGGCAGTTTCTGCTCACCGATTAGTGCTGAACTGCCTAGGTGCACAGAAAGGCATTCAACACCTTGAGTCACAGAGCACTGGCAAATCCCTGTGAGAGAGATTAGAAATAGAAACCAAGAATTGTCCCTTTGCCAGACAGCCTCCTGCTTGGAACTCTTTTAAAACTTATGCAAGCACAGAGCTCAGTTTCGATTGCTTAGCCCTCATTTAAATCAATGACAATTTTAAAAAAAAAAAAAAAGTTTTATTTCAGACAATGAGAGATACAGCATCTACATCTTCACTACGAAACCACTTCTTTAGCAATAGTTTCTGCAGGCCTTTGTGAAGCTTAACTGAATCCCTCTCTTGCCACCACCAGCTCATAAGAACTAGGATTTTTCTGATAACTGAGAAGAAACAAAATTCAAAGGCTTTTCATTCCCAGACTAGGAAGTGCTAGGCAGGTACAATACTAAAAAATGACAGTGATGCAAAAAGTAACACTTTCCTGTTACTGAAAGCGACACCAATCCTCTCCCTGTAATACAGCCAATGTTTCAATACAGCATCGTCACATGCATCTGTTACCCTGCCATGAACCTCTGCATCTACCCCTCTGCAGCTCCTGCCCAGAGGACCACAATGTTTACTGAATGGATAACAGTGGAGGTATTTTTGCAATAACACCTTTAGGGCTCCATACTACAGAGGAAGAAAACCAGACAAGGCTAACTATTACATGGGAAATTCAAGAGGGAATTCCATTCTTAAAGAACATTCTCTTGATACTGCCAGGAAGATAATGAACCATATTTCTTGGGAGCAACCTGGCGACTGTCACATACTGTGTATGCCCTTTGTCCCTTCCCCAAAGGGAGGGACAGCACCTCAGACTCCACTTGTTAGCCATCACTCACCCAAAAGTTTTCAGGGTAGTCCCGGAGATTCAGCAACTTCTGCATGACTGTTTTCCGATCTTCCTCCCACTTACGCTTGCAGAAGACTATCTCTAGGAAATACCACATCCAGCCAATGATAGGCATGTAGGAGAGCTCCTTCTTTGCAAGTACTTTGGAACTCTGCAAGAAAGAAGCAAAGCAAGTAGAACAGAGTTACACCACTTACAAGTTCTCTGTTAGACAATAATACATTGATTCATATTGACCAGCATAGTAAAATGTAACCTCAGGTATCTGCATGCAAGACGACGTGTGTGTGTGTGTGTTTGTGCTTCATCATTTCCTGAAAAACAGTGACACTTTCTTAAAGGAGAGATGGAGCAATTACATTCCAGTTTCTATCTATGATATCTTTATAAGCTATCCCATCAAAGTACTCTGCAGATGGCTTCCAGGACATTGGATTTGATTAGTAGGAATTATTTACTGGTAGAAATTACCATCAGAAATTATTTGCTTTTACTTTTTTTGGTTACTGTTGTTCATTTGGTTGCTAGGGGAAGAAACTTGACCTAATTCTTTATCTCAGCTCATTTCTCTCATCTGCTCTCCTTCCTTGAGAAGGAAAATACCATGAATAATTAAGCTATCTAAAACCTCATAAGACTGGAAGGCAAGTGCACATCACGTAGCCTCACTAGCAACTGTTACACGGAAGCAGAGCAGAAACAACAGGAGACAATTCCATTTCGAAGGATCCAGGAACCATGGCCTCCAGAGCAGAGTCAGAAAAGACAATTTAAGAGTCCTCCTGCCTAGACTTTAAAACACAGAAATCCTAGTCCACAAAGCAAGCTGAGTAACCATTTTACCACAGTTATTTTCTAATGTTTTGCAAATTTTTAAATGTGTATGAGTTAAAAAAGGGGCAAGAGAGAAGTGGCCACCATTGTTTTTTCCCCCAGTGAAACAAAGAATTGATTTTGTAAACTAAGGTGTCACGTAGTACAGGTGTAACCACAGAAGCAGAACAGAAGCTTGAATTCTTCCCCAGGGCATGTTCTTATTCATTTTCTGTGCTAATGCATTTTTAAAATTTAAAAGCGGTCCTTCAGACACGTGAGCGTACGACTCCTTAGATGCACATAAAAAGAAACTAAATTACCTTATGCTGTCTTGTGCACCCCATCTATCCTAGGAGTCAAAGGAAGGCTAATGACACAGAACTAATTAGAGAAAGGAAACCCTTCAGTTCATTACACAGGCAAGACTGCTCTCATGTGGGAGGAATACATTAGGCCTCCCCTCAGAAGCTACCATCTCTCTTACAATAACTAGAGCTACAATCTGTTCTGTCTCAGCCATCTACCCATGCACAGCTCCTCTGTAAATACCTGAGAGGAAAAATGCAGCTCTAGTTGACTTCAGTCACTAACTTCTCCTTTAAAAAAGTGCTTGGGTCACCTCAGCTTCAAATTCAGGTTGTTTAACAGAATAAATTTCATTTAGAATGCTGATTTATTCCATGTAAGATGTCTTCTTGAAGGAAATAAAACATTTTCAGTGCTCAGAACTGTGTAATTCCAACAGATGTCTAATGAAATTACTACTGAATGGGGACAACTTGTCTACAGTAACAGCATTTTAATTTAGGTTAATTTCTTTTGGCCGAGTTTGTTCAGATGGAAATACGTATGAAGTTCTCCCTTTGTGAATGACTGCACTAACATCACAAAAAAAAAAAAATTTACAAGCTTACTTTAGATGCATTTGCACAGCCATGCTGTCAGAGAATGAAAATCTTGATTTATATTGTCCAGCTTCAGTTATTCAACACATCTTGATCACAGAATGCAACAAAGAGCAATCAACCTGCAAGCTGAGGATGCCTAACAAAATTTGTTCTACAGTTTCAAAACAAATTCATCACAGCTGCAGACTGTTAGCAGCAAGAACTTGCCTTCTAAGTTTTTTACTCTCCAGGCTGCCCTCAGCATTGACATACTTTTGATGATTCCATTTGCTCTATTTTTGAAATATAGCACTCCTTCATATTATACTCTCTGGGACATCAAGATGGAAAGATACATTTCTTTAGGCCCTCAAAGCCACAGTTCCAGAAATTTGGTTAGTTTCCGAATTTCTAATGTTTCATATTGAATAAAACTTCTATGCTGCAAAGGTAACACAGCAGTATCTCAGCGCATATGCTAAGATACTATGTGAAAAACAAATAATACTGCAGTTTTGGCTGTCTACATGAGCAATTACATAACTTCTATTAATACATTAAAATGTACAATGAACTACTGCATTCACACACCCGTCAGTCCCATACAGTACCCTAGCAAAAGTTTCTTCTCACACCTATATTTAAGGTCATGCTCAGTTTTTCCCACAGCAAGCTTCAAAATAAAGAGCTTTTAAATAAAATTTGGGTTTCCTAGCATATGGAACAGATAGTTAGGGTTAAAAATTATTATATGTGCTTAGCAAGTCTTTAGGATAAACTCAAAGCAAGATAGTTAACAACTAGTTTTTCATAATGTTTTGTCATGTCTGCCTTGCCAAGGAATAAACAACTATGACCTCTTTAGGAAATGCACATATTTTGATGCCAATATAATAAGCCACTTAGAATAATGGTTACATTTTGCCAAGGTAGAAAGATCACCAGAATTAATAACTTGAAACTCCAGACACCAGAAGATGAACAGATAACCAGCAAGTTTAGCTTGGTGCTAAACCTTGGAGCAGGCAATTTTTGCTAATATAAATGTCTTCATCTTAGAAAAAGAGCAACTAAAACTACTAAAAAAGCTGTTTTATCACTGCTTGGTCAGATCAAGCAATGAAGCAGAAGGGTACAGTGAATCCTGGCACGGAGTGTACTAATGTGCTTTTGCTGTAAGTCCTGGATGACACTTCCCTCCTCAGAACATGCTTATGTCCTTATTTCTAACATTAAATGTTAGAATTGCCTTCTTTTTGTTTTGCCCCTCTTCCACACACACTTCTCAAATTCTCAGCACTTTCTTTGGTTCTTTTTGCTAGATTTTTCTTCCACAGCCAATTAAAAGCCTTCGTGAAAGCAGAGAACCTCATGCAGTCCAAGAACTGAGTCATTAGAAGAGAACTCAGGTTCACAAACCTAACAACAAGAGGCAAGAGACTATTCCACTCCCACTCCACCACCCTCAAACAGCAAAAAACCCTAAAACCACATTGATAAAAACAAAACCACATTGATTGAGCATTATAAACCTGTTGGGACTATGGCAATTTGGCTATAAGGAGAAAGTCAGTAGAGGAGAAGAGAGACAAAAGGAGGAGCAGAACAATGCACAGACTGAATGTTGCAATTAAAACCAGGGGGGGCAGTTTTCTTATCATGGTTAAAAACAAAAAGGGAAAGATTTTTTCTTTTGGGGTCAGAAGAGGAAAGACAGGCTTAATGAAATTAAATTTTGCTTTTAAATGAGCAAAACCAAGCAAAAAATTACAGCATTTAATGGCTTCATTTAATACAATTTCAAGCTGTAAAATACTGAGAGTCTGGACACAAGGTTAAAAAAAAAAAAAAAAGTTTTATTTCAGACAATGAGAGATACAGCATCTACATCTTCACTAGGAAACCACTTCTTTAGCAATAGTTTCTGCAGGCCTTTGTGAAGCTTAACTGAATCCCTCTCTTGCCACCACCAGCTCATAAGAACTAAGATTTTTCTGATAACTGAGAAGAAACAAAATTCAAAGGCTTTTCATTCCCAGACTAGGAAGTGCTAGGCAGGTACAATACTACAAAATGACAGTGATGCAAAAAGTAACACTTTCCTGTTACTGAAAGCGACACCAATCCTCTCCCTGTAATACAGCCAATGTTTCAATACAGCATCGTCACATGCATCTGTTACCCTGCCATGAACCTCTGCATCTACCCCTCTGCAGCTCCTGCCCAGAGGACCACAATGTTTACTGAATGGATAACAGTGGAGGTATTTTTGCAATAACACCTTTAGGGCTCCATACTACAGAGGAAGAAAACCAGACAAGGCTAACTATTACATGGGAAATTCAAGAGGGAATTCCATTCTTAAAGAACATTCTCTTGATACTGCCAGGAAGATAATGAACCATATTTCTTGGGAGCAACCTGGCGACTGTCACATACTGTGTATGCCCTTTGTCCCTTCCCCAAAGGGAGGGACAGCACCTCAGACTCCACTTGTTAGCCATCACTCACCCAAAAGTTTTCAGGGTAGTCCCGGAGATTCAGCAACTTCTGCATGACTGTTTTCCGATCTTCCTCCCACTTACGCTTGCAGAAGACTATCTCTAGGAAATACCACATCCAGCCAATGATAGGCATGTAGGAGAGCTCCTTCTTTGCAAGTACTTTGGAACTCTGCAAGAAAGAAGCAAAGCAAGTAGAACAGAGTTACACCACTTACAAGTTCTCTGTTAGACAATAATACATTGATTCATATTGACCAGCATAGTAAAATGTAACCTCAGGTATCTGCATGCAAGACGACGTGTGTGTGTGTGTGTTTGTGCTTCATCATTTCCTGAAAAACAGTGACACTTTCTTAAAGGAGAGATGGAGCAATTACATTCCAGTTTCTATCTATGATATCTTTATAAGCTATCCCATCAAAGTACTCTGCAGATGGCTTCCAGGACATTGGATTTGATTAGTAGGAATTATTTACTGGTAGAAATTACCATCAGAAATTATTTGCTTTTACTTTTTTTGGTTACTGTTGTTCATTTGGTTGCTAGGGGAAGAAACTTGACCTAATTCTTTATCTCAGCTCATTTCTCTCATCTGCTCTCCTTCCTTGAGAAGGAAAATACCATGAATAATTAAGCTATCTAAAACCTCATAAGACTGGAAGGCAAGTGCACATCACGTAGCCTCACTAGCAACTGTTACACGGAAGCAGAGCAGAAACAACAGGAGACAATTCCATTTCGAAGGATCCAGGAACCATGGCCTCCAGAGCAGAGTCAGAAAAGACAATTTAAGAGTCCTCCTGCCTAGACTTTAAAACACAGAAATCCTAGTCCACAAAGCAAGCTGAGTAACCATTTTACCACAGTTATTTTCTAATGTTTTGCAAATTTTTAAATGTGTATGAGTTAAAAAAGGGGCAAGAGAGAAGTGGCCACCATTGTTTTTTCCCCCAGTGAAACAAAGAATTGATTTTGTAAACTAAGGTGTCACGTAGTACAGGTGTAACCACAGAAGCAGAACAGAAGCTTGAATTCTTCCCCAGGGCATGTTCTTATTCATTTTCTGTGCTAATGCATTTTTAAAATTTAAAAGCGGTCCTTCAGACACGTGAGCGTACGACTCCTTAGATGCACATAAAAAGAAACTAAATTACCTTATGCTGTCTTGTGCACCCCATCTATCCTAGGAGTCAAAGGAAGGCTAATGACACAGAACTAATTAGAGAAAGGAAACCCTTCAGTTCATTACACAGGCAAGACTGCTCTCATGTGGGAGGAATACATTAGGCCTCCCCTCAGAAGCTACCATCTCTCTTACAATAACTAGAGCTACAATCTGTTCTGTCTCAGCCATCTACCCATGCACAGCTCCTCTGTAAATACCTGAGAGGAAAAATGCAGCTCTAGTTGACTTCAGTCACTAACTTCTCCTTTAAAAAAGTGCTTGGGTCACCTCAGCTTCAAATTCAGGTTGTTTAACAGAATAAATTTCATTTAGAATGCTGATTTATTCCATGTAAGATGTCTTCTTGAAGGAAATAAAACATTTTCAGTGCTCAGAACTGTGTAATTCCAACAGATGTCTAATGAAATTACTACTGAATGGGGACAACTTGTCTACAGTAACAGCATTTTAATTTAGGTTAATTTCTTTTGGCCGAGTTTGTTCAGATGGAAATACGTATGAAGTTCTCCCTTTGTGAATGACTGCACTAACATCACAAAAAAAAAAAAATTTACAAGCTTACTTTAGATGCATTTGCACAGCCATGCTGTCAGAGAATGAAAATCTTGATTTATATTGTCCAGCTTCAGTTATTCAACACATCTTGATCACAGAATGCAACAAAGAGCAATCAACCTGCAAGCTGAGGATGCCTAACAAAATTTGTTCTACAGTTTCAAAACAAATTCATCACAGCTGCAGACTGTTAGCAGCAAGAACTTGCCTTCTAAGTTTTTTACTCTCCAGGCTGCCCTCAGCATTGACATACTTTTGATGATTCCATTTGCTCTATTTTTGAAATATAGCACTCCTTCATATTATACTCTCTGGGACATCAAGATGGAAAGATACATTTCTTTAGGCCCTCAAAGCCACAGTTCCAGAAATTTGGTTAGTTTCCGAATTTCTAATGTTTCATATTGAATAAAACTTCTATGCTGCAAAGGTAACACAGCAGTATCTCAGCGCATATGCTAAGATGCCATGTGAAAAACAAATAATACTGCAGTTTTGGCTGTCTACATGAGCAATTACATAACTTCTATTAATACATTAAAATGTACAATGAACTACTGCATTCACACACCCGTCAGTCCCATACAGTACCCTAGCAAAAGTTTCTTCTCACACGTATATTTAAGGTCATGCTCAGTTTTTCCCACAGCAAGCTTCAAAATAAAGAGCTTTTAAATAAAATTTGGGTTTCCTAGCATATGGAACAGATAGTTAGGGTTAAAAATTATTATATGTGCTTAGCAAGTCTTTAGGATAAACTCAAAGCAAGATAGTTAACAACTAGTTTTTCATAATGTTTTGTCATGTCTGCCTTGCCAAGGAATAAACGACTATGACCTCTTTAAGAAATGCATATATTTTGATGCCAATATAATAAGCCACTTAGAATAATGGTTACATTTTGCCAAGGTAGAAAGATCACCAGAATTAATAACTTGAAACTCCAGACACCAGAAGATGAACAGATAACCAGCAAGTTTAGCTTGGTGCTAAACCCTGGAGCAGGCAGTTTTTGCTAATATAAATGTCTTCATCTTAGAAAAAGAGCAACTAAAACTACTAAAAAAGCTGTTTTATCACTGCTTGGTCAGATCAAGCAATGAAGCAGAAGGGTACAGTGAATCCTGGCACGGAGTGTACTAATGTGCTTTTGCTGTAAGTCCTGGATGACACTTCCCTCCTCAGAACATGCTTATGTCCTTATTTCTAACATTAAATGTTAGAATTGCCTTCTTTTTGTTTTGCCCCTCTTCCACACACACTTCTCAAATTCTCAGCACTTTCTTTGGTTCTTTTTGCTAGATTTTTCTTCCACAGCCAATTAAAAGCCTTCATGAAAGCAGAGAACCTTATGCAGTCCAAGAACTGAGTCATTAGAAGAGAACTCAGGTTCACAAACCTAACAACAAGAGGCAAGAGACTATTCCACTCCCACTCCACCACCCTCAAACAGCAAAAAACCCTAAAACCACATTGATAAAAACAAAACCACATTGATTGAGCATTATAAACCTGTTGGGACTATAGCAATTTGGCTATAAGGAGAAAGGAGAAAGCCAGTACAGGAGAAGAGAGACAAAAGAATGAGCAGAACAATGCACAGACTGAATGTTGCAACTAAAACCAGGAGGGGCAGTTCTCTTGATTGAGCATTATAAACCTGTTGGGACTATAGCAATTTGGCTATAAGGAGAAAGGAGAAAGCCAGTACAGGAGAAGAGAGACAAAAGAATGAGCAGAACAATGCACAGACTGAATGTTGCAACTAAAACCAGGAGGGGCAGTTCTCTTATCATGGTTAAAAACAAAAAGGGAAAGACTTTTTCTTTTGGGGCCAGAAGAGGAAAGACAGGCTTAATTAAATTTAATTTTGCTTTTAAATGAGCAAAACCAAGCAAAAAATTACAGCATTTAATGGCTTCATTTAATACAAGTTCAAGCTGTAAAATACTGAGAGTCTGGACACAAGGTTGTGACACTGTTAAGAGCACTGCCATTGTCTGCCAGGGCCGCAGGGTACAGCTGGATGTCACAACAAAGCTGTTCCCTCTGCCTGCTCCAGTCAAGCACAGTCAGTCCCAACACCTTAGGCCCTAAATCGTCTTCAGTTTCTCCCTCTTTCCCCTCCCCAGGCATCTCCCCTTTTTTCAGTGGATTAGTTAAGGCAGGAGAGAGAGAAGGGGTGTCTGAAACATGCCAAAACAGGGCAGACAAGTACTAGAACAGATGCAGAAGAGAGGATGGCACGTGCAAGATTTCCTTTTCAGCAGCAGTGGACACAAAATCAGCTTAGTAAGATGTTGGTAGCTACCTAAAGTTTGCATAGAAACTTCATGGAGTAAAAAATTAAATAGCATGAAATATAAAACTCCTATGGCTCACAAAGGAGTCACAAAATGAAGGCTGGAGCAGCACTTAGAAATCTCTCTGGATGCTTGCCTTTTTCTTGTAACTTCTTTTCCCAAACATAATGGTTGTCAGCATAATGGTTCTTACATTCCAGATGTGCTGCCACACCAAACCCTGAAGCTTTGCACACTGCAAAGTCGTGGAAGGCAGCACAAAGTCAAACCAAGCTGCATCCCCAATCCCTACACAATCATCCACTTCGGCACTGCCCCCAGCCAAGTACCAGTATGCCAATACCAGCAATCCAAACAGCTAACTGACTGTATGTGTGTCTTTTTCAATTAATTTTTTTTTTAATATGACTTAAGATCAACCTTGTCCAGTTGCCCCAACAGGGAAATACACTGCTGTGCTGTGCAAAGATAGCTATGCAAATGAGAGCACATGGGAACTCTTTCTTCCTGGAACAGTTTCTGGGAAGTACAATCACAGTACATTACTCCAGACTGAAATAGTTGGGGTTTTTTTAAATAAATAAAGAAAGAACTCCCAGCATATAATAGTTCCTAAAAAAACCCTAAGTTTAGTAAAAATACGAACTAAGTAGTAACTGTAATAATCTTATAAAAAAAAGGAAAAAATATTGTAAGTTAGTGTAGCACAGTCGTTGTTCAACAGTTAACACTTCTATGTAGTGGTTTTCTTATACATAGGGAACAATATTAAAAAACTGAAACATAATCCTGATTACCTTGAAAAGCTACAAAAAATTATTAAAGCCAATGAAGATTGAATTCAACCACACAGCACCAATGTAAAACAAGAGATTTTTGACCTTGTAGGCCCCTATTAGTTTGTACAAAAATAATCCTTTAATTTTCTACAATGGTGCTTTTAGAAGCAGCACCTGACCCTCTAAAATGCAGTTTTATTTACAGAACTGTAGCCATTAGGCTTACAAAATTAGACAGACTATACTAAAGCACCACTGTATAATGAGCACATAGAAAGGAGAAGGGTTTTGGCACATACATCTGCCTGCCAGGAACGGGTTTCCCTACATCTCTTGCTGTCTCATGCTATCCAGCTCTGTGCTCAACTCCTAGACATGATGGTAGAATTGCTCCTCAGTAACCAGAGCCAACAGCCATTTGGGTAATATGCAAGGCCTGCAACCCTCACGTTTATTTTCCTGCAGTTTTATGGCCCCTTTTCATTATTTTAAGCAGACTGTCATTATTATAATTTGAAATTTGACTGAAGTGGTGTCTAAATGTCCAGAAAATGCAAAAAGTCCAAAGGAAAGGCCATAAAAAGTCACACAATCTAAGGTCAGGAGTTTTGACAGTGGCCAGTAGCAAAGTTAGAAGATGATGCTGCAGAAGACTGCCAAAATGAGGTTTTAGTCTGCTTTCTTAGGAGGGAAGAACTCTTGTCTAAATCCTTTGTAGACAGAGAATGTCATCACCACCTGTCCTGGTTTCAGCTGGGACAGAGTTAATTTCCTTCCTAGTAGCTACTGTGTTTTGGATTTGGTATGAGAATAATGTTGATAACACACACTATTTTAGTTTTTGCTAAGTAAAGACTATATTAAGTCAAGGACTTTTTCAGTTTCCCATAGAAGCTGAGAGGGGGCAAGCTGAGATAGGACAAGCTGGCCAAAGGAATATTCCATACCACAGACACCATGCTCAGTATAAAAATGGGGGTTGGCCGTAATATTCCATACCACAGACACCATGCTCAGTATAAATATGGGGATGGCTGGGGGGCAGGGATATGCGATCGTTGCTCAGGACAGCCTCAGCAACCCATCATTGGGCGGTGAGCAACTGATGGATATTCTTTCAACAACATCATATTATTTTTTTTCCTTTTCCTTTAATGTTCTATTAAACTATCTTTATCTCAATCCTTTTGTCTTTTTCCTTTTTCTCCCTTTTCTCCCTGTCCTACTCAGGGCAGGGGGGTGTGAGTGAATGGCTGAGTGGTCCTGGTTGCCATCTGGGGTTAAACCACACCACCACCACCAAAAAGTCAAGCTGGCTTAGGAAATGAGCTTGAATCATCCCCATGAGTTGAGAGGGGAAACAAAGAAACAACCCTGAAAACAAATGCTTGTGTACTCCTAGCCTAATGTAATAGTGTATTCAACTATGGATAATTCATTCCTCCCCCATCTCTTACTAGCTATAACCTGGTTACTGCTTTTACTTGAGATGGCAGCTCTTTCATTCTGAGAGACAGAGACCACATCATTCAAACACTAGCTGTGGATTTGTAAGACTACACTGGAGAAAGCAAACAAATTCTACAATTTGCTGGGAAAGAATCACAGAACAGCTCATCTTTCTGCAGCTCAACGAACCGTAATAGTCACCTATTACGTCTGTGCAAGTACACAGAGAGAAACAACTGCAGTAAACTCCACAGGTTTAAAAAAAAAAAAAAAAAAAAAATCTCTATCTCCTTCATCAGCTTCAACTGCAATTCTTTTAAAATCTCTGTGAATGCATAAGCAACCCTGTAACGCATTTCTTCAGGTTCACCTCTTTAAGCCTGGACAGTGGCTGAGTGAAATTCAGGCACAGATCTGTTAACTTTCAAAACCAAAGAATTTGTTGTTCAGGTTCACCTCTTTAAGCCTGGACAGTGGCTGAGTGAAATTCAGGCACAGATCTGTTAACTTTCAAAACCAAAGAATTTGTTGTTTTTTTTTTTTCCAAATCCAAGAAGAGAAAGTTTAAATGCTAAACAAAACTCACCCCCAAGACCCCAAATCTTTCACAAAAGTTCCAACCACAGAGAAAGTCAATTTCAAAGTTGTGATTAAGGATTACGATGGCATTCTCCTTCCCATACTTCTTGTAACTTTCTGGGTCAGTGTAGAGGGTGCAATTGGTGCCTGACCACCATTCCAGCAACATCACCATCTCTGGAATAAAGAACAAGAAATACATGAATGTATGAAGTACATGCAAAGCAACGAATCAGTAACATGTTGAAAAGCACCAGTCAGCTCAACAGGGCATGGCAAAGAAAGGGCTGTAATGAAGCTGAGATGCTGAACATAAACCATCCAGTTGCACATCTTGGTAGAGCAAGGGGAGGGACAGGGGAAAGAAGGGAAATAAGAAGACTGCATGGAAAGAAGGAACAGAACTTTTCCACGGTATATTGAGAAAAAAGGAGTTTCATTTGTTTGAAAATTGCAAATTCAGTGCTACAAATTATTTTATCAATATGCATGTAAAATTAGCATTTATGTACAACAGTACAACACAATTACATGAAGAACAGAACAAACCTGTAGGAAAACCAAACACAACAATTCCTCAGGTCCTCATGCTCCTCTAAAAACTGCACAATTATAGACCAGAAAGCAGTTTGGACACAACACCTGGAACCAGGTCTGTTACATGTACACCATATATCTCATTCTGTTAACTTGTCAGGTGTAACAGTCATATGCCCTGCTACAACTGACGCATTCTACATTTGACAGGGGTGTATCAATCACCCAGAGCAAAGCCAATAGCTCAGACTGGATGAAAAGCATCCATCCCCAAATCAAAGACAAGGTGGATGGCTGGCAAAGTGTGTAGAGCCAAGAATAGCTATTAATGGTATAACTGTCTGCACACCCCTTAGTTGATGAAGCAATAGGGGGACAGAGAAGGGGTGGGGAAACAGGAAAATCACTGTTAAACACCTCAAAATCACCCTGTATTGGCACCAGTTCTGTTCCCAAAACCTAACTGTAAGAAATGATACAAGAATTGGTAGGACAGCAAGGGCTGTTTAAAACACAGCTGTACTTAGAAACTGGAGAGTGGTTTCTCAGCAGTCTCCTAGTGACTATCATATAGCTTTCACCTTCCTATTTGCTTATCCCATTATCAAGCCCAAGCAAGGAGCAGGCTTTGTATTTGTTTTGCTTGTAACTATAAGCCTGACCACAAGACTTGTGAATCAAACCTTTATTTAGCAAAGTATCTCTGGGCCGGGGCATGGGAAGTTGAAGTGAGCCAGTAAAGCCAACAAGCTTGGAGAGCTCTATCTCCATGGAGATGGAAAAAGAAAACCCTAAAAGCAGTGGCTCTCCTCGAACAACCCATGTCCTGAGCTGGGTGGAAGACAGGACTAATGAGACTAATGAGAGCTGTCTGTCAAAACAGAAAAGAGGGATTAAGGGACACGTTTGCTTCCTGTCAAAGCTACCGCAAAACTTCTGCACTATGCAAAGCTCTAATGTGAGGGGTTGCTCTTTGCCAAGTGAAACATATTCCCTTCTCAGAGCATATCTGTGTCATATGAACGTCTGTGCTGGAAAGATGAGACATCTCAGAGCTCTCCTGGCTTCAGGCAGGCCTGAAAGCACCACAAATCCTCCTTCACCTCAGGGAAAATCAAAACCAGGCCAGTTGTTGAAACACTTCAGAAATCCTTTCAATTTAGGTCCCCTACTGGCCTCAACTAGTGACCGAAAACGGAAAACAGCTAGGAACAAGTCGACTACATTTTCAGTCATCATTAGCGAAATTAATTGCCCAAAGCTTTTGGATGACATTGTGCTGTACACTGCAGAATAGGCGCTAGTGACATGAATGAATTTTATCTAACAGTGTTGTAGCCAGGCTAATAGACAATCTCTATTCAAATAACATTACCATAATATGATAAAACCACGTTTATGGCACAGATAAATGATTGACTTGTCAGTCGCCCTGCTTATTTCTAATCAGGGCAGGTAACTACTACCGTGGCGGCAGTACATATCAGTCAATGCATGCTATTATGCATCAAAACAATAGTCAGAGATGTGGAAGGACACCTTAACTGCCATCAACAATGATTTCACTGGCTGGAAACCCATTTCCCAACAAAAGCCAAAGCTGTTCGTATCTCAGTGAGAGAGCTGTGGAGATCCAGGAGCGTATACATGGCTGGCTGCGCTTCCAGACTTCCACTGCTAAGAACTGCCTTGTGACACACATTCACAATTTTACATCTTTCCAAGCTTTCTATTGGAAATAAAAGCCCTCCACTCCCCAAAACACAGCAAAATTGACTAATAATTAGGAAGAAACCCCTCCACATAGTAATTTACAAATCTTTACAGAATCTACAGTCACATCCTGGAACAGAACACAATCTCAGAAAAGAAAGGAAGCTAGTGACAGGATTAGTTTGTCTTTTGCTTAACTAGGAACCCAACTAAGGGAAAAAGTAAATGTCAGATGGGATTTTCTCTTTTTTAACCTCTGCTGCCATTAAACCTATTGCCTAAAACAAACAAGTAGAAATGATGACTGTGAGGCCCTCTTGAAGAAAAAGCCATCTTTACCTGGGAAAAAACAACTTCAAAGCCATCCCACTTCAAGTGTGGGGTTTTATTTTGTCTCTTCTCAAGGAATTTGAACAAAACTAATTAATACATCCAAATCTCAGTATATAGGTGTGCCATATGCATAGAGCTCTTCAGGTACATATTTTCAGGCTCAAATACATTCCAAAAAGGCATAGACAAAAATATTTCTGTATGTGACTTGATTCTTCAGGCTTCACACAAGCAGGATTATTTTTTTTTTAATAAGTAGTGCAGAAATAGGTCCCTGTTCCTCACTTTGCATGCCCATTTATCACTGATGTGCTCAGGCAGTTGCTGCAGAAACACAAAATAGACACTGAACGCCTTGGTATTAAATACAAAATACAATAAATACCATCTGCCAGCCTTTAAGTTCTTAACATTTTTCTTTCCCTCATCTTCCCTACTCTTTCTTTCCCCTCCTTTCTCTTTGTGGTTCTCAAGCAATGATTACTGGTGTCAGTTTGTGCTACTCCTGCATCGTGTCACCAGTTTACTTCCGCAAGCCACCACAGATATTTATTACCCAGAAACTTGCTGTGGTGTCTCAGCTGCACAAGGTCACTCATACACACTCTCCCTCCCTCCTTCACACTGTAGACAGTCAGTGCAAATTTCCTCCTGTTTGTACACCAGTCAGACTGTATAACTAATAACCAATTTACATAGCGGGGGGGAAAAAGATTCTCTTGCTCCCAGCCAGGGCTGGTCCAAGATTTCTAAGGCTTCTCCCCATCCTTTTTCATAAGGTTTTGGAATTTGAACACTGCAAACGAGTTGGCAAATTCACATTCACATCCATCATGGGGGCTCCTACCTTGAAAAGCAACTCTTCCAGTGCCACTTCCACACAATTAAGCAAAGGAAGGGGAAAAAAACTTAAATAACCTTAAATCTCTAATCCCTGCTTTGAAGAGAGTCCTTGCAGTATGTTACAACTAGATTCAGGAGAGGTTGATGGTAGGGAGAAAACATGTCTTTAAATGCTTAATATGGATACTCTGCTTAATTGTTTTGAGGTTTTCTACCTTTCTGGAATAGGAAAACCCCTCTACCTTGCTAAACAGAACAGCCTCTACCTCCTGCAAGAGTATACTGCTCCCTAGCCCTTCACTGCACAAATCTGAACTGCCTTAATGCTTCCACTTGTAGCACAAATAACTAAAAAAAAAATAATCTCCAAGGCTGACCTGAACTATAACTAGTTATATGAAAAACATTTAAGGGAAGAAGGGAAACACACAGAGTTTACAGAGACTTGTTATTTTCCACCTCAAAGTTTTCAAGAATGAGTCATTAAAACAGTTAGCGCTGTTCTTCTATAGAAGTTGTTAGTAATTCCTTTAGCTAACAATTCTTGATAACCCACAGTAACATTTGCTTGCAAGATTAACCATAAAATGTCAATTTTAAAATGCAACTAAAAGCACAGTTATGTATTGACTCGAGAAGTACGATAACTTGAAGACCTCAAGTACATAAACTCTTGTAAACAGCAACAGAACTGTTTCTCTCCGTGATATTCTTCGTTTTCTTTAACCTATGTATCAATGCAACACCAAGAAAGAGAACTTTGAAATTCTTATTCTATGGTAAAAGCATAGTAAACTCTCCAATACAAGTAAAAGGCAAGACAAACGGGCAAATGGTGATCATCATTGCAGAGACCAGAAAGAGTGAATAGCTACATGATGAATGAGTACACTGCACAGAAGACTGGGGAAAGCATTAAAAATAAACAATATGTAAAAAATATGTAAAATATGTAAAAATAAGGCTAAAGATAGACTGACGGGTAGCGTAGTCCAGTCCATGCCTGCCTGTGGAAGAATGATTTACAATAATAACTTACTACCCTTCCAGATTTTCAGACTACATCTACTAGGCGCACGTCCTAAACATTTCCCATAGAACAAATTAAGTCTACAGGTAACTAAGAAGAGCAAGTCTATGATCTTCTCTGGACTACTCAAATGCAGTCTGCCCTGAACATTACCTACCACATTAACTGCAAAGCTACCTAGGAGATTTGCAAAACATTTCCAAGTATTGATGCCTCCACCACAGCCTCCTCACACAGGCTATTCTACTGCTTCACTCTGCCACCTAACCTGACCAGTCATTTATTTCTGGTGCCTACTCCCTTCTTCTCTGCAGGAGCTACAAATAATTATCAAGAAAACTTAAAGGCAGCAGTTCCGTAAGCTTGCACTGATTAGGTACATGAAACCATTGGAGCTCAGAGCTGGAACATGATTACTCGTCTACAAGAAAAAATTTCAAATAACTTATTACTATAAAAAACCATATATATATTCCCTGTGAGGGGAACAAAAAAGCTAGTTCTTCAGAAAAAAACCTGCAGCTGGAAAGTTAAGCAATGCCTTCCCTCTTTCCCCAAGATGAGGGAGTGAACACTCATGGAGCCCAGCCAGACAAGGCATCGACTCTCCTGTTTCAAGCAGATTCCCTCCCATTCTTTACTCTGCATTAGCAGCACATGAATGTGTAGTGTGAGCACCAATGAGATGTAATGGAGTAAGCTGGTCCACTCCAAGACAGAA